CCCCCCCCCCCCCAAACAACGTCCTTTTAACTTCCTTTTTTTCTTCTTCATTTTTTTCATTTTTTTTTCCACACGCCTGATTCCCCTCCCATCCACCGGACCACAGCACCGTGGGCCTTGAGCCTGTGAGCCGAACCTCGGCCTTGGGAACGCAAGAACCGGTCAGACCCCCGAGTGGCCATTTATTTTTCCTCCATGTTTCTTATTTCCCTTTTTATATTTTTATATTTTTGTCCTTATCAATTCCATATCCTCGGCCTCTACACCATGTTTATCCCGGAGTAACTACACTCATTATTCTGTCCTCCCACTCCTCCTCCGCCTTGGTCTACTACCCACTCGACTTGCTGTCCGATTATGGTTCCTGCACCTACCCTTCGATTTTCATCACCATCTCGACCAGTGACGACAGTGACCTGACAACAAGATTAACCTGATGCATTTTCTCAGGACCCTATAGTCTTCGCCCCGCATCTTCACACCCTGGGCACCATTGATTGACCCGTCGACCCGGCTACTTCAACATCAACGCCCACAGTTATTCGCCGGATTCGTACATCTATCTGTTCTTCAACCGCCAGGAGTCGGCTTTCTCCATGGTATCTTAAATTACCGAAAATACTTAACACTGAGCCGACGGCGCAACTGCTGGGCCATATTACACTCAACATGGCCGTCGTTCTGAACTCTGAAGAGAGTTCCTATTTCTCTTCAACACCCTTGCGGCGATCTCATTCGCAGCCCAAGTTTTCCACGAGACAGTCGACCTTCGGCTCGCCCGTATCGACCAGCCGTAAAGACGGCGGCTACTCTATCCCGAAGATCGCTGATTCCGCACCTTCTTCCGCCCCTTCATCACCACGGATCATGCAAGTTGAGTCGGAGGACTCGTCGTTCGCATCAACACCGGCTAGCAACCTGTCATCAGTGTCGGACTGCGATGACGCCGTCGAATATCTCGAACATGCTCCCGAGGACAACTTCGTGCTTCCCCACTACCCCATGTCAGGCTTCTACGACACAGCAGAAGACTTGGAATCACCGTTGAGTCCGCCCACGGGAGACTCGCAAATTCCTTCGCCGGCCGGACAAGATACGTCCGGCAACACCTCGAGACCCGGCTCTCCCGAGTTTGTCCTGGAGGTTGATCGTGCCGAAGATGATACTGCAGTGAAAGCACAACCGACAAGGCACGTCGATTATCTCTCCTACAATTGGGCAGAGGAGGATATCTGGTCGTCGTGGAGGTACGTCGTATCTCGGCGCTCAGAATACAGCAACAGCGCGCGGCTCGAAAACGCCTCTTGGAGAACATGGATGAAATCGAAAAATAATCTGAAGACTGTGTCCCCCGAGACCCTGAACTGGTAATTTTCTACGTCGTCCGTCTTCGATTCGACGGCATTTGTGATGCTGACTTGCCATAGGCTGAAGGATTGCGACGTCACATGGCTCTACGGGCCGCTACAGAAGGGCCATGGTGCACTGCTCCCTCCCAACGCCAAAAACGGCGACGACGACACATTGAACGGCTTGACGCAGAACCACTCTTTCATCAACAAGAAGCCTATTCTGAAAAAACGGAGCATGTCTGAAATCATGCTGCAGCGGTCACTATCAGCCTCTTCTCTGGTCAAGACGGCTGCTGCCGCTGTACAGGCCCAGGAGAAGGATGGCGAGAGGAGGCTGCTCCGACCATCTCTCAAACGCGCCGCCACAGATTTCGGTGCGTCCCCGTTTTCTTACAGGGGACTGAGCTACGATAGCAGCAGTGCTGCGCCGTCCAGCTCGTCGTCCGGAGTCGAGTCTCCCAGCTGCGAGAGGAAGCACATCCACTTCAACGAGCAGGTCGAACAATGCATTGCGGTGGAAGCTAGAGGGGAAGATGAGGACGACGACGACGGCGACGACGACGATGCGGATACAGAACGATGTGACGATAGCGACTCGGCCGACGAGGGCATCATGATGAAGCGGAGCAAGCCGAGGAAGAGGATGCCCGTGTTGAGGAGAAGAACGAAGAAGTCGAAGAAGCCGTCCGAAAAGAAAATCATAGCCATGCTCCCTTCCACGACGCTCAAATACCGCGAGGACGCTACCGAGTCGACCGAGACCGCGATGAAGCACGGTACGGCCATTTACCAGGATTCCGTGCTGTCTCCATCGTCCTCGCAAGAAACCCTGCGACCGTCCAAAGGGATGGGCAAGTTCTTCATCCAAGATGAGGACGAGGACGCCATGGAGGACATGTTGACACCTCGGGGAGAGCGGTATCCGGCGACATCGGACGACAAGGATCCCGAGCTCCGGGGAACACCGTCCATAGACGGCCCGAGTAGTAGTCACGAGCCAGCTGGCATGCGTCGAACCGAGTCGGGCATGCTTATGCCGTATGAGGAAGCAGTATCATCGACTAGCGAAGGCATCTTTGGCCGCGTGTTTGAGACGGTCAATACAGCACGGGACATTGCCCATGTCATCTGGAACGTCGGCTGGAGAAAATGAAGAGTTAATTTGTGTGCTCTTTGTGATACTGTCTTACGCCGTTATCCAGGAGACGACAATGCATTAGGGAAACAGCGCGCGAATGGATGGATCATTGAATGATTTTAATCATACAGATCAAGCGACATGAGTTGATATCGGCGAGTTTTACGACAATACCCTAGGGCATATGGGGTCGCCTTTATCAGGAAGGGCTATGTTTTCTCTTTTCTCTTCTTTTTTTCTTTCCTTTCCTTTTCTCTAAAGGCATGGGATGCGTTCAATCGCGGATGTTATGGTATTAATACGGCATGGTTGCGACTAGCCAGAACACCGGCTTAGTGTCTTTCCAGGGGCTTACTTTATAACCTGTATTCGGAGAAGCGCTAAAGGAAAAGGCACCTGGGTTTTATTAGGGACTGTACATGGAACGGTTTATTAGGGGCTAGGGGTTTTTTTTTCTTCTTCTTTCTTTTTGTTCTTTATCAAGAGCAAAGGAACCGGCAGGCGCATCACGGAATGTCTAAAGGCGTTCTTCCCAGCACGGCCGAGATCAGCCATTTCAGCGACTTACCAAGGGGGGATCGGAATGGGTGGGGTTATTACAAAAGAAGAAAAGCAACAGGCAAAGGCGCATTTTGAGGCGAAGGGCATGGAATAAGTGAATTTCTCACTAGAGGAAAGGAAAAAGTTTAGCTGGCATAAAGGCGGCACCTGGAGACTACGGGCCTGATGTCGCCACGAGGCCGATCATGTGTCACGAGCTCCCGACTTGGTGGTGGTGCTGTCATTAGTGGGGGGTTTGTCTCATTCAATGACTTACTTCCCTTTTCGGTGGTCAAAACTTACACTAGGACAGAGATCATTATAGTAATGAGAATCTCGGTTCTGTTAAAACAAGTGGCCTTTTGTCCAGCTACTCGGGTGGCTCCGTGCTAAGTAGGGCATGATCTACGTGAACCGACATCATAGCAAGCTCCTCTTGACCGGGAGGTCATCATCATGTATACACATAATGACGCAGGCCGGGTGGTTTTCTTTGCTAGGTTAAAGTCTTCATTGTTCGGATAGCAGATACCCTAGAATTCCGAAAATATACCGTTTAGTGAAGCTTTGTTCGATCTCTGCTATCCTAGTAACTTGACTCTATCCGTGGTGCTACCATGTATGATTTAAGCTCGAGAATAGCTGAAGATGAAGATACATGGTTAAAGAAAAGCCATAGCAACCGCTGCTACTATTACATTTCCATCCCTAAGAAGCTATACGTTTCTGGTGATTTAGTTAATTACTCGTGATATTATTTATTACATATACGATCCATCTCGCCATCATCTCGGAAATCAATGTCTCCTGGCAGCCAGCCTATGTTTGTTTGTGTCTACCTCCGATCCCTCCTATTTCTTATTTTTAAGTTTACCTCGTCGCTGTTCATGCCAATGCTTAAGAGCCCAAAAATGCTACAGTGACCCCAATATAGTCAAGATGAATAGAGATCCAAGTGAAGAAAGATGGAGAGAAGAGAAAAGAAGAGAAAAGAAAAGAAAAGAAGAAAGACAAAACCTCAGCGGGCGGGAGAAGATCCCTGCAGAAGCTGAGGACTAAAATACTCACACATTTACCGCCCTTTCATCTTCCTTCATTCATGCATACACGCCCATCGCTCTCCGGATTGCTCTCTTACTTCGCTAGAAGAATTTCCCCTTCTTCTTCTTATTCGTGTTCTTGGGCGCGGATTGGCCGAGAATGTCATCAAAAGTCATAGTCGGGTGCGAGGCTGGAGGGTCCTGCGCCTGGGCTCGCAGATTGCTAGCCGACGCGCTGCCCCGCAGGCCTGCGCCATTGATACCCAAAGAGCGACTGTCGGAGATACTACTGCCGCGGCTACTCACTACTCGAGATCCCCGGTCGCCAGGCATGCCGTTAGCCGGCATGGGTAGAGGTACTGGCTCGAGGCCGATGGCGATGCTCGAGCGATACGTTGAGCTCCGGGCGGCCAAGCTTCGACCCGAGGGAGAGGCGTTGCGAGGTCGGCCGACGTACTTGGGAGACCCGCCCGGGGGGGGAGACGGGTTCGACGGGCCCGTGTAGGGTGACGGGTTCAGAACGGGACCGTCCTGCTCCGTGAATATGGGTGGTGGTGCCAGAGGCGACATGATGGGCTCCGACGGGTGTGTCATGTCTCCCTCTTCGCCAGTCTCCCACCTCTTTGCCGCTTGCCAGCAATGGCTGCGGTGATAGATGGCTTCCACGCTAAACATGACCGTGTCGGCGGAGAGCTCGACGTAGCCAGCACCCCCGGACACTTCGTACCACATTTTGCGCACCTGTCGAGCGTCGTCGAGCCAGGGCGGATTGCCCATCGGCGGTTCGCACAGAAAGTACTCCACACCTTCGGTGTACTGTAATCCCGGCGCATCGATGACCAGCATAGGAAGTGATTGGATCACCACATAGAGAAACAACCAATATCCTACGCGATGGTCGGCTAGGTCGGCAGCGGTCTTCCCCCGGGCCTCTGAGTGCTCGAAGGCCTTGAACTCCGACAGGAAAGGAACCTTGAGGGTGTTTGTGTCGTAGTTATAAGCCTTGTGGAGAATGAGCATAAGCTCGTGTTCCTTGATGCGCTTGTCGAACTTGGTCTGTTCCTTGGCCGACAATTTGTCGTATGTTTCAAGCACAGCCCGCATCGAGGGTATCTGGGGGACGTCGAAGGGGATCGGCGGGAGCACCGGAGGCGTAGAAGTGTCATACTCGGTGAGAACCTTCCTGAGCGCAGACATCATCGCACTGTCTTCGGACGACTCCCCGGTCCCTCCGTTGATCATCCGGGGGGTCAGAGACTCGCGATCCACGAGGAGATCATATAAGGCGCACATGTCGGAGTAGAGAGCCTTGAGCACCAGTCGGTTGAGTCCGCTCTCGGTGAAACGATTCTTCTTGCTGCTTGCCTTAGGGGGCCAGTTGCCGAAAGTGGACTTGTAGTAGCCCAGGACAAACTGACGCATCTTGTTGAAGGCGGCGCGCCACTTGCCGAAGCGAACGCTCTTCACCTCGGCTATCGAGTTAGAAGCAGCGATGCCCGAGAAGAGCGACGGAAACTCAAATTGCTCGAGTCGGAGGTTCACATTATCTTGCCGGTTGACCAAGTCAAGATGAGCTCGCTCGAGCTTTTGCCGCGTGTGCGATGAGACCTGGTCAAACAAACCGGACTTGAGGTCAATGATGGCTGTGTACTTCCCGACCGCATGTGAGAAAGCTTCGTTGTACAGGTCCATAGCATGCATTCGCTCTGCGAGAATAAGCGACTCTATCGTCTTTTCGCGGCTGTGCCTCACATCCGCAAGACTCAACTGGTCACAAAAGAAGCCGAAGCTCATATCGACAGATTCCCCAAAGCCGGAACCTCCAAGATCCGTGAAGAGGAACTCGTGCAGGAGGGCGGAGATCTCCAGGAACGCGGCGAAAGCGGTCGGATGGGCCCTAGTAGCTACCAATGGCTGGCCAGTCAAGAAGGCGAACAGGTTTCGAAGAGCAATGAGTCGGTCAAAGTCGGCGCGTTGAGGTTGTGGCTGTCCCGGTGTAGGGTGACCCTTCTGCGGTGGGGATGCGGCGCCAGGCAGATACAATCTGACTTCGTGCGGGTTATTCTGTCCCTCCAGTGGAGGAGAATTCGGACGCGAGAAGGCCCTGCCCCGTGCGTCGTCGGCAGCAAAGCTATCACGTCCGATGAAGCCCTTGGATTGAGTTGTCGCGGGATCGGTTTCGGGGCCCATCTCAGCCTGTATTAGGTCGTTAAACACTTGCGAAGCGCTGATAGCATATGTCGGGACTTTAAAGGACGGCCCACAACCGCTGTTCCGTGGGAACAAGTAGACGTATACGGTACCCGACTCGTTCCATAGTTCAGGGACCTATGCCGTACCGGGTCTGTCAGATTGGGAAATCCGCGTACAATGCAGGGTAGCCAAGGGGCTTGGGTAAGCATCTTACCTTTTCACCGCACAGCAGAAACGACGTCTTATACTCCCCCACGGCATCCTGTCCCAGCATCCAGGCAGACGCACGACTTGGCGTCCCCATGTCCTGCGAACCGGACCGTGAGCGTCCACCAGGAAGCAAGCTTCTGCGAAGCTTCCCTCCTCGCTTATCATCCCTGGTCGGGCTCTGGCTGTTGTTGACCATGCTAGACGTCGAGACAACTCCGGATCCGGTGTTAGGATTAGGAGGGGCTGCACGCTGAACCGATGTGCTTCTTCCTCTCGTCTCAGGACCAGGAGAGGTGGTTCGGTACGGAACGCCCGGCACGGGCAAGCTCGGCTTGCGCACTTGGTGGTGATAGGAGCTGCTCCGCGGTCGAGCCATATGAGGGTCGCCTGGCCTTCCACGAAACTGGGCTTCGTCGAAGCCTACCAGTGAATCTCGACGGGGCGGATGTGATAGCGGAGGAGGGGGAGGAGGAGGAAGAGGAGGAAGAGGCATCATCGGCGGGGATTGGCTATGAGGTTTCCGTAGGCGGGTCTGGTTCTGGTTCTCGATAGTGGTATGAGGGACGGTGCGAGAGACGTCTGGCGGCGGCGGGGACGGCGGCGACATTGCGGACGGCACGATTTTAGCAGGCGCTTTGGGCGGTGGGACAGGCGGTGCCGGTTCGGCGGCCGAAGCTATTGTCGCCTCAAAAACTTTTGTTGGGATTTGGGTGGTAGGAGATACAGAGTCGAGTGACGATTCCGGCGGCGGCGGCAATCGTGCTGGTTGGGGAGGTGTTTCTGGCACAAATCGCGGGTTGCAGAGAGTCAAGTCGGCAACCGATGTCGGCGAAAAACCGAGATCAAAGTCGGCAAAGGCGGCAGAGGACTGGATCGACTCGGGAGGGGGCGATGGGTGTGGTCTGTCTAACGGGTTTGTCGTGCTGCTCGTCGTGCGGTGGCCAAGCGGCTTCCGGTGAATGTGGGCGGACGATGGCCGGGATTGATCATCTGTAGCTTCGACTATGAGTGAGGGCAAAAAGACAGATAGGCGGGCAGACCAGTTTGTGTATTTCCGGCGAGGAGATGTGAGCACTAGCTCGTCTCCCGACGCTTGCTCCTCCTCCTTCACTCTTAGTTCCTTCTGCTTCTCGTCTTCTTCCCAGCAATGTGTTTTCTTCATAGGTTCTCCCGTAGGTGTAACGGCTTTCTCGACGGAGCAGGTTATCATACGCCCAATGCTGGCCCGAGATTCAGCTCGAATGCCTGTCTTCGCACCCAACTCGGCAGTTCTGCTCAACACGTCATCCGCCTGCTTGCAGCCTCCTATCTTGATTTCTTTCCCTCGTATCTCTGCGCTGCTGTGCTGCTTTTCCCTGTGTGTTTCTTCTCGGCTCTCGTCGTCTTCAGCTACGAGGTATATGGTGTGCTCCGAAGTGGGTGTCTCTTCACATTCCCGAGCGGTGGCATGGGTACCGTCGCCGGATGAGGTGGAGGCCTGGTTCCTCTTGTAGGGCCTGATGGGGTCGGGAAATATGGGGGATTCGTGGAAGGGTGGAGAAATAGACGGGAGAGAAAAAATAGAGTCGGTGGCACAAGAGGCCGAGAACTTACTCGACGTCATGCTGGGCAACCCGACAATACAAAGTTACACCAGAGTCATGCAGGCGACAAGAATAGCAACGCTGCCAAATATGAGCGGAGTGGAGAGCAAAGTTTGAGAGTTTCGCAAGCAAGGCAGTATGGGAGCCTAGGTGATCGCCCTGGCGACGTAGTACGTCAGTGTTTGGGTCAGAACAAGGCCAATCCGCACACGACCAACCGAAGAAGAAGTGGGTTGGTTTCATGGGAGCTCGCTGGTGGCGACTTGGAACGGGGGGTGACCCTAGTAGCGAGTACAAACCCAAGATGACCGTTTGCCATAGGCGAACATCGCTAGGCTATGGCTTTTGATCGTGCCAGCACGCAAGCAAAAGTGGGATAGGGGGAGGGGCGCAGAGGGACACGTACCGTACTATGGCCTCCGTACGATCTACAAGTCGTACTTGTTTCGTAAGACTCTGGATTCGTTGGAACAATACGGGAGCTAAGATCTGCTGGACTGGAACTAGCGGATACTGGGGGAAAGGAAAAAGGAAAAAGAAAAGAGAAGCAAGATAGGATGCTATGAACGGTGTATGTCAAGAAAGTAGGGAGGGGAGGAAGAAACTAAAAGCGATCGTGCCAAGTGGAACCCTACCAAGAACATTACGAAGTGCTACCTACCTAGAGACAGAGGGGTAATATCGCCGTCGTCCTACTTCGTACCTGCACTGCAATCTTTCTACCGATGTCTTTTGCATGGCCGAGAAACTTCCCCAGGAGGAAAGAGCAACCAACCGTCTCCACGGTGCATGAGTATCCGAGCCAAGATTTGCATGACCAATAAAGTCGTCCTAGTGTAACGGTACGGAGCAGTTTAGACTTTTCCAAGGCTCGTCCCTCGGCATTTGTGAGCTCCGATGTCCGTTACACAAAATATCGGGGTCTACCAGGCCAACGTCGTGGCATGGGTGTGTCTTTAGTAATCTTCCTTCTTGTCCTGCCCAACACAGCCAGAAACAGACAGCGTCGTCCAGGCAGAACGAAGAGAAACGCAGTCTGACTGGCCTGACTTGTAAACGGAAGGCTGTCGTCTCAGTAAGACGAATCGTGTGGATGATGTCTCTAGTGAGCGAGCCAGCGGCAGAAAGAACCGCTTCTCTCCATTGCTGTCCCATCCTACCTTATCCATCTATTATCATGCCAGTTCGGCAAAGAACTGTGCATACCCTAGGAAGGAGAAACAAGATTATGTCATCAGAACCCACAGCCTATGATATGAGTGTTCGTAATAAGGCACAAGTACCAGGAGGACCGGTGGGTGAGTGCCAGTTTTCTTATTGGTCAGACCCAATTCTGCCGTATTGTAATTAGGTACCTTGTACCTACTGATCCAGCAGCCTACAACGGTACACCGCCCTGGCAGGTCAGTATAAATAGTTGCGCCCTCGACCTCTTCTTACCCTTTTCTTCTCTTCTTCTTTAGCTCTCTTTGGTACGTTGAACCCGACCCCTACCCTCGACTTCCAGTCGCATTTGCTAACGGCTTTCCCCCTCTGCAGCCTTTTGGCTTAGATCAAGTGTAGTATCTGTTCTTTTCAGTTTAATCTCTGAAAGGTCTCTAAGGAGACCAATCGTGATTAATCTTATTTTTGGCTCTCGGACGGGGCCCTCTGTGCTTGCACATGACCCTATCCACTGTGTCCCTGGTATTACACTGTCTCCAGGTGACGCGAATGGCATCAGTCACTTCATTTTTCATTGTATGTCCCTGCTTGTCTGGGGCTGCGAAGAAGAATAGCTTCTGGTTTGAACATATATATGCCCCTCCTTGTAATGTTGACTTCGTACTATTCCCATGTGCCAGAAGTGATCGCGGGTATAATACGGTGGATGAATTTTTACGACTGCTTTTCATCCTGGGAGGCCTGACGAGAGCGGCTGTGTGGTGTTTTGGTGATGGTAACAGTGAATACTCCATTCGAGCTTATTATTTCACTGAGATTTGGGAAACCGACTACGAATATAAAAGTCGTTGAAAGCTTAGGCCGGCAACGACCAAGGCACAAGAATATGCTACTGTTTATTTACCTCGACTCCATTCCCGTGTCCGTGTCCGAAGCCATCCCAAACGTGCCTTCTACCACCCACCAACGCCAACCCGAAATATGACTCTTTATGTCACAGAAATATCAGCAAGGTGTTTCCCATTCTTGTGGGAAATGCTGCCCTAATCATCCTCGATATCATCATCGCTTATTACCAGGCTCTGCATGCCCAGTCTAGAGGTGGAGCCGTCGCTTCTCGCCCGGATGGCCACCGCCTTCTTCCGCGGAGACGATTCCTCCGATGGCCTGTCCGTTGCCCAGGCTTCCGCGGTCAATACTCCGCCTTCCTCCTCCGTGATAGCCGCCTCATCCCCAGACTCGTCTTCGGGACCAATACCGCGGAAGGACACCACCTTTTCGATATCTCGCAGTCTCAAGGCATGCAACGACGCGCCCTTGCGTCCACGGGCGATCTGCGCCATGTACGGCAGCCGCTCGAGCAACATCTCCCTGCGCGCCGCGCTCCCCAATGACAGGAGCGGCACCGCACCGCCCGCCTCGGGATTCTGCTGTCCCCCAGCGGCAGCAGCAGCTAACGACGACGACGACGATGATGATGATGATCCCTTAGATTGCTGCGCCGCTACCCAACTGCCGCTACTGCTGCCCGTGCCCATCTCCTTCGGTCGCCGAAAGGCCGCGGCACCCTGTGTGACGTCTTTCCGAGCGGCGCTCTCCTCTCCTTTCAAGAGCTTCGTCGACCAGAGGTCCACCAGGCCTTCCATCTCCTCTTTGCTCCGCCAGAGCTTGATGCTCGTCGGGTAGAACATCTTGAAGGCGTCACTCCCCTTGGTGCCCGTCGGCGCTTTCCGCTTGACCGGGGACGGCAATGAAAAGAGCAAGCCGCGAACCGCCACCTGAAACGTCATCTCGTCCTGTCTTAGCACGTGGCTGCTGGAATCCTTGCCTACAAATCCGGCCGGGTGGCCTCTTCCGCCGAAGAAAATGTCCCACGAGGGACAAAGCAGGTCGCTTTGCGACAGGTACTCGATGCACCCGTTGATGTAATCCAGAGATGATGAGGGGTCTCGAGGATCCTGGCTCTCGCACGAGAGCACGTAGTTTTCGTGCAGCGCAGAGACAAACGTGTGCGTGTCCGTCCCGGTTTCGTCGATCAACGTGTCAATCGACACCTGGGACCGGTTCGGACGAACGTACTGTGACATGTAGCTCGGCAGCACCTCAACCGTATCGTCGGGCGGCGGTCGTTCGTCTCTCTTGTTGTAAACGACCTTGCCAACCGCATGGAAAACGCCCAGGCTGGCCTCGCGTTGCGAAACGAGCTCGAGACTGTCCGCCTCGCCTTTGGTCAACGCGATTCCATCTCTGGCGCCCTTCTTGGGCTTGGTGAAGGCAACCTTTGCGCCCCAATCGGCTTCGTGGTCCCCCTTCAGACAGAGAAACTCGAGCGAAGATATAGCGCTTCGTATGTCTCCGATTTTCCCCAGTCGCTTCAGCACGAGCGGCCCCGGTGTGCGCCGCCGACCAGACTTCCGTGCCTCCTTTATAACGACAAGCTCGAGAGCCTTGGCAAGAATCGAGGGCGCGATGGGGTTGAACTCGATGATACCTGTCCCCGGATGGCGGAGGATTTCAGGTCCCAGCAGGCGGTGAGCCGTGAAACTGTCTGCCGAGGCGGATGTCGTCGTCAGTAGCGTTTCCGAGATGATCATAACCACGGGTGTGATGGGCTTGTCGAGTGGTTGCCGCCCAAACGTGGCAAGGGCTGGGGTGTTGGTAGCCAGGTAATCTAGTATCGTATTTCTGAATGATGTCAGGGCGCTTGAAGATCGCGCAAAGGTATTGGGGAACTCTTCAATCAGAATAACCCGTCGCGAAGGCTGGTCGGGTTGCCTTCCACTGGTACCAAGTGACGCATCGGGCCTCTCGAGGTCCGTATCAAGCTGACCAAAGTGGCCGCCTCTTCCCAAAAATTCCTGAAACTGCGCCGAAGCAGACTGGAAGCCAGTGTTGCCCACCAGGGCCACTGTCGGGTTTCTCCACTCCAGAAGCTCGAATCCTAGGTCCCTCGCCAGCAACCGCATGGCGGTCGTCTTGCCCGAGCCGGCCGCGCCTTTGAGAAGCAACAGCCGTTGGCGCATGCGTCCGCCCATGACATCCTCCAACCACCTCCTGACGTCTGCCACCTTCTTCTTATGTACGGCCAGCTCTTCCAGGTTAATCGGTGCGAAACGCTCGGCCCAGGGTCGCAAGTCGTCGTCGACGGTCGTCGTCGGCTGATGAGGTCGCGGGGGCTTGAGAAACTTTTGGCTCGAGTTAAGTGCTATTGCGGGACCGTGACCGGTGTGGGGAACCCCATCCCCAAGCCGCCTCCGCGCATTTTTGCCCACTAAGCTGCTGCTGCTTGCTTTCTTATCCGCGATGTCGTCATCGTCAGAGATAGGGTCGCTGATGATATCGTCGACGGGGGTGGTCTTGGATGGAGGCTTGGGCTGTGTTGGTGCCTTCTGGGTTTGGTTTGCAAAGAGTGTCAACAAGTCGGCAGACTTGCCCTTCTCTTCAGTCTTGACGCGTTTCTTGCTCCTCGACTTGGGTTTCTCGGGGCTGGTACTCGGACTTCTGGGAACTTGGTTCGGGAGAGTCCGAGAGGAAGAGGCCCGGATCGTGGATTGAGACGCGCGTGTCAGGCGAGTCGGTTCCTTGGAAGGGCTCGGAGAAGCCGCAGGTGCTCTGCTATGAAGACTTGTTGACGTTATCTTTGAACTAGGGGAGGATAAGAGAAAATTGGTCAGAGTATTTGCGGGGGGGTTCTCGTCGTCACCATCCGAATCGTGGACGACGTTTCGCTTCCTGCGTTTCGCAGGCGGCGGCGCCATTGGTAATTTACAATGGCAGGTTCGACGTCATGTGGCTGAGTAGACTCCTATCAAATGCATAGATGAGGATTACAGGTGCTTTCTGAGACCACGATACTGGTAATGTTGAGGGTTTGGTTTGTTGACTGGCGATGGTTTGAGCTCCTGCATCCATCCAAATAATCAGTCTGTTAATTATTATTATTTCGAAGTATCTCCGTACTTCGTAATTGGTACTGTATGGCCGTGCATCAAGGCGTGAGGGCGTCCTCCCCACACCCACTGTGGCTGACTTATATTAGTGGACGGGAACCCACAGTCCCTGCACCGTGGTGATCTGTCCCGGTACATAGGAACCTACGTACGTGCCGGCACGTAGAGGTATCCGTACAGTGTGAAGGTCCACGTATGAATGCGCCTGCCCTGGGTCACGTCTGTATCAACTGCAAGACACGGCCATTTCATAATAAGGTACCCTGGGATTCGCACTTCGAGTTCGAACACATGCGAGTGAAACTTGGGTACCTTGGGTACCTTGATTTTACCGCAAGGTCCCTTAGGTAGGGCAAGCAGGTCCCTCAACCTACCTATCTCAATTACGGTATCCAAAACGATTCTTTCATTTTACCACTTCCAAGAGTTAAGTCCCCGTGATCATACACATCCAGGTTACCTAGCGGTTAACATGACATAGCCAAGCCCTTTCTGCTTCAGAAAACCCACCCGCGGAAGTTGTCGACAAACGTCAGCGCAGCCGCCAGATACCTCTCATGGACATCGCCCCATGTCCTGGCTGCGTCCCTCATAGCCCGAATCGCTGCGCCTTGTGAGCTTCCGACTCGCTAACGAGGGAAAGGAGTCGAGATTGAGCAGTGACGTACCTTTGACGTAGTGAGAATCTGTAGCATACGGGGAATTGAGAGCTTCATATTCCACATGAGCCCAGTGTCGACCTTTGAGGTCCGACTCGACATTATCCGGGTCGATCTTGGGCCGGAGTAGAGAGATGTAAACGGCCAGAGCCAGAAGCCACCATCCCCGCACTAAGTTGACGTGGAACTTGGCAGGGATTACGGGGAGAAGAACCCGTACGGCGTGGCTAGTGGTGAGGATGTGAACTATGAAGAAGTTATACGCATGGGTGCCTGGGGTAACTGTGGCGACCAGCAGGGATACCGCAGCCTCTTGGGATTTCTCGAACTGCTTCACCGGGTCGGAGAAGTCCCACGCGTTCCAATAATCCAGGATCAGGTCCTCGTGCTCTTCAAAAAGCTTGTCGATGTTTTCGAATTCCGGCTTCTCAAACAAGCCATCGAACCGCTTGTCGCTGGCCACTTTGTTCAGCAGCTCGAGCGGCGAATCACAGAAGAACGAGGGCGGCCTCGTGTAGCTCTTGTCGTCGAGGTACTTGTGGAGGAAGTTGTACTGCACCGCGGCAAGGCCCAGGGCGTCCATGGCAATTTCCTTGCAGTCCATCTCGTAAGCGTACCCCAGATGGATGAGAGGATGCCCGACTTTCCAAGCTTTGTTAGTCCACTGATGAGTGACGAGATTTCATGCTCTGCAACCCAGACTTCATCACGGGGAGATGGAAGCGGGACACGTACGACCTCCGATGAGCCCGTGAACCAAAGGCTGCTCGCCCTGGAACAGGTAGTGGTCCACAACCTGCTTCCAGTCGTATGAGAATTTCAAGGCCAGCGCGTCCTCGAAGAAGTCGACATAGGCTCTTTGATAACGTTTGTCGCCCAGGAAGTCCCGCCAGTCATCTTCAATAACCTCGGATGGCGACGCACGCCATGGCTCAAGCTGCTTGGATTCTTCATCGTAGATGGTGTGCAGCTGCGGCTCTGTGGCACCAAGGAGGTAGGCCGAGCACAGGATGTGGGGGAGGTGATTATCGAACTGTAGATGGTGATAGACAATGGCATGATTGACATGGTTTGCCTTGAGAAGATGCTTGACGCACCTCGCCCGCTTGTCTGGGTCCGTCTCAATGTGATGAACTGGGACAGGCGGGATGTCGACAGCGCGGAACTCATTCTTCTCGTCTCTCGCGACCCACCTGTTCACGACAGGCATCCAAGAGAGAAGAGATGCCATGATGAATCCCCGATATGTTGATAACAGCGTCACACAGAAATTAGTCGCGTTTTCAGAAACTCCTGTGTGAATAGGATGCGGTCTGGTGTTCGGTGATTATGATGTTGGATGAATGAAGCACTCAAACCCAATGTTGACGGAAAGCTCCAAGTTGAGAAGTTGCGTGAGAGTTTCCTGACGTCGTCGAACCACGCACGGAGCACATGGTGAACAGGGTGCTCTAAGGCCCACCTCCCTACCTAGCCACAGTTCAACAGCTCGTGGTCGTGTAGTGGTCCGTGCATAACGTCCCAATGGAATGGCACCCCAGGCCAGATGTACGTACTTCGTACCTACCTTACTATAGATACCTACCTTATTCTTCCATGATGGCTCGACGTCGCCCATGTCCTACCTCGACTTCATTATGCGCTCTCTGCGGATGATTCCAGTCATATATATAGCCATATATATAGAGTCCAGACTCCTACGTGACCCCATCTTTAGTAATGCCATCTGTAATCCTAGCCATCCAATCCAACTCCCGTCTATTCAGCGACAGCACTATCGCCGCTCAGACGGAATATGCTGTCCAGGAGAGGACCGTCGAGCTTCGAACCGTGAGTCTACACGTCTTAAGCTCGCGACTTTCCAGTCACTCCTCTCGCAAGGGTCATGGATCCAGCGGGAACGGTTCCATCTTTTGATGATTCTTGGCCAACAACTTCAATGAAGAGTCGACTAGTCGATCCTTCTACCGAGCAGGAGCGCAAGGCCGCAACTCGCATTTCCCGTTTCATGACACGACGCAATAGTTGGAATCGACCTACGAGTTGTTTCTTCTCATCCTAACCCTCCTGGATGACTGGAGAAGACAATGCCCAGTGCGGCATATTCTACTCCTTGGACAAACGGGCTCTGTTGCAGCCGTATGGCGCATGGGATGCCCAGGACATCCCACGATATGCTCTCCGCGGCAGGTTTCGGACCATGGTTGTTGTGTGGGTACTGCGTCCAATACGTTTGCTCTGGACTAAACCGAGGAGGGCCTTAGATTGTCCCTTTTCGGATAGGCTGCTCCGGGAATCATGGGTGATCCCTTCTATCAACCCCCATGAAGGCGTATATTGTTCCCACAAGCTATAACGGCGTGTTCATAATGGACCCGATCTCCTGCAGCAATATATGTACTACACAAAGAGATGGTGCTTTGAACTTCCCATGCACCTCGACACTTCTCGGTCAGATCCCCGGCGCTGATTGGTTCGGTTCAGGGGCCGAAGTGGATCATCGACCAATCAGCAATGCGCTACTCACCGAAAATGGTCCCCTGGAGTGTAAGTGCTCCTGGGTCAAGCTAGGTACGGGGGATGAGCCTCATGAACGGGGTCAAGGTTGAGCGTATTGTAGCTTGGAACTAATAGATTTGATCATATCCCTCGCTGACCCTGTCCTCCTGACAAGTTCCTTGCTCCTTCCATCGTCTTTTCTCGGTGAATAGCTGTTTTACGAGACGTCCAAGCACAGGAACGAAGAGTTCCACTGAACATAGAGAGACCCTCTTGCCTGTCTAGGATACCTATTCAACTTACACACACGGAATAGCAAAGCAGCATAGCATGGCTCTAGTTCTCCCTGACATCAACGGCTTCCTGCAGCAGGTGCCCAGGACCCAGAGGACTGTAACCGAAGACGACCCTGTGGCACGTTACTTCGACCTCGATGCATATTATGGAGACGGGTCTGACGATAACGAGAGTCGATCGGGATCCTCCTCTGTCCACACCCCTGGTCTCGTGTATGATACGGCAACATCCCCGTCCGCAGACTCGGACTCGTCCGCTGTCGACGAACAGGAACCTGCCGAACAGTCCCACCCCCTCGACAATACCAGGAAGGCACTCGAGGAGGTCCGGAAGCAGGATGGACACATCATCTGGCCCCAGCCGGATCCCAACCAGCATCTTCCCCGGAACACCGTGCTCAACCTCCCCACCAACAAGAAGAAAGGACGCCGCTCCAGCAGCCCCGCGTCCCGGCAGGTCAAGAACCCTGCCGAGACGGCCCAGATTAGAAGGCTGGGCGCCTGCATCAAGTGTCGTATTGAGAAACTTAAATGCTCCGACGGGGGTGTCTGCCCTTCCTGCCAGTCCAAGTTTGGCTCCCCTCTGTGCCAGCATACATGCCTCCGGAAGACATTGGCAGAGACGGCCCGCCACGCCACACAAATTCGCTGTATGGATGGCCTCACCCCCCCTTGCAACGACACCCCATACCCCTCCCCTGTCCGCGTCCTTTTGCTCCACGAAGGTTGGAACCACGTGTATGTTGGCTAACGGACGTCCCAAACGGCAGACACGGGTCTGAGGTACAAAGAGGAGCAGGAACTCCTCAAGACCAAGCGAGCCTTTGGCGACGGTGCGACAGAAGTCGTGCTCAGTTTCTTCGACACAAGAGAGTGTCCCGTGCTCCCCACTGTCTTCCGGCAGTGCCACACCCATGGAGGCAACTCGGACATCATTGCATTCCACAGAGATTGGGTACCAAGCTACCCCAGCCTCATCAAATGGGCCGAGCGCCAGATCCTCTTTGAGCGTGACGTTGGGTACACCGCGGGGTTCGAAGGAACCATTGAGCTCTTCGTCATGGGATACGCCAAGGCTTCGGCCACCTCCACCCTACCGCAGGTATGTATGGCGCGCATCCTTGTCGTGTGTTGTCTTCTTCGTCCCCCACCCCCAATTTGAGTTCTGGCTAACTGGGCGTCATCCAAAGGCTCGCCTCATGGTCAAGATCCATGAGATAAGGTGCATGTACCGGATCTGGAGGGCGGACACTCTGTTCTGGCACCACCGCCAGAGTCCCCACTGCCTCCCCCTGCCACCGCTCATCCAAGCAGAGCTGCGCCAGATTGTGCGTCAAGCGCTGGAGTCATCCGAACGGGACATTCTCAGCGAGCTCGACAAGTTCCTCAAGCCCTCTGGTATCTCTGCCGACGACCGGGCTCCTCTCTGGGCCGGACTGTGGCAGTTGATTTTCGTCTTCAAAGACATGGCCAGAATGTTCAATGATGTCGATAAGCAGAGGAACTTTCAAGGGAGAGCCATCAACGGTGGGTCTCAGCCTTCGATGCGGCCCCCCACCGCTGCACTTCGTAAAGGAATGTGGAACTGACTCGGACTCGCTGCAGTCCACCCAGATTTCAAGACATATAAGGCCGCGACCGAGGAGTTGTTGATCGCACTCTTGGCATTTTATGGCAGTCATTACCGGCAGGCGAGCAACTTGCGTGTGGAGCTTCGATGTCTTGACCCGGATCATATACCGAATCCCGCGACCCGCCGCGAACTCGCTGAGCTCTTCAAACAAGCTTATCTCGACCGTGCTCCCTTCCGTACGTGCGACACACTTGTCTTGGTGTTTGAGAGACGCATGCACTTGAATCCGGGCTAACGTTCCGTATAGATGAATCAGTCCAGAACTCGAGTCACGAGCTGGAGCAGTTGGTGAAGGCGTTGGTTGTTGATCACGAAGTAAAGCGGCTCAGCAACAGACGGAGTAGGGGTCGCCCTCAGACACAGGTCATGGTCGTGGATTCCAGCCCTATGTCCATCGACATCGGCCTTGACGAGGACGTCGATATGAACTGATGACCAGAGAACACCGTGCGAAAGGGCCAAACCACGTTTTCAGTCGACTTCTTTGCGCTTTCTTTTTCTGATACGGACTCATGATGACGGATAATGACGAGAGCTTTGAATCGGTGGAGTTCGGGGGCTTGGATTTCTCGACGTTGGGGCGCATTGGGAGCTGGGGGATTTTTTATCCGTACGACGAGATGGACCAGCCTCTAATGGCTCATCTCTTCGATTCGGACCTTTACCCTTTTTTCGGAGGTCTTGTTTCTTTTTAATAATTTAACCAGTCGGCCAAGGAGACTCTCGGTATCCAAACCCTGGACTGCCTGTGGAGAGACTCTCACTGTCAGGTTTATTCTGTCCCGACCTTTCTTTGTCTCGTCCAATGCTGCCTCGAATCTGGGGACAAAATTTAGTTAGTAGTGTACTTTCTGGCTCTGGGTAGAAAACGGGTGGGGTGGTAGGGATTGGGAGGGTAGCTTGACATATGGGATATTGATAACCTACTTCAAAATATGCGGTACTATATCTTCTGACCTGGGCCAAGCCGGGAGAACGTCAACAATGATGCCCGAAACAGCACCTAGGTAATCGGCCCAGAAGCCGGCGTCGGAGTCCACTCCCTCAAGGAGTCCTCTGAGATTCCTGTATAGCTGGGCATCGATAGCGCCAAGATTTGCTCCCCAGCGAGCGCAGACAGTCAAGCCAAGCACAGCTCGAGCAAGGTGGGTAAGACCAGGTGCACTGGGATCTCTCGTGACAGCTTCGTGTAGCGCGTATGAGGCGTTGGCGCCATCATCCTCCCCCTGGTGAACCCAGATCTGGCGAGCAAAGAGTAGGCCTAGGCCGAGCGAGAAGATGGTAGGAGTTTTCGATAAATCAACGTCAACAGGAACGGCATTGAACAATGTCTGCAGAATGGCTTGCGCCACAGGCATATCAGAGGGGTTGATGCCAGCTAGGACCTCTAGGGGATTGCTCTCTCGTATGTGCTTGGGCAGTTTCATGTAAAGTGCACCATCCCGGTTGGAGCCGGCGCAGAAGGTCACGGTCCGGATCCAGGGGACGGTGTCAATCAAGGCCTCGACGACTTCGGCGATGGCAGGAAACTGCTGGCGCCTGCGACTAGACATGCCGTAAATCTTGCCGTCGTGCTCCGCGTTGAATCGGCGCATTCTATCAACCTGCTTGAAGTATTCGCCGCTAACGGTATATGTCCCGACAGATGGGATGGGGTAGGGTTGGATGGGGTCGTTGTGCATCAGCATGCATCCATAGCCCCTAAAGCCCCCGCCACAAAGGTACACATCGATGCCTTGACGATGCCCCTCAGCCTCTACCCGGCTCGCTTTCATGGTCTCGATTGAGTGGCTTAACGCCGGAAATTTGTCGCAAATCTTGGAAAAGGCAGCCCGCATACTGGTTCGCAGTTTGGTCGTTTCCATGGTGCGGACCTTGGCGGATGATCCCTCGAGCACTTTGATCAGTCGGGCCGCGCCGAAAGGCATGCTCTCGCCTGCGGTCGCGGCAGCTACTTCGTATGCGGGCAGCCGTGTATCGACCCATGTCATCTGGACGGAGCCACCACCAAGATCAAGGAAGAGTCCACCGCGAGAGATGTCAACCAAGGTAGAACGGGATCCCATGACGGCGCCGAACAGAGTCTCAACCTCAGGAGCGAGAACGTGGACACCGACGCCGGCAGCGGCTCGGATGGCGTCGAGCATGACGGCGGCGTTGGACGCACGGCGCATAGCCTCGGTAGCGAGGACAGAGAAATGGGCGAGAGGGACATCATAGGAGTCGGCAATGCGGCGGAAGCGGGCGACAGTCTGGGACACCTGGACTATCGTCTCAGGTGGGAATGACAGGGGCTGGTGACCAAGGCCGTCGCTAGTATCGCTATCGCTACTGCAGCTGGAACCGAGGGCATCGAAGAGTGAAATGGCGGCGCGTTCGCGGTAGATACAGCGCAGAAGGCGAGCCTGGGAAGGCGCCAGGTCCGAGATGGAGAAGCGAATACCATTACTTCATGGTTATTTCCGAGATGTTAGCCCGCTTGCTCCTCGCTCTTTTAATTAGGGATGACAAATGTCGCAGAAGGCCAAATGCACCAGCGCTGCGCCCGGGCATCCAACTAGGCGAGGAGGGAAAACATAGAAACCATACACCAAAAAGCAGAGAGATGAAGTAATAAATGAAGCCGACCAACCTTCCCATGTCGACCAGAGCAAAGAGATGACTGGGACCTACGGGGTCCCATGGTGGCAGCCGTGCGTCGAGATTATCAATCGTGATGATGTCAGAACGATTGGCCATGGCGGGGCGGGGAGACTTCTCAAAGCTTCGGGAGGGTTGGACCTGCTTAGTTGACGCTTCGTTGGGGTCAGAGAATCGCGGGCGTCTTGGAGCACGGTATCAGTAGAGAAGAGAGCGTAGTGACCAGCCAACAATGAGAATGGCGGGGGCGTGAGCCGTTTCTGTAAAGCATAGGCGAGAGACGACCGGATGTGATGTGAGTGGACAAGTCAAGCTGAGATTCGAGAAGCGAGAAAAGCAGGCCGGGAAGAAAAAGAACAAAAAAAAAAGGTGAAAGGGCCTTATTAGAGGCTAGAGGTGGTCCCATCGAGCCGCATTCCCCCGATTGTAGGCACTGTACCCATTGCGTTCGATCAACGAACGATATGGATCCGCAAGTACGGGGATGCACTGCATTGCGGGACTTAGCCTAGCTCAACTCCACCACCAGATGAAGGAACCTGATTGACGTTGTGTGTCTGATGATTAGTTTGACCCTCTCTGGGTAACGGGCGTAGCATGCCTAGTCGAGAGCGCTTCAATTTTTTTTTTTCGGCCGATGGAAACGACAGTTTGGTACCTTAGCCATCCCAAGATACGAGAGAGCCGCGTCGTTAGAGGTGGGAGGCGGCGGCGAAGGAAAGAAGAAAAAGGAGAGGGGAGGGGGAGTTTCATCAGTCGTGTCACCCAGAATATGAGAGCTGAACTCGCGGCTGGAGCGGTGACATGCGCCAAAATCCCGTCGATGCTTCTTTCTTCTGTTGGTTCACGAAGAAAACAGGCTAAGGTATGGAGTACATGCTCAGTACCTACCTAGGTAGGTACGAGGCGAGTCGACCTCTCTTCCATTTTTGAAATCCTCACGTGATCACATATGGGTCTAGAAGCTTCGTACTACCCTAACCCATCAAGGATATGAACCCCGTAATTATAGCCAAACGTGGGATGACAGGATTGTCACAGTCCCTTACCTAGGCGACTTTTCGGAGTGCGTAATCATCTCCTGGACCTAATAACAGGTATGCCAGTTCAATGTGGCTTTTGTTGAACAGACCGTAGTTTTTACGATTACGTAACGGGCATAACAGGCACGGATTTGATCAATTTACCCTTTAATTTTGACCCTATATTGACGGTTCCAGTTACGCTGTATCTGACAATGTTGGCATCGTTGAATGTAGCCTGGGTGGCTCGCTCGTGCGTTCATTGACCTCTTCGTCGCCTCGGGCCTCGGTGTGGAAGATGCCGAGTTGGTGAGCATGGCTGCATCATACGTCAAGCAGCTTGTCTGACCAATAAGATGAATAAGTCGAAGGCACCGGAAACGAGAAGATGCTTCCTATACATCACTTGTACGTTGGCCCGCACTCTGCTCCGACATTGGAACTGGGTTTTCCTTGCCAACGCTCTTCCGGAAGACCTCAAATTGGACATTTGAAAAGCAGAGTCGATAACGGGAGACATGCAACATCGCTGATTATGACCGTCTCGTCAATAAATCCCGGGGTCACTTCGTCACCGCAGTTCAGGTTCTTCCCCTGTAGGCTGGGACAGGATAGGCATGGACGACGAGATACCCCCGAGCCGGCATCAAGTCAAAGATCTTCCATCGCATTACGCTACACAGTATAGTATACATACGACTTGCTAAAAAGAAACGCCCACTCCAGGCCAATGGTGTGTCATTTGGCGGCTTAATCGAGGTCACTGGACGGCATTTATGACGCCTCTAGGGCTTCTTGGTCATGATCGTCAGATTCACTGACGTTGGCGGCAGCTGAGTTCGGACCAGAAAAGGACGCCATACGTATTACGTGGGTTGATAGGACTTAAGACGAGGTCCACATGTGGGAGCGGATTGCGCAGTAGCGGGATGGATTCGGAGTATGTACGTACACGAGCGCCTTTTTCGGGGTAGGTAGACGATATATGGGAAGAACGACAGCCATGAGGTGGATAGGTCACTGAATCATGAACATGCGACTGATGCCTTCGACCCCCCAAGATTACATACATGGGTAGGAGCACACCTCCTCTACTGCGAAACAGAAGTAAGCGAGTTTGATAGAGCATCGCGTGTCGTCGAAGGTGCGCATGGACCCTTTCGTTAGTTCTGAACTCTTATCAGACTGACCATCTTTGCGAGAAAGAGATGCATGGGATTCGATGAACTCGACTTGTCCCGGTGAGTTGCGATACAGAGCGTAAGAAATATGGCATCCATCCAAACTAATCACTGGATATGAATGTGGAGTGAATGTGGAGTCGGGATGAACGCAGCGGTAGCATTTCCTCATCGTCGCTCCCATCTCGGGCCCTTTCTGTTCGGCCAGTCCTGGGTAGGCCAATATTACCTGCGCACCCCGGACGGACCTGCGTGTTACGGTATGCCATGCGTGTCTCACTTGAACGGTAAAGAGCATCGCATTCAGCATATCTAGCAGAGCAGACTAAGTGTCTCTGTCGCACCCAATTGACGAACGACTGGACCGCGGCGAGCACACATGTCTGTGATTGTCTTTCCACCCTGATAGCCATACCTATCATACAACGGATACAGAGTGCGGCGGTTCCAACTGGGCAGGGTACGCGGGTTTCGTTCGTACAATGAAGCGTTCGTAGGTCGGACGAGGAAGAGAGGGGGTTCGTGACAGACAGCAATGTAACCCTAACCTCCCTTCCCCTGCCCACGCGCTTGAACGACCAAGTGGGATTGGATGCACATACCTTCTTCATTCCATCGGGGTTTGCCAAGGTGCTCACCGCCAAAGTAGGTACCTCTAGGCACACGAATGTACCTACATGCAACCCCTGGAAAAACGTACAAAGTGGTACGTTCGTCAGCTACCTACCCTTTTAGGAACCTGAGTTTAAGAAGGCTTCGAGGAACGTACCTATACTATAACAGCACCTACGATATACTTTTTTTCTTCAACACTATTATATAATATCCTTAAGTTAATCTAGAATCGATGTATAGGTTTTTTTTATAAGAGAGAATTCAGTTACTACTTTATACACACTACGTATAAGGCACTTCCTTCTAAGTTACTAGATATACAAGGTACTTCGATTTGTCCGGAAGTTATATGGTGGTTTGATAGGATACAGCTTACTAATTATTGCCGTGATACTATTGGTTCATTCAGGCTCCGGAAGTACACTTTGAACAATTAAACAGAGGTTAGAGTTTACTTCCTTAAGGTACAAACTCCGTACTTCATCCAACACTACCTTACTCGGTACTATACTAAGTAGCATCATCGTTCTTCATTAACTGGACATAAGTGTAACTTTGAAGAACGAGGAAGTGAATGATAAAACGAAGCAGACGACCTACGGAGCTACAGCGCCTTCGGGACGGTCATTCATCAGCCAACACACCGGGGTTCATTCGGCACTTGACGGGTTAAAATATACAATGTATACACAGTTCATATCTTACAATTAACACTGTAACACAGTAGACACGTCAGAGTTCTCCGCTCGCGCGTCATGTCGCGTCAAAGTCGCGTCTAGAACGCGTCAATTTTCCACTTCACCTTACGAGCCCTAGGATATACGCAATCAATTCGGGAGTCCAAGTACGTATCCGTACTGCTCGATGTCATTAATATCATTGATCTGGCAGTTTCTAGCTATTAACTTGTCAATAGACGGACAGGAAAGAGGTAGAAGGTAAAAACAGGTTTTGTTGATACCCTTTAACACTCCAGAGGGAGAGACGAAGAAGTGAAAATATGAGGGATTAACAGGCTTTCAACTATCAACTTGTACACCAGAAGATACAAGTGAGCGACAGCATTTCTAAGACCAATAGACTATTTTGCAAGACGTCAATGTCAATGGTGATGACGCCGGGTAAACTCCAGCCGTTCAATTCTTCGGCTTCAGCGAATCGATCTGATACCCTATGCCTGACGTATGAGTATTTGGGGGCTTTCGACATACACTACTAGAAACTCTCGAGCTAAAAACATTCGGACACTGGGCGGACACGTCGGACTCCGAGTATCGACCTGCTGTCGCTCTGTTCGTATCACTCATTCCCATGTTGTCGTTTGAAGTCCCAATCCATTTGTCTCCGTCGTCCTTGTCAGTCACACTTGTTCGGCCCCGAACCCACTTCCCGTTCCACAGCCCCATACCAGGCATCTCATCACAAAGCACGGGTATCGAATCAATCAAAAACCGGCATGTTCAGGTCAAGGAGCCCAAGCGTTCCCCAGAGACGCACGGCACTGCTACGTATCGTGTCAGGGCCGCCTTTACCCTGTGAACCAGCTCGCTCGTTCGGGTTCGATGGGGCGACTTGGCTCCCGTCTTGGGCTCTAGCTTCTACAAAGTACGAAATCATACGAGTACTTCATTGACGATTTCCCCCCAAAACAAATATCCGTACGTCGTAAAAATAAAATACCTAAAATAAAAGCGTCGGTATCCGCCAGATTTATGACAAATCATCCATGTCGCTGCATTCTTCCTGTCTCTGAACGACAGCACTGGACAGATCAGCGCCAAAGAGCCATGACTCGCCCTTTCCCTTCTTATCGCTTCGTTTGCCCGTGGTCTGGCCACCCAAACGTTTACCTTATGTCACTTTAGGTAGGCATATCGTGCAGTCCTTTGTACGAATACTTCGTACTTTCGTGGTAATTATTGGGCGCCCACCCACTGCCATCGTGTGTGTTCGGGACTGGACCTTGCTGCAATGGCTCCCCACAGGGTGTTGCGTTTCTTGAACCCCCGACAAAGCCCAAAGGTGGCCTGTGCTTCGTCTTCTTTCGTTCTCTTTATTTGTCTCCAGTTCGCGTTCGTCCACTGCCTCCGAGGTCTTGTGGTGAACTCCCTTCTTTGAGAGGAGCTGAGGTGATTTTGGTGGACGCCTCCGATAGTACACTTTGTACACACTTTTATACCTTATACTTTATATACAGACACGGCCGACCTTTCTTTGCAAAGAGGGAGAGTGCTTCTCGCTGACGTACGGAACGAATCTTATGGCATCCGTACAAATACCGTACTGGGTATGTACCTATACCTCGTAGGGGCCCTAGTAGAGTCCCCCCTGGCAATAACCAGGTACGTGCGAATTAGTACCCACTGGCGTAGTGTTGGCGTGCTGCTAGGCACGGTACGGTAACTGCCCAGGTGGTCCTCCCACTTCCTTGGGGGCTTCCTTCCTTCCCCGCCCCTGACTGCCCACTCCCATCTCCCAACGGAATCCCGTCCTCATTCCTGCATCCCATCCCACCTCCTTTTCATTTTGTCATCTCTTTTATTTCATCCTTTTCATTTGCTTCTCTTATTTTTGTCCTGTTGGCTGTAACCGTCGCCATCGCCTTCGAAGCTGGAAACTCTTCAAATTACTCAACTTAACACGATAGGTCGACGACGGTGGTCAACACGTTCGGTTTCCTATATTCGCCCTTAACTACAACACAGCCTGTCAAAACCACATGCGATTCATGTCGCGACTTATCCTGCCATATCCCCTACGATATACGCCGGTATCCGTTGAATAGCGCTCTCCTGCTGGAGTCCCTGATATTACATACACGATAGTCGATTGCCGTATGCCGCCTCGAGTTCCCGTTGATTGCGCGAAAGTCCCGGAAGTCGAACTTTGCGAAAAGCCAGTGCGCCGTTGACCACTCCAGCGCTGCACTGTCGCACCTACTCAATCTGCGCGCCACCATCACCATTATTCCAGGTCGCTCAAATTGCCATTGAATCGGTATTTTCTCGTTGGCGCATGTGTCGACGTACAGCTCGGTTGCTTGGCACGCGGAACTTTGGGTTTGGGTCTACACATGCTCGTCAAGGTCGCTCTTGACCTTCTCCCATCTCAAACCGCCCGGGCGCAACATTCCCCAGGACGGCCATCGCATGCCAGACGGTGCCCACATCCAAGACACCATGTCATTCTCGCAATTTGGGGCCGCGACCCTCCCTAAGGGTTTCCGCTGCCATGACGCAAACTCCACTGATCCAAAAACACCGGAACCCTTTCTAGAAGACAACATCACTCCGCAACCGCCCCCCGCTCCTCGCCGCCCTCGCTTCAAGCTGAAAAGGCGCGTGGCCTCCTCCCAGCTCAATGCTCCAACGCAGCAGTTTCTTGCATCTGTCGCGGCCGCCGACGTACCCATACCGAGTATTGAAGAGCTCCAGGTTCTACCCAACGAGTCGATGGCCGCGGCAGCTTCGCCCATCATCCATAACCTGGATGATGCCAACAGTTTTCTCAGCCCAGCGATCCGTCCCGAAGAGATTTTATCGTTGCCCAAAACCCCGGTTCCCGAGACCCTGGTCCCCGACTCCGTTCCGAATCTGGCGCCAAAAGGGTATCCCGATTGGACTCTCGAATCTCTTTCCACCAGTGACGATGATAGCTCGGAATGCGAGTCGAGTCGCCCCTCGACTGCGAGATCTACGCAAACATGCGCTTCGATATTCAGCAGCTATTCGGTCCTTTCAGATGACCTCAAATGCCCCGACACGGATCTAACTCCGTTCCCCGCACTACCATCTACGTCCACCGAGCCGCCTAAGGAGAACATCGACTCCAGTAAAGCTCAGCCTCGTCGCAAGCGCAGAAAGGCTGTCTGGACCCGACCCATGAGTGAGCACTTGTGGTCGACCTATCTCCTCTACCTCCAAGATCCGCGCGTCACGCCCGTCGTAACCGGCAGGAGTTGCATCCCGCCACAGGGTGTTTGTTTGCGAGTGGCCCGGGAAGCCAAGAGGAGCTGGAGAGGCCCCAAACCCCAGGTGGCTAAGCGCGGGACTGTCGATGACCACAAGAGTGGCGGCAGTACACCCAAAGCAGCAGATCAATCTGGCACCTTCTTACAATGGCCGCATACTTGCGCCGCCACACGCGCGCACCTGAGAGAGCTATGCAAACTCAGGGCTCCGGGCGGGAAGCAGTACATTACACGCAGTCCGGCGCCTTTTGGCAGAGCGGCCTCGCGATTCCGGAAACGACGCTCGACTCCTGCGCCCGCTGCACCTCCTGGACTTCCCGGTGCTGATTTCTCTGCCAGAGACATGGCTGTATCTCTCACCATGAGCACGTCCGACTCGATGCAACCTTACGGGCCACTGGCCCAAATTACCAGCTCCACCCCCGAGCCTATCGAGGCACCCTCCCATCCTGTACAGAACAGACGTCTTCCGGCGCTAGATATGTCTTCAGCAGGACGTCAGCGCCTGGCGTCTCCCTTTATGGCCCAAAGCTACGGCCCGAGTTCGACCGGGGCAAGTGACGCGGCCTGGGAAGTCACCCCTCACAGACAACACCAAACTCACGGCCACGACCGCAGCTTGCAGTCGCCCCCCAGGCTGCTGCGAAGCCGGTCCAATACGCAGAAGCGGAGGTCTCGTCAGTCGTCGGTCGAGCCACGGCGGACGAAACGACCTAGTTTGGGCTCAGATCTATGGACGCAGCCCATGAACATCACTCCGGCGACGAAGAGGGTGGAACAGGCGGACCAAAGCTCCAGCTGGCACAACAGGACGTTCAATTCCGCCCATAATACCCAGGGCGATGAGCTTCTCTTGCCGCGCACGAACTTGGCCGAGCTCTTTGCCACTCCTTTGTCGAGAACCGAGTCTCGAAGCGCGGCAGGCCCTCTAGCAGCGTCGTTTGCGCTTCCGAAAGAGGCCCCGCCACGACTTGGCTCTCCTTTTTCTTCTTCAAAATGCAGTCTATCATTTCCCAACCGGTCTACGAGGGCGGAAACCCTGTGTCACGTTGACACAGCCGCGACTTCCAGGTCCTTTGCTACAATCCAGCGACCCGGCGAGGGCGTCCCGGCTACTCCGACCCGCAGCCTGACCGGCCGACTGGCATACATCGACGAGCGGCTACGGGAGCTTAAAGATCGACATATCACTCGCCGTCGGTCTAAATCGCCGGGATAAATGACACGACTAGTCCTATCATTCACGACTTTTTTTTTCCTCTTTTTTTTTTCCGTCTCCTTTCTTAACTTCTATTTCATTGGCTTCCGTGTCTTCCGATGCGTTTTCTAGGCTAAGGACGCCTCAGAACATTACAGACGCGTGTGGCGGGCATCTAGACATCACAAATCGTCAATGTCCTCTCTTCTACCTTCTTATTTTCTTCTTGCTTAGCTATTATTCTTCTCCCTTCTCTTTTCTTTTTGCTTCTTCTATTCTTGTGCGCTGCGGGTACCTTTCTACTTGGTGTAGTCGCGCTCACCGGGTGGATAAGGATATACACCCTATCTCATTGTTCCCCGACATTGCTTCTTGGGTGGAACCGTACGATCATTCATGATGGATACTTTTTTCTTTGTTCATTTTTCAAATGTTTATGGGTCATGAGTACGAATGAATGAAACGACTGAGATGACATGGGCAGTGAGGAGTAGGAGGCTTTTGTTTTCCCACTTCGAGTCGCTGCTGTCCGTCTTGGGCAACGCTGTTATGACTTGATTTTGTCGTTTTTTTTTTTCGTTTTTTTTTTCGATGCCTTTGGCGAAGGGTTTCGGCGCTAGGCTGTCAGATGCTGCGGCGTGCAACGGCTACAGACCACAGAGAAGATAGGCCATGAGTTTTATGAAGGGGTGGGAAATGGGGGGAATGTACGCAGCACTCTCAGATAACCCGGCTCAGGATCTCAGGAATTGGAACAACTATCTATAGCGTCCTTTTCTAGCACAACATCGACTTGCAGAATAACCAAGAACACTTGGGTCACTTGTGCAAACACTCTTCCGCGACAAAGGAAGACGTGCATCGAATTGTCCTGAAAGATGTCCCCAAATGACCCTTTCAGACTTAACTTCCTCGATGCTCGTCTCGGGCTTCTTCTCTTGGGATCCTACTCAAAATACAATATGTTGTCCGTAAATCCTTCTTTGTCTCTATTTGCACATGACAACGCATCACTCACGGTCAGAAACACCTTGTCAAAATGATGGATATAGCTCCCATATTAGGTATTCAAATTCCATGTGATGCTATCTAAAGTAATCCTACCATCGGCAGGACGAAAAGGTTGGAAGAAAAATAAGAGACAATGAAAAAAAAAAAATTGAAAAAAAGGACCCGCCTGAGCGTTGTCCAGCATTAGTCACATGCAGTCCGAGTTGGTCTAATTAGATAGAGGAGCCCCTCCCGAACTGACATTGAGATGTAACAACAATGGCTGGCATCTAATATGCCGTGACCAATGTGGGCGGCCAAAGGAAAATGGGCTCAGGAAGGCAAGAAGAGAACAACAGGCCGGCGTCCCCGAGAAAGAAGTACAACAAATGTAAGGTGTGGCTAGTTAAATGGTGTAGGCCGACAGGCGGGGTATGCAGGTCCCCTACCGAGACACCTAGATGTTTAGTGTCGCAACCGTTTTGGGCTTCGGATACCGGAGAGGTGCTGGCATCATGTCCATCGTGTTGTCGTAGCGTAAGAGGGGAGCGGCGGGACACGAAGGGGACTTGACATGTTTGAAGGTCCTCGCAAACTTAGCGGGCCGCACGTCGATCATGAGGGGTACCAAGATGGGGTAATTGTCCATATCCACGCTCTTGATGTCGTGGGGGCATTTGCCTTCTCCGACGGCAGCGCGGTGGGTGTGAAAGGAGCACTGGCGGAAACCGAACTGGCGCTCGTCGTTCCGCAGGCGGTTGGCGGGGATTCGGAGTTGGGGGTTCTTGATCCGGGCGTCCAGCTTGCCTTTCTTGAGCTTGGCAACGTGAAGGGTGTACTCGACGTGGAAGTCGGGGTATAGTTGGAAGAGGGCGTGGAAGGACGAGGGCTCGATGTTGTCCCTGGGCTCGGAGGGGCTGGCGGCCAGTAGCCACGCCACCATGGCGGTGGCCCATCGCCTGAGTCTCATCGTATCCCTGGCGCCGCGTTCTCCGAACAGAAAGGTGATGAACTGCGGGGTGACGTCCCAGTTGCAGCGAAGGTAGAGATCCTGCAGAGCGTCTACGGACAGGTCCTGCAGCTGGTCGAGGTCGTGGCGGGCGGCGAAGATGTGGAGGTCGACGAGGGACCAGTGGAAGCGGTCGCTGACGGTTTCGGGGGCGTCGCTCACGAGATTAATCATGTCGTCGAGATGGTGGCGGAAGCCGTCCTTCTGGTGAAGCCAGACGGTGAACAGCTCGAACATGGCCGGCGATTCGTCGGGTAGGTAGATGGGGAGGGCGGAGGTTTGATGAGGGAGCGACATGGGGAGGGGCTTGTTGTAGCCTGGCCCGAGGCGGATCATGGCAGCGGGTGAGGAGGCATCGAGTCGGTCTCGGAGCGCGGCGACCGCGGCACTCAGCAGCTTCTTGTTGACATGGAATTCCTTCCGCTCTGGGCCGACGATGACGCGTGCCAGGTCACGACTTGGGGCGCTAGACATCGAGTTGTTCTGTAAGCATAGAACGCCAGAGTGAAAAAGAAGGACGACGATGGACATGCGCGAGGGGGCAGGACAGCGCAGGAGGGGGCAGGACAGCGCAGGAGAGCGCAACGGAGCGCAGGACGAAGAAGCAAAATAACCTACAACTTGATAGTGGCCGATACTGAGGTATTATGCATATTCGCTCGCTTGTGGACTCGCCACCGAGAAAACTAGGCTGAGCAATATTCCTAGGAACGAAAGCGCGTTCTCTGGGCCAGCAGAGGAACGGATAGCACAGGACGAACACAGTACAAGGACAGTGATGAAACCAAACGTTGAGAACCGAAACCAGACGCCTCAAAGGAAAGAACGGACCGAGAAGCACCCGGCGTCAGTCATACATCTGTTCACCCTCCCAGAGAGCGTACGGAGGAGTAATTAAGATGGGAAGAGCAGCAGATTAAGAAAGACGAGAGAGACCAAGCCCAAGGAAAGAAGGTCCGATCCCGTTATGAAGGTGAAATTTAAGCCACGGGTAGCAAAGCCGGGCCTCCGTCCGATCTTTCTGTCAGCAATGGAGCTGGGGGTTCTTGGTGGTTCTGGGGTCGGGATCCTTATGCCTTCCGTCATTCTTCCAGCTCGGCCCTGAAGCTTCCATGGTCATCGAGGGCACATCAAGATATTGTGAGCCAGTTGGGCGGTTTCGAAGCAGTCCCCGTGGTCTCCGTGGAGGGCAAGGGAGGTTGAAACAGTGGGGAACAGACGATGTCCTGCTTGCAGGTGAGACGTGATGGGAGGCTGGGGTCGACGGGTGGACGGGGTCGGTCAGGGGTCTGAAGCATCAAAACGTGCCGTTCCAAACAAAGTAGGGTATCCGTGCGCTGCCTGCGACGGGGCGTGGCGTGGCATATCTATCCATCCATCCATGTCTTGGTCTTGCTCTTGGTCTTCTTCCTCCTTTCACTTCGTCTTCGTCTTCGTCTTCGTACGCACCTGGCATCTCATTACTGCGCAATTCTCCGTACTTTATAGAAATCTCGGGCGCCGCCAATCAAGGTAATGACGGGTATGGGTACGAATTCAGTAGGACGATGGGGAGGTTTGCTTTAGGTGATGGCGATATAGGGCAGGGAATGGGGTCGGTGGAGTGCTCTCGTTCGGGACTCTGGTTAGTTGTCGCACCAAGGGTCGCGGGGGACTCGCCCCCCCTTTTTTCCCGTCGCGCTGCCACCGCGCAATCGCCCAAGAACAACGGCCAGGAGAACAGAGGGCATGCCAAGACACAGGTTTGGACGGCTAGGCGAGGAACCGTTCTTTGCACCCCTGCAGTCCGAGGGAGATAGAAAGAGGAGGAGTGTGTGTGTCTGGAAGAGAGGGGGGAGGGGAGAGGCAAGGTGGACAAAAGGAGACAAAAATGTGCATCCTCCGTACATAAGGTGTAGCGGTCCAGAGCCTGGGAGACCGGAGTATGAACTACGACTCATTGATTACTTAGAGGGAAACATATCCCCGAGCCCGCAGGAGGTTTCTGGTTTGGAGGGGTTGCGATGTGTGATCCTTCGGCCGGGGAGGGAGGAGACGAGGAGACGAGGAGAAGAAGAGACGAAGAGAGGGTGGGAGACGAAAAGAGAAGGACGGGTCAATCACCTACCTGGTTACGACGGGACAGCATTGTCCCCAATCTGTTTCCTTATCGGACATGCACTCATTACCAACTGATTAATTACCTACTGCACCAGGGATCTATTCGGCCCCGACAGTCAAGGTCTTGAGGCCCTGGGGATTTCGGGATTGAGCCCACGGTCGGTTTTATTCGACTCCAGAGTACCGGTACGGTGCATTTAACCAAAAGAAAGAAACGGCGTCGGTCAGCATGGCCTTGAAAGGGCCCGGGCATGTTAAGGATAGCCTAGACTTCATCAGAGATGAGTAATGTCCTGTTCATCTTGCGTGTACAATTACCTACAATCAACCTGGACGCGAAACCGACGTGAAGCATCTACGTATATACGGCGTGGTAATTAGGTACGGAGAGATACTAAAAGGGGACGGAATATTGTGACATCTCGGTCTTACTGAAATAGGTACAAGAGAAACGGTCCTTCCAAGTGTGGAGTACATCCACCAACCAGCGGGCAGTGGACGTGTTAGTACTCGAGTGCCTAAGGTATATGCATAAGGTAAGGTAGGTACGTTGTACATTAGTAAGGAGAAGTACTCCGTACCCGCCCAGCCATTTCAGCGGGATTTACGAATACGGATACTCGTCTCATCGCGTACCTCGCGCATCTTCAGGTGTAATACAAACGGCGCAGAGAAGATGGACCTCGGAGATGCCCAGATCAAGCCTGTCACACTGGATAATCCCTATAACGCGAATTGAAGGCAATTGGAATCTGGACACCGCTACTGCCTGCAAGGTACGAAGTACGTTGCCGTGGAAATTACCTACCTAGGTACCTAAGGTACCTAAGGTACCTGAGGAATGTAACTTGGGTACGGAGTACCTCGTCCTGACCCTGAGTTACCCCGCCGATAAACCAAGCCGACCCCGCCAACATCAGATCCATGAGCTCAACAAGTCAACCATCGGTCGTGAGAAAGGACGGTCCGGTTGAAACAGTACGCCACTTGCAATAGGGAAACATTGGAAGTTTCGCTCATTCAATTGACTTGGATACTATCGCAATACTTGAGTATGGGACATAATTTCATCCAACCTAAGGTAGAGAAGTAAATAATAGAGATCCGACTTTTGCTTTGATGATGACTCTCGCTGCCCCTCCTACAGCTACGCCATCTCTCCGCCAACCGCCCCGTCAAGTCCTTTTCATGGAAAGTGGAAAGGTCCAATAGGACGTTGTCGTGCCTGTCACACTTTGTAAAAGGAAGTCACTGGTGTACCTATCTTCCATTGAAAAGACCGTAGAGGGAGCAAGAACCCCGCCCCAGATCCCCCCCGTTGCTGGCCGAAATCGCACGCAATTGTTAAAAATTTCGACCTCACGCTACTTCGGTCCTAGTGACTTCCCTTGCCCCTCCTCGTTTTCGTTTCTCTCAACCCCACCATACACACCACCCACCGACAACGGGCACAGTACGTTTGAGTACAGTCCCTACCTCCTCCTACCTCTCCCCGCACCTTTTTTTAACTGCTCCTTCCCTCTCCCTTTTTTTCTTCCTCTCTCCCTCTTTTTCTCCTTCTCTCCTTCATCCTCACTCCCTTCCCCTCTCTCAACACTCAATCCCTCTCTATCCTGTTCTTCTCCCCATTTTCTCGTCATATACGGTCTATACGGCGGGGCCTTTTCACGAATCTCTCTATACACCCTCACCCCTTCGTACCGCAAACCACAGTGAAGATGGTCAAGTCGTCGGTTCTCGGTTTCCCCCGTATGGGTGTGAACCGTGACCTCAAGAAGGCCACTGAGGCCTACTGGGGCGGCAAGATCTCGCGGGATGATCTGATTGCCGAGGGCAAGAGGCTGCGCCTCGCCCACTGGAAGATCCAGAAGGATGCCGGCGTCGATGTCATCCCCAGCAACGACTTTGCTTTCTACGATCAGGTCCTTGACCATATCCAGCTCTTCAATGTTTGTTTTGCTCCCAAACACCCTCCCCTCCTCTGACCGCATCCGCTGACTCGTCCTCACCAGGCTGTTCCTACCCGCTACTCCGACGCCAAGCTCGACCCCCTCGATGAGTACTTTGCCATGGGCCGTGGCCACCAGAAGGGTGGCATTGACGTTTCTTCCCTCGTAAGACTTTCCTCCCCCCAACACTCGTTCCCGGGCATAGAATTGTCCTCGCCTCGGAGCAGAAAGGGAAGAAGGAAAGAAGGAAAGAAAAAGAAAAGAACAAAAGAGAGAGAGAGAGAGAGCAAAGAAACATCTCTCAGGAGATCTCGAGAGGAAATGGCGTGCTAACCGTCCTCTTCTCGTTTTATAGGAAATGGTCAAGTGGTTTGACTCGAACTACCACTACGTCAAGCCCACCTTCCAGGATGGCCAGACCTTCAAGCTCTCGGCCAACCCCAAGCCCGTTGCCCAATTCAACGAGGCCAAGGAAGCTGGCATCATCACCCGCCCCGTCCTCCTGGGCCCCGTCTCTTTCCTCCACCTCGGCAAGCCCGACCGTGACCAGTCCGTTGACCCCATCACCCTCCTTGACCAGCTCCTGCCCGTCTACGTCGAGCTTCTCCAGCAGCTCAAGGCTGCCGGTGCCGAGACTGTTCAGATTGACGAGCCCGTGCTCGTCTTCGACCTTCCCCAGAAGACCAAGGATGCCTTCAAGCCCGCTTATGAGAAGCTTGGCGCCGCTGGCCTCCCTAACCTGCTCCTGACCACCTACTTCGGTGATATCGTCCACAACTTCGACGCTCTTGCCGCCACCAGCCACCTGTGGGGTCTCCATGTCGACCTTGTCCGCAACCCTGAACAGCTCGGCCCCGTTCTTGATAAGCTCGGTCCCAGCCAGGTCCTGTCCGCCGGTGTCGTCGACGGCCGTAACATCTGGAAGACCGACTTCAGCAAGGCCATCAAGGTCGTCAAGGAGGCCATTGCCAAGCTTGGCGAGGACCGCGTCATCGTTGCTACCTCCAGCTCCCTCCTCCACACCCCTCACACCCTTGCCTCCGAGAAGAAGTTGCCCGAGGAAGGTAAGACTTTCACCTCATCTTCCCCGCTCCCCTACCGTGACAAAGTGCTTTCGTGCTATGTTGCTAACACGCATCGTCTCGCCATCAGTCTACCCCTGGTTCTCCTTTGCTTCCGAGAAGGCCGTTGAAGTTGCCATCATTGCCAAGGCTGTCACCGACGCCGCTGCCGTCCAGGCTCAGCTCGATGCCAATGCCAAGGACATCCACGCCCGGGCTACCTCGGCCCTGACCAACGACCCCAATGTCAAGAAGCGCCAGTCGGAGGTTACTCCGGAGATGTACAACCGGAAGTCTCCCTTCCCTCAGCGCATTGCTGCCCAGCGTTCCCACCTGAAGCTGCCCCTCTTCCCCACCACCACCATCGGCTCCTTCCCCCAGACCAAGGAAATCCGTGTCCAGCGTAACAAGTTCACCAAGGGCGAGATCACCGCCGAGGAGTACGAGAAATTCATCGAGAAGGAGATTGATGAAGTGATTCAGGTCCAGCAGGAGCTCGACCTTGACGTCCTTGTCCACGGCGAGCCTGAGCGCAATGACATGGTTCAGTACTTCGGTGAGCGCATGGACGGCTACGTCTTCACCACCCACGCTTGGGTCCAGTCGTACGGCTCGCGCTGCGTCCGTCCCCCCATCATTGTCGGCGACATCTCGCGCCGCAACAACGAGCCCATGACCGTCAAGGAGTCCAAGTACGCCGCGGCTCACTCCAAGAAGCCCATGAAGGGCATGCTCACTGGTCCCATTACCTGCCTCCGGTGGTCGTTCCCCCGTGACGACGTGCACCAGTCGGTGCAGGCCCAGCAGCTCGCCCTTGCCCTCCGCGACGAGGTCGTCGACCTCGAGGCCGCCGGCATCTACGTCATCCAGGTCGACGAGCCCGCCCTGCGTGAGGGTCTCCCCCTGCGCTCGGGCAAGGAGCGCGAGGCCTACCTGGACTGGGCCGTCGAGTCGTTCAAGCTGTCGGTCTCGGGCATTGCCGACTCTACTCAGATCCACTCGCATTTCTGCTACTCCGAGTTCCAGGACTTCTTCCACGCCATCGCTGCGCTGGACGCCGACGTGCTCTCCATCGAGAACAGCAAATCGGATGCCAAGCTTCTGCGTGTGTTTGAGCGCGAGGAGTACCCCCGCCACATTGGCCCCGGTGTCTACGACATCCACTCTCCGCGTGTCCCCTCGGAGGAGGAGATCAAGGAGCGCATCGAGGAGATGCTGAACAACGGTCTGCGGCCCGAGCAGCTCTGGATCAACCCCGACTGCGGTCTCAAGACAAGGCAGTGGCCGGAGACCAAGGCCGCGTTGATCAACATGGTCAACGCCGCCAAGTACTTCCGCGCCAAGTACGCTGACAAGGCCTAAATAATTGAGAGAAGACAAAGATGGGGGGGAAGAGACAGAGAGAGGGTCTAATGTGCCTCTCCTGACGTGGGGCTTTTTTTTTTTTGGGCCGCCCCCGCGTAAGACATGAATGGTCTTTTCAACAGACATGAAGTGGAGATACCCGAGATGTTGGAAAAGTAAAGGGATGCGGTAAAGGCGGGGCAAGGGAAATGCAACGGAATGAAACCGAACTAGGCGCATTCAACATAGGCGTTCTTTTTTTGTTATTATTTTTGATTTTGCAACCATCTTTCCGGGGCGTTGGATGGATGGGCAGGGCAAAGACTGGGACTCAAGGAAAAGTGCATTCAACAACGGGCTGGGTTCCGGGTGTGGGGTGGGGGTAGTTTTTTCAGACAATCAGGCCCCTTAACGGGCTACGATTTCGCAGCCATCAGAAATACCTAACAACGTATTTTGAACATGTCGATTTTGCGTCGCAGATGGATCTGAGGGGAGGAACATGATCAGTAAAGGGTGTCGACCACTCGATGGGTCTCGGAAAGCTGATAAATCCCGACGTGGCTCTGATTAAGCATCCCCCACTTCGTCTCGGTTCTTCTTATTTCTTTGGCTCCTCCCGTTGTTCTTCCAGCTGTTCCGAGCGTTTCATTTGTGACCGCAATATCACATCACCTCAGATATAAAGCGCTCGAATATCAGATCCAAGATGGTTGGTACAGCCACCAAAGCGACCCAGGGCATCCCCTATTTCACCCCAGCGCAGGAGCCGCCGGCCGGAACGCCAACCGATGTGGCCACAGCGCCGACTCTGTTCCAACCACTTCGCATCCGCGATGTCGAGCTTGCCAACCGCCTAGCAGTCTCGCCCATGTGCATGTACTCAGCGCAAGACGGTCATCTCACGGACTTCCACCTCGTCCACCTCGGCCAGTTCGCGCTGAGGGGCGCGGGGCTGACCATCGTCGAGGCCACCGCCGTGGAGCCCCGCGGCCGCATCTCCCCCGAGGACTCCGGGCTATGGTCCGACAGCCAGATAGAGCCCCTGAAGAGGGTCGTTGATTTCGTGCACGCCCAGAACCACAAGATCGGCATACAGCTCGCCCATGCCGGCCGGAAGGCTTCCACCCTCGCACTGTGGCACCTCAAACCGGGCACCCGCTGCCTGGCCACCGCCGACCAGGGTGGTTGGCCTGACGATGTCGTCGCGCCCTCCGCCATCCCCTTCGCCGCGGAAGGAGGCTGGCCCGAGCCGCGGGCCCTGACGCTCGACGAGGTCGAAGGGGTTGTGCGCGCTTTCGCCGACGCCGCGCGCCGCGCTGTCGCTGCGGGAATCGACGTCGTCGAGATCCACGCCGCTCACGGGTACCTCCTAACCGAGTTCCTGTCGCCGTTGACGAACCGGCGCACTGACCGCTACGGCGGGAGCTTCGAGAACCGCATCCGGCTTGCCGTTGAGGTCATACGGGCCGTGCGCGCCGTTATCCCGGCTGGCATGCCGCTCTTCGTCCGCATTTCGGCTACCGAGTGGATGGAGCACGGGCACGAGACGGGCCAGCGGTCCTGGGACCTGGAGGAGTCGATTCGGTTCGCTAAGCGCCTCCCGGAGCTTGGTGTCGATCTGCTCGATGTGTCCTCTGGGGGGAACCAGCCTGACCAGCGCATCGAGGTACATCCTTACTACCAGGTCTCCCTTGCCGGCAAAATCCGCGACGCCTTGCGCGCCGAGGGGAAGGATATGCTCATTGGAGCGGTGGGGATGATCAGCGAGGCCGAGATGGCGCGCAGCATCGTCCAGGTCGGGGAGGGGGTCAAGGGGGAGGAAAAGAAGGACCGCGAGACCGTCGAGGTGGACGAGGAGCACGGCCAGAAAACGCAGGCGGATTTGGTCTTTGTGGGACGCCAGTTCTTGCGGGAACCCAATTTTGTTCTGAAGATTGCGGAGGTGTTGGGCGTGCCTGTCAAGTGGCCCAACCAGTACCTCTACGGAGCTCCCAGGCGAAAGCTTTAAGGGGGGAAGAAAGGGGAGAACATAGAGAATCAGGGGGGAAAGATAATGGAACAAAAGAAGACGGAGTGGAAGCGATTTGGGAAGTCATGACATACATGACAGAAGAGAAGAGAAGACATGGAGAGGACTAGAGCAAAGGAGCCATGATCACGACGTGATAGAGGTTAGACGTGAGGACGGCAGGACTGACATGTAATAAAGCTCATAATAACGAGGGTATCATGACGGGGCATTTCCCCGACAGTCAACGTTCGAATGGTCGAGGTTCGACGTTCCTTCTGTCTCACATCTCATAATCCATAATCTCTCATAATCATGCTTGTATCCCATCCCCCAAAGTCGTGTTGTGAGCTCGATAACCCATATCGCCGGGTTTTTTTGGCAGAGAGGGCTTGCCTCTGACGAAGGGCACGCCCCCAAGCCCTAGACAGCGCTTACCCGGCCTGGTGTTTGGTGTGCGGATAAGTATGCCCCAAATCCCAACAAGACTCCCGCTAGAACGAACGACTGCACATAACACCCATCATCATCATCCTTACTTACCATGTTCATGATGCCACACTAGCTTCAAATACGTCCAAGCCTATGGATTCGATTTTCGGATCGTTCCGGCTTATGCGCGAAACTCGACCGCAACCTTGTTGTTCCGGCGGTGTTCGGCCTCTCCCTGACGGCTCCATTCGCTCTCGACGAGGGCTCGGATCAGGTTCACGGTCAGCTCGGTGCCCTGGCAGAGGGCCTGCTCGCTGGCTTCGCACGGCACGTGGAGGAAGACGACGCGGCGGTATTCGTTCCGCTTGTACAAGTGGGCTAAGCTGGAGAAGTAGATGAAGTCGCAGAGGTAGTGGCCGGCGTCTTCGGATATCCTCAGGTCGACGTCCTCCTGGGTCAGGGGCGAAAGGAAGAAGAAGTTTGGGTCAATCGCACAGTGCAAGAGAGTAGGCGGGTTCATGGGTTCTTCTGAGCGTCGAGCATTTCCTTTTCTAGGGGAGGGGAGGGGAGGGGAGGGTGGGTTCGCATACAGGACTGTGCTGACGCCAACGCTTCAAGACATCGGGAAGGTCGAGATCCGTTTCCAACTCGGGGGGCACGCCAGCCCAGATCCAATCGTCGCCCAACTCGCCCTGACGGTCTTGATCGCGTAGGCTCTCGCCGTCCACGTCGGGCATGTCATAGCCGTCGCGGTGGCCGCGGCGCTCGATGTTGTAGAGCATGCTGGGGCCGGCCATGCCTATGTGAACGCAGAGGTCGATGCGACGGCGCGGGAGTGCTGGCGCGTCGGGTACTATCGCGTCGCCGTGATCGCGGTCGTGGTCCCAGAACGTGGGGACCAGGGACCGGACGTTCTCATAATTGACGCGGATCGGCTCTGGGTGCACCAGGATGCGGACGGGCGGGAGACTGGGGCCTGGTGCGGTGGCAGACGGGGAGGGGTTCGGGGTCGGAGCCCGGGTTGGGGGTGGGAGACGGAAGGGAAGCCGACTGGCGATCTCCCATGACGGGTTGATGGGGTAGGCGGCCTTGAATGGCTACAGGGAAAGAAAGGAGACGGATGTCAGTCAGTGAGCAAAGTCGGGCAAATCAACATGTGAGCTTGGGTTGGGTTGAGGGGGCAAGGCGGGGGATTAAGGGGAGGGCGAGGATATTGAAATGGGCACATCATGAGAAGAGGCTCCTCGATATGCGACCTACCCCAAAGCCGGTGACGAGCACCGTAAACTCGTCCTGTGAGTCGATCTGGGATCCCATGGTGCGGGATGTGAAGAGGCTGAAGGGGGAGATTCAGGCTGTCGAAGGGTCACGAGAGGGGGAGAAGGCAAAATGGTCACAATCGAGTGAATCGAGGGACGTACCGAGGAACGTATCGAGGGTCGTGTGATCCCAGGACCGTTGGGGTATCTCGACACTGACGTAACAAGTAGCAGATGCCCTAAGGTACCTAACTGAGAGGGGACACCGACTCCGTAACGGGTAGGTCAGAGCTGCTTCGGGCTGAAAGTTTATAGCGTGCGCTAGCTCAGGGAGGTCATCTTAGGCGGCATTGCAGTATTAAGGGGTGACCAAAGAAAACGGTCCGTTCAGTGGTGCCCCTCCAAAACCCCCCAAAACCCACCAAAACCCCCCAAAACGTGTCCTCCCTTCGAGTCTCATATTTCCAACGTCATGTTACACGCGAGTATTGGCCTGTATATTCCCCAACTCTACACGATTCCGACAACATCACAGTAAATTACAGGTATGGTATACCGGATTTACCAATCATTCAACATTGTTATGACGACCCTTCTAAGTTGGCCCCCGTAGAAACAATGGCATGCATAAAACAACGTGCTCAGTAGAACAAGCATCCTCCTCTTCCGCCTCTCGTCCGCGTCGCAAACCCCCCCAAGGCGACATCCCGTCCAACATATACACGCTCTTGCTTCCCCATGTTGTAAAGTCAAGTATCCTCTTTATTCTCCTGCTCCTGCTCCTGCTCCTGCTCCTGCTCCTGCTCCTGCTCCTGCTCCTGCTCCTGCTCCTTCTCCTGCTGGTTCTCCAAAATGCGCAGACCTCCCGTATCGTCGTACTCGACCCGCCCTTCATTGACAGCCCTCTCCAACTCCGGCCGCAGCACCGTCTTCTCCCCCGCAACCGGATCCCACTCCCACCCCTCCTTCATCCACATCCACCGCAGGCAAGCCCTGAGTTCCTTGTCCTGCGGTCGGACCCGCATCCACTCCGGCTGAAACCCCTCCGGCGCCCCCTTGCCATTCCAGTCCTCCGCGCGCCCCAGCAGCTCGTCCCGGCAAAAGATCCGCCAGCTGTCCATTGCGTACCTGCCTTGCGTGAGATGCCCAATTTCCCACGCATCGCCCGCCTCCTCCGCGCCAGTCGGTATCCGAGCCGCGGTACCCCGGTCCAGAGCACCCGCATCAGCTCCGTCGTCGCCTCCCTTCGGCATAACCATCTGCGGCGAGCCATCTCGCGTGTCGTATCCCCTCACTCGGAACGTGACTCCAGCCTCGGGGGGCCGCTCCATCCAACCCCGGGCATAACGCTGGATGGCAGCTGTCCGGACAACAGAGAGGCCCAGATGTCGAATCATGTCCGTGATGATTTCCGTGGCCTCGGGATCTGCCAGGTGTGCGGGCGTCGGGAACCGTTCCCTGACCTGGTAGAACGCCGGGATCGCCACTTTGCCCGCCGTCTTGATCAGGAACGTCACCGCGATGAGAAGCCAGAACGGCTCATGGCACAGCTTCTCCTGTATCAGGTTGAAGTGGGGGGCTGCCAGCGGCGGGAAGGGAAGCGACGATACCGCGCCGGCCTGACGCCGCCGCTTGCTCTGAGGCCGCGGAGAACGGCGCGGCGGCGAGGTAGTGAAGAAGTGGGACTTTACGGGGCTCCTGGAAGACATGCCGGGGATGCTCCGTTCCGATTGAGTCCCGGCATTGGGAGGTAGAATGGGTAATACCAGATCAGGGGAGGTGGCGGTCGACAATGATTGGACGCTTGTTGGCTGGGTTCTACCACTCGTCGGCGTTAAAAGTCTAGGACCGACTTGGTCAAGGACCTCTTGTTTCGGCTCTGACTCTGCCCTTTCTGTTGGTTCGGCTCGCGAGTGGTCATGATGGGCCTTCGCCTTCTTGGAAGACGGATCGACTGAAGCTGGATTGTAGTCGGATCCTGTCGCTGCGATTGCCTTCGCGCAGCATAAAACATTGCGGGAGCCATTCTCGACTTGCCTGTCCGTCGAGGTCCAGAAATGGGACACGACGTGGCGGGGTCTTGCTCTTGCCGTGGGTCGCCTGGGAAGACCTCTCGTAGCCGTAGCCGTGGCCGTACTCGATAGCTCGGCACTCGTGTTGCTCTGCCCAAGCGGACCGGTGAACCCACCAATGGAGTGCGTGCCAATGCGAGATGTGGTGGGCTGTAGTGATTCGTTGAGCACCCGGATCAGGCGGTCTGTCTCTGCCCAATACGAGCAAGGAGGACAGTCTTGTCGGCGGGGCGCCCCATGCCCGTTTCCAGGAATGAACGCCAACAGGTCGCTGCCATCCAAGGGATCGAGCGATTGAGATCGCCTTGCGCGGAGTGCCCGGGCGCATTGCAGCCGTAGGTTCCAGTCTTCATGCCCGCTCAACAAGCTAGCCTGGTAGAGGGAATATATCTCCGTGGCTGGAGTATCCGGCAGACGCAGCAAGTCGGCCAGGAACGCCTCGTTTCCGTCTTCTGCCTCGTTGGTGTCGAAGCCGTCGAAAAGACACTCGGCAAAAGAAGCCACCATGCCTGACTACCGAAGGCGGAGGAGGTGAGAGAGACGTGGACGAAGATGGTCGTCGAATAGCACTGTGGGGGGTACGAAGAGAGGGCATGTCGAGATGATGCCAAAGAGAAGATTTGAGAGTTTGGGCAAAGGTGCTGTGATGGTTACAGCAAAAAGGAATTCAACATGAAATCGGTGGTGCCAAATATGATTCAATATAAAGAGTGCTGGTGGTCATTGATATTGTATGGATGTGGGAAAAGTTGCAGGCATCTCGAAATCTACTTTATATATTGATTACTTTTTACAGGCATTCCACGTACCTGGTTAATTACCTACCTTACCTTAGGTACCAGGTCGTGTCGCGTGCCGAGGCCTTTCTCGCTTGTCAAGTAAATACCGTGCTTTTGAAAACACAAACAAAGTAGGTGGAAGCTGTTTAATATCTACTGCAAAGCAATTAACTACCTACCCACCAAATATAAGTGAGCTCGAAATCACAATTCGACATCACAGTCGGTTTGTATCACCGCCTAAAAGGTAGAGCTACCTACGGGGCAAGTTCCGTAGGGTACACGTATTTCTAAGCGAAAGGAAAATGAACGGGACACGACAACAGGCTGACCTCCATTTCCTCCAATTCAGACGTGCCTGCAGGTGCCATTTCCTTTTCGGGGAACGTGTGACATGGGATTAGGCGACCACATCCGTCAGTTACCATTGGTCACTTTGCTGATCCATGTGGGGGAAGCGGAGTCACGTGGAACTTATCGCCTCAGCAGCCACTGTCACGCCTTCCCGCTTCCTTCCCTGGCCTTCGTCTTTTCAATGATTGCCTGCACTAACCACTAATCTGCTGGCCCGTTCCCCATTTCCTCACATCTTCAACCACCAACCCTCCACCCCCATCGAGTCCTCCCATCGACCCGCCCCTCCCCGTCTCATACACCAACACGCGCCCATTTCCTTTTTTACAAGTCAACATTAGAAAGGATTCATCGTCACCAGCATATCGAGAGATATGAGTAGTCGCGGTGGTAAATTAGCACCAGAAGTAAACCGGTACGTTGCAACGTTGTCCATCTTTTCCTTATGTCGCTTCCGTCCGGTGATGTTCACCCTCCGGCCGGTCGCCGGTCGCCGTTTGCGGCTCCTCGCTCCTCGGCCTACCTCGGAATGCTCGACTACATACCTTCTCCTCATTCCATCATCACATCGCTAACCACTTGACAACAGAGCTCTGTTCGTGAAGAACTTGAGGTATGCCTGCCTCCCGGTCCTGCCTCGCTCCTTGTACTCGTCGACGACTGAGGCTAACTGATGATGCGTAGCTACAACGTGACTCCAGAAGAGTTATTCGACCTGTTCGGAAAGTTTGGCCCAATCCGGTATGGATGAATACTCCCCTTGCTCAATTGCCTTGCCGCGACAAGACATCGCTCCTTCCCTCTTCTGCGCCGCCTCTGCTGATACACCCGATGCAGACAGGTTCGCCAGGGCATCGCCAACAACACGAAGGGCACTGCATTCGTTGTCTATGAAGACGTAATGGATGCCAAGCAAGCTTGTGACAAGCTAAACGGCTTCAACTTCCAGAACCGCTATCTGGTTGGTAAGTCTCGACTGCCTGCGCAGCCCTATTTTCGTCAATTTTTTTTGTTTTTCCTTTTTTCCTGCCGTGAATCGTAATTTAACCTCATCCTCCTGCAGTTCTATATCACCAGCCAGAGAAGATGCTCAAGTCAAGAGAGGACCTCGAGGCCCGCCGGGAAAGTTTAGCTCAGTTGAAAAAACAGCACGGTATCGAATGACAATTTGACGGGTCTGCGGCACGCCTTCAGACTTCCTCCAACGACTTGTCTGCAGGCCCGTCCTCACCTCCTACACCGACCGACGCCGCGTCACCGAATACGAAGACGGTTCCCCGCAAGAACCCGTCCGACTTTGGCCAAAAACACTGCGTCCGCAAGCCGACTTCCGGCCTCTCCGGATACATGCGTCGAGCCGTCGTCCGTTTCGCTGATGAGATCCATTCCACTCGTCGGCCCCAGACGTGCGCGTGATACAACAGTCCATCGCTCTGGATCAGCATGAGAAGAACAAAAATTTCCGACGGCTCCGTATGACATCTTTCACACATCCACCATTTTTCTTGTATCATTGCTTTCGGCCCGGCCCAACCGCTCCGGAAGAGAGCATCACCCCAGCACCACGCATTGAGTTCTTTTACTACCCCAACACGAAATATTTTGCACTGATGACGAGGACGTGTTGGGAACTGTTTATTGTTTATCCGGGCGCCCGCGGTCGCTGGAGACTTGCTTATTATTTTACTTCTTGCCGGGCTTTTTTTCTTCTTGTTTTCTCTCATTAGGTGCTTGGGTTTGTTGATCAGGGGAGGGTTTTGGCACGAAGGCTGCCTTTGCGAGTCGCCCCCCTTTTGAGTTCCTTCGCAGTTGGAATCGATTTTGATCAGTATGGGATGAATACGAGACTCTTGTGAGGGCCAATCTCACACTGGAGTACGCTTCTTCAGCCGGATGCTGCATTGCCCTCCAAATCATTATGATGTCCTGAATTTGAGAATTCCCAACTGTTTCACGGTTTGACTGTGATACGTGTAATGCAAGCTTATTCCGGGGGGGGAAACAACATTTCACCATCTCGCCCTAGGACCGTCGTTCCAAATTCTACAGCTGTGTTTTCTTACTTACACGGCACAGCCCAATGGAATGAAGTAGAATGTGTACCGTCAGGTATTCGACTGTTGGTAGAATAGAGCAAGCATTTTGCACTCCCTTTATTGCTTCTCCCGGCCTACCCCGCCATCCTGAGTTTGACTATAAAACTAGCCCCCTTTTCTCTACAGTTGCATCAAATAGAGCAACACGACTTGGTGCTCCCCCCAACCGTACTGCTTCGTACTGGTCTGCTGCCCATCATGTTGCGGGACCGTTGTAGCTTTGAGCCTCATCCGCCTAGATCTTTCGCTTCCTAATACGACAAAATGACAATCTCGGCCGACATCCCGATTCGTTTCAGTGAAAAATGTCAAACCCTCTTCCTCCTCCACCGTATCCTTCCCCTCGAAGTATGATAGTGTCCTTACGGTGTGTGACATGACGCGTGACGTCCTCCATCAGTATACCTTCTTCTTCTCGTCGATGCTGAACTGGCCAGGACCACTGTTGACCAGGAGAAGGAGGCCGCCAACGATAGAAAGGATCTGGAAGAAGTCGTACTTGGCAAAGTCCTTGTGGGGGTGGTGCTCGTGAAGCTGGTTCGAGACTTAGCATCCGGATACGGGAGAAGAACATTATGCGCAGTAGGGAAAGCCAAAAGAGGTGGGGAGGAGGTGACTGGATGGAGCAAAACTTACAGTCCAGAAGTTGTTGACCAAGAGGTTGAACATGCTGAGAATCACGACGAGGAGCGTGGCGCTGAACTTGGCCTTGAAGCCCACGACGACCATGATGGACGCAATGGCGCCGATGACGGAGACGATTATCCTCCCAACGGACCACGAGCCACTAAAAACAAAGCCCACGAAGAGGAAGATAAGTAGTACACGGCCGGCCAACTGGAAGTACATCTTGCGGTCCTTCTCGTCGATCTCGGGGATGCCGGCGAAGGCCTTGCTCTTGCGTACCCACGAATCCGACATCACCATGAGCAAACCGCCGATAACGGAGAGATTCCGGAGGAAGAAGTTAAGGTCGAAGATGAGGCCATAGCCGAGTGCCTGGGTGACAACGACGCCCATAAGACCGATGACGGCGTAATCGGAATGCTTCCGAGTAATGACCATCGTAGACCCAGTAATCATGGCAATGACGTTAGCAAGGAGGAAGAGGTGCGTGAGTCCGGAGGGAACTGGTCGAGGTGTTAACTTTTGCATTATAAACCAGCATGCATATGGCTGATAGATTCCCCGTGGCGGTGTCCAACAGGGCGCGCAGAGCAAGTTTCTTGAGAATCCGGGTCTCACATACTATGTCTGTATTCATTCAGGTACAAGAGCTGGTCGCTCCACTGGGTGACGATTCGGAGGGCATCTTCAAGGAAAGTGACGACAATGAGGAAGCGGCCAATGGCAGGGAGGTACCTAATTCACGACAAGTTAACACATGGGGTCCTTCACCATCTCATTTGCTAAGGGCCTCAATTCTATTGATTCCCCTCGCGGCTATAGGCAGCGAGAGTTACTGCGGTTGGGAAGAGAAAAACAAGTCCAAGGGGGCCAGCTGGAAGACCTACGGTTTTACAGGCTCGCTGACAGTATCCAGCAAATCCTCAATCTTGCTTGTGTACTGGCGGATGGTGTCTAGGGCACCCGGCTCGGAGGTTTCCATGGAGGGACCGCCGAAGGTTGGGGGGCCCCCAACACCGAGGCCATAAGACGGTCCCCTATGCTGAGCCATTATGGAAAACAGTCGACTGGATTGCTGCTACGGCGCACAAAGAACCTTGGACCAGATATCGTGTCTCGCGCGGCAAAAGATCAAAGCCGGTATCGTTGCTTTTCTTTCAATGTGCGGTCGCCAATAGCCCAATTGACCGTGGGGGCACTTCAAAGAGAAGAGTTAACGCGAAGTGTGTGGAAGTTGGTTATTCCGGCTTGCGGACGGAGGGGGACGAATGACCAGGGCAAGGTCTGTCGGTCGTGGGTAAAACGAAACGTTGATGTATCGTAGCCGAGTTTGTAGTCACCGAGCTGTTTATGAGGGAGGCTGGAGGGTTTGGGGAAAAGACAAAGTACTCCGTAACGTGTCTGAAGTAGAAGAAGCCAGGCGGAATTCCCGATGACCTCAAGACGACAACTGTGTCCTTTCGGAGCTGCGATACAGTGGCAGGTGGGCTTAAGCTCCAGGCCCGTCTCCACTTTTTTTCGTCCGGCTCGATTCAGATCAGGGAGGTCGAAAGGTAACTGTGGTATGTATCCTCCGGCAAAGGAACTTCCGATCTACCAAATCTGTGGTGGACTACGCAGTACCGCCAGCTCACAATACTTCTTTTTCTTGTCCAGTTTGCAAGGGAGCCTCGAGCTCTTGGCCCAGGGTGGGAAGGTGCCTCGGTGGTCCGTGGAATTAAAGTGTCCCTGGATCACGAACAGTGAGACTATTCGTATTTGGCATGTGCACCCCGTATTACTTCAATAAGCAGAGTGTCGCCTTGTTAGGCACATATAACTTTGGTATTAAGTTCGAATGATCATCTACAATTCACTGCGGAGGTATGTTCCACGGGGGAGTTTTTTCTTGATATCATGATAGACAGATAGAGAGACTCGTAGCTACAAATCTTAGGGATCATGTGGGACTTGCAACTGTGTCTGGATTCACGACATGCAGGGCTGTGCCGCTCCTAGGAGTGAGACGACTTAACCCCTCAATTAGATGCAATTGTGACGAGTGATATAACCACCACCACGTACGGGAAGCCTCTTTGAGCTGCTACCACTAACCCACAATAAGAAGGTTATCGACCGAGGTCATGGACAAACCCGTGTCGGCATTGGGCGGTACTTGGTGTTTCCATGGTGTTTCCCAACTTTGGCTGCTGTTCCAGCTACCTTTGGCCCTGCGTCTGTCGGCATACCAGAGAGAGATTGGAGCCGGAGACCATATCGACGGACAGATCCGTGCCTATCGCTCCATATCTGTAAACTTAGCCTTTCACAGACGGTGATGTAGCTGGGTCGGCCGATGGACACCGAGGGAACGTAGGCAGTTGAAGACCAAAGACATACGTGGGGGTCAGGAGTGGTCACGGGTGACTAGAATATTAAGGTGTTGTGAATACACGGAAATCAGCTTTCCGACGTTTAGTCATTGAATTAGCGCATAAGGTAAGCTGAAAGAATAGGTACGGCAGCAATGACGAAGTGAAAGCCTGGAGGAATAGAGATACATACCTACCTAGGTAGGAAGATAGGCACCTGGGGAAAGTTGCATGTCAGCATGTCAACTTTGCAGCTGGCTGCTCTATATATCTATGCCAAAGTATGCAAAGCCATCCTGCCAGAAGAGATGAAAAAGACCAAAAAGACGTTACAAGCAAGATATATAGCCATATTAGTATAAGCCAAACTGCTTATTATCCAACTAGTTATTCAAAGATAAGGTGCTTCAACGCAAAGGATACCTACCTGAAAGTTCATCAGCTCGTGGTGTTGTGTTCCTTACCTACCTTAGGTATAGACCAAAACCAACTACTTCGTACAATGTACTCCATAGGTGGTCAGTGCGCGCCTTCCCTACGCGGTGCGTAAAGTCGTTCAGTACACCGAAACTTGATCCACCTATCACGCGCCGACTTTTATTCAAAGTAGCTTTCAACAAAAGTTCAGCCTTGTGATCGGTTGCAAACCCGTCACATCTCTTGCCACAGGCTCCTCCTTCAAACCCTCAACGGCAAGGAATTAACCATCATCCATTTTCTCACCAATTGACCCGGCTACTCTTATACCGCCTCGATTGACTTTGTGAGGTTGCCATCCCGAGCCGCAATCATGAACGGCGAAGCCTACTCTCGAGGTGCGTGTCGTGCCGCAACCTCCTTGCCCGTGTAACCAACGAGTGAACTAACAATTATGTCATTCTAGATGGGCGACGAGGTGGAGGTAGGGAGTTCCAGGTACGCGAGTATTCACCATGAGCTAGCATTTACACCTAAATTAACAGCAACTCGACAGAGAGGCGAACGGGACGAGCGACGCGACAGAGATAGACCCCGAGACCGCAGACGGTCTCGCTCACCATATGATCGGAGCTCACGGCGCCGCGATGATGAAGATAGCTATGCTGCAAGCCGCAGTCACAGAGAGCGGGAGCGCGAAGACAGATACTCCGGTCGGGATAGACGTGCCGAGAGAGAGTGGGATCGCGATCGTGGCTCCTCCCGCAGGGATGCCAGGAGGGACGACGATGACCGTTATGCCCGTCGCGCTGATCGAGATCCCTACGATGATCGCCGTCGTGGAGGGCGTGATAGACACGAAGAGCCCCACAGCAGAAGGGAGCGCCAACGCACTGCCACACCGCCCCCCAAGAAACGCGAGCCGACTCCGGACCTCACCAACGTGGTTCCCATCCTAGAGCGGAAGCGGCGTCTTACCCAGTGGGACATCAAACCTCCCGGTTACGAGAACGTCACTGCCGAACAAGCCAAGCTCTCCGGCATGTTCCCCCTGCCGGGCGCTCCCCGTCAGCAACCCGTGGATCCTACCAAGCTCCAGGTTTTCATGAACCAGCCCGGAACTCCGACCAACAGCGGCGCGCTGAAGCCGACCAATTCACGCCAGGCCAAGCGTCTTATTGTCAACAATCTGCCCCCTTCCGCGACGGAAGAAAGTGTCATGGGCTTCTTCAATCTTCAGCTCAACGGATTGAATGTTATTGAGAGCACCGACCCTTGCGTCCAGTGCCACCTATCGAACGACAAGTCCTTTGCCGTCATCGAGTTTCGTAATCCATCCGAGACCACGGTCGCTTTGGCAATGGATGGTATATCCATGGAGCCAGATGATGCGCCCAGCAACGGTCCCGCTGCTGCCCGCGGCCTTCATATCAGCCGTCCTAAAGATTACATTGTTCCCGCGGTGGTTGAGCAGACGCCATACGAGCCAGGCGTCGTGTCGAACGTCGTGCCCGACACACCGAACAAGCTCAGCATTTCTAATATGCCCCACTACCTGAACGAGGAACAAGTGACGGAACTGCTAGTCTCGTTCGGAGAGCTTAAATCGTTCGTGCTTGTGCGGGACAGGGGAACAGAAGAGTCACGGGTACGTTGTCGTTTCTCCAATTTCAACCAAACAGTGCAAGCTAACTCGGAGCGATACAGGGCATCGCTTTCTGCGAATACGTCGATCCCGCAGCGACAGACGTTGCATTACAAGGGCTCAACAATATGGACCTCGGAGACAAGAAGCTCAAGGTTCAAAAGGCCAGCATTGGCGTGACTCAAGTTGCGGGAGTCGAAATGGGTGTCGCCGCCATGTCGATGCTCGCCGGGACGACATCAACCGATTCCGACATTAGCCGAGTGCTACAGCTCCTCAACATGGTGACACCTGATGAGCTTTTGGACAATGATGATTATGAAGGTAAAGCCGAGCCCAGTCTCCCTCACCCAGTTTCACACTTGCTTTGGCTGACCCGCTTTGCAGAAATCATGGAGGATGTCAGAGACGAATGCTCTAAATATGGCAACATTCTCGAAGTTAAGATCCCTCGTGCGACAAGCGGAAGCAGGCAGTCCGCGGGCGTCGGTAAAATCTACGTCAAATACGAGACAAAAGAGTCGACCCAGGCAGCCCTCAAAGCTCTGGCAGGCAGGAAGTTTGCAGATAGGACGGTCGTCACAACATACTTTCCCGAGGTACGTTCTCTTATCTGTCTCGACAGCTTCTCGCTTTTCCCACGGTCAGTGCAAGACTAATACTTATACTTATCACCACACACGTTTAGGAAAATTTCGACGTCAATGCTTGGTAGATTGACGAACCAGTTGAATGGCTCTACATATTCGGCAAGCGAATCCATCTGCTGTCACGCTGGTATCAAAAATTGGTTAGGTGGCTTGGTCGATGGGAGGGAGTCCCCGAGGACGCCTGTCATTCTTTGGCCTTTGGCGGTCGGTCGTGTATTCATGTATCACTATCCGTCACAGATGAAGATGAAAATTTTAAACAACATATACGGTGTATATTGGTACTGTCATCACACTCGCCCTTAGGCCCATATCAATGGTGTTGTTGGCTGGACCCAAGGACGCAAGGGGTAAACATGCGCACATAGACAGGCAAGTAGCAGAATGTCTAAAAAGAATTTGATTTCGGAGTGATCTACCTACTGTAGCTAAACAGTAGTTTCTAAGAAATGAATAGAATGGAGAGGGACTTCCTGTAGGCAACACTGTGTCTCTTGTTAGTGCAAACTTCTCGTGTCAAGACAATGCTGCATGTCGAGATTGGGAAGGCTAAAGATCAGAAGTCCGATTCATTCATTGAGCACGAGGCTCTAAAATAAGAGGTACCAGAAAAATATGAAATGGAATGATCATCATATCAATAGACCGCTGGAAAAGGGAAAAGAGGAATACTCACGAATTTGGGAAGAGGTCCTCTCCTTCAACGTCCGTTCTTGGACGCATGTAAATACTCCAAGGTCGAGTTGGGGATCAAGTTGAAAGAAAATCTCAATTACTGGGACAAGGATTCGTAGAAGTACATGCTTGAGCACTGACCACTTTATCCTTATCAGTCTATCTGTGGGTCCAGACCACTCCCGCCTCACGTTCCCTCCCCGGCCCTAATTAAGCGAAGTAAGCCCGTCACCCACCCACTGCACCAAACCACCTTCAGATCTGGATAGCTTTTTTTTCTCGTTTGTCCAGCGACGAATTCCGCCAAAGCAAACATCACCACCCACACCGTCCACATCCCGACGTCGACGCGACAACCGCCAAAATGGGTAGACTTCACAGCAAAGGCAAGGGCATCAGCGCGTCCGCCCTCCCCTACTCGCGCAACCCCCCCGCCTGGCTCAAGACCACCCCCGACCAGGTCGTCGACCAGATCTGCAAGCTCGCCAAGAAGGGCGCCACCCCTTCCCAGATCGGTGTCATCCTGCGTGATTCCCAGGGCATCGCTCAGGTCAAGATTGTCACTGGTATGTTTGGCTGCGGACGGAGACATGCTGCAAAAGGGAAAGAAATTTGCGGGACCTAACGTGCTTGCTGTAGGCAACAAGATCCTCCGCATCCTCAGGTCGAACGGTACGATTCCATACCCTTGAAACCAACAACCCGACCGAAATTCTCGAGATATTTCCCGCTCGAGCTGTTCCGATACAAGCGTTTGTCCTCTCGAGGACAAATTGCACAAAATTATGCCTCTGTACGGTTTAGGCTGACAGAGAGACTTATTACAGGCCTTGCCCCCGATATTCCGGAGGACCTGTACCAGCTGATCAAGAAGGTTGGTGAACTCTACTTTGGCAAATAGCCTCTCGCCAATCTGGCCGCGAAATGAACTGGGCAGGGTTATATTAACATATTCGGGATAGGCTGTCTCCGTCCGCAAGCATCTCGAGCGCAACCGCAAGGACATGGACTCCAAGTTCCGCCTCGTCCTCATTGAGTCGCGCATCCACCGTCTCGCTCGCTACTACAAGACCGTCGGCGTCCTGCCCCCCACCTGGCGGTACGAGAGCGCCACTGCCAGCACCATCGTTGCGTAAGCGATGTTTGAGCTTGGTCATATGGACCTCATCAGCAGGGATTGGGATTGGACCGGCCCATTACTTTCGGCCATTTTGTGGACATGAATGAAAAGCAAAGCACCCAGGTTGTCATTGGAGTTAGGGATAGGAAACTGCATTTACGGCGTGGCAGCTTGCTCCTGGGTCACCGCTGGCGGCCTCTTGACGGTGAAGCAAAAGGGTTATAAATGACCGAATGGGCGAAGACGATTCCCATATCCTCCATTATCCGCGCCGACCCCGCCCAATGCTCTCTGGGGTATCATGATCCATAGTGTGACGCCTCCCCTAGACTCAATACCCCACCTTTAACGCCTGTAACCATGTCGATCCCTCTTCCGTTCATATAGCAGCTAGCCCAGCGTACGCGATAAGAATAACAAACAAAGCAAAGAAATTCAAAAAATTACTCAGTGCCTTCCAACTCCTTGGATCGTTGAATAAGGAATTCGCCAAGCTTCCGAAGGGGGTCTTTGGGTCTTGAACAACTTAATCAGTATATGCGGTCGGTTGCAAGTTGTGTCCGGGCTCTCAATTTTCCGAGCGTGGCAAGGGTGTTCACTTACTGTTCCTTGGCAATCTGCTTCATGCCCTCCAACAGGACACCCGTGACCTTGGTATTCAGGTACCTGCGCACGGGGTCGCCATGGAGTGCTGCGTTGTCGGGAACGTTGACGGCCGCGTCAGGGTGGGCAGAACCAGCTCGCGAGCTGTTGGGCTCCTGGGTGCCATTGTTTCGCATGGGCGTGCCAGTGCGGCCTGGCGCCGGACTAGGGGCGTTGGACGCCGCGGGTTGGGCTACCACTGCGGGAGACTGGAATAGGGTGTATTGTTATGTTAGCTTTGGATGCAAAACAGAGGTGACATAGGCCATGGATAATGAGATGTGTGAATTGCAGCCATGGCTGTCGCAGGGATAATAGCTTGGAGAATGCTACTGGGACGGGACAGGACTAACGGGCGCTTGTTCAGAGGCAGGGGGGGCATCGGTCATAAGGGCGTCGGTGGGAGCGGGTTCGGGAATCGAAGAGTCGGATGGACCAGTCGTGGCAGTCAATTCTGCTGGACCTGGCGTTGAAGCAGATATAGACCCATCCTGTGCGAGGGTTGGTTGGACAGGCGTCTCGGACATTGCAAGATTGGATTGGAGAAAGTTGGAAATAGACGTCTGTCGAGAACAAGAAAAGAGCAAGGTCGAAGAAGGTAGAATTGAACGGGCGAAACAGAAGTCAGAAGTCTTGCGAAGAACCAGATTTAACGAATTGGAGCAGAAGAGAAAAGGTTGGGCAGTGAAGAAAGAGCACTCCGTAGACTTATGGAGGATGCTGTGGCTTGCGATTATATCGGTAGGTATGGTAGGAGCTCGTTGCAACCCGGTCGTTAGAATACGAATAATTAGGTCCCACTCATGCTGTTAAGTTCACGAGGTCAGCTGACTTCGCGTATTCCCCCCGTTCGGTACTTCGTATGTGGGATTTTCAGCAACCCCCCTCACCACGTCTCCTTCTCCTCACGCGTTAAGAAGTGATACACTGTGTATCTACTTTGCTCCTTCCTCCCAGCAGTGTCCTTATGTCTGCTCGAGTTCTCTAGCGATTCCACCCATATTGGCGCCTTGAGATGGAAGCTTTCATACAACGGCGCAGTATCCGGACCAAAACTCTTCCCGATTCTCCCGTTCCAGAGGAAAGACCCGTGAAGAGGGTGAAGCCAACCCCTGACCACGGCCAAGTCGACACAAACAATAGCCCTAGCAAAAACGACTGTTCTGAGGAATCAGACTCAGAACAGTTGGAGTATCATGCCATAGAAGATGTCATTGAAGATGGAAATCAGAAGAAACACTTCCGACATACTGCCATTGAAGACTCTTTGCCCGCCATCCCATCGGAGGAGAGGCCGAACGAATATGGAGTTCCCAGAGTATCGCCAGCCTTCGATTCCGATGGGAAGACGGAGACAACCAAGTCCACATGGATCAGAGGCAGGCGTTCAATCTATGTCGACGCTTTCAACTATGCTTTAGACGTTGTTCTGGAAGACGAGTCGCATTTGTTTGACGCCAAAGAGCATGCTGTATTCGACCAATGGAGGCAGCTGGATTATGAGTCTCAGTACCTGTGAGTTGGCTCGCCCATGGCACCGCACGGTATTAGGCACCCCGCGAAGCAAGGCAACTGAGACTCTTCGTAGTTATGTCCGGCTGTTTCTTCGCAAGACGTCAGCATGGCATCGCCATTGCCGACTCGGTTACTATGGCGACATTTCTGACCCAGAGGCGGCCATCAAGACGCTCCAGGAACGGAGGCAACTCCCGGATGCGTCTCCGGGTCTATCTGCGAGTTCTGTTACCGAGAACGAACTCGGAGAGTCCCAATTGGGCAGCAGCTTCACATTCTGCGATACGTCAGAGGAGCACATCCGCACGATTGAGGAAGCTGCCCCGCTTCTAAGCTTAGATGAGCTGAAAGTTTTATGCAAGGAGGCCAAGGTCCAAGGGAGAAACAAAGCCGAGCTAGTCAAGGCTCTTTGCCGAATGAGTCGCCATCAAGCCAGCCTTCAGGCCGTTGGCCTGCAGCAGATATCTGGGACTGGTGAGAACTCAACAGCCGAGTCGTCAGCCTCTAACGTCGATGCGCCGCCCGGTGAAAGGAAGCAGCATTCCAATCGAGCGCGGCATTTCATGGACAAGATCTCGGCGATTGTAGGACCTTGCATCAGGCTCTCGCCCTTGACGTACGAGCTCTTTGAGCGACTTCATCTAGTATTCTACAGGTCGACGGAATGGACGGAAAAGTCCTTGACCACGATTATACTAGCGAAGATTTCCAGGCGGAACTTTCCCAACTACATCATCTGCCGCACGTCGAAGATCTTCGAGTCTCGCGAACATCTCGTTGAATTTGAACGAGCGCTGCGACTTGAGACAGAAGTGGATGATATCCTGGAGTCGAATACAGCAACTTGTGAAACAGGATTCTTACGAGTATTGGAAATATTTGACAGTATTTATCCTCGGTGGAAGACGCTACTCGCGGAAGAGCAGGTCAAGGAGGATAAAGTATACGAATTCGGCGAGGGGTCCTACCTCAGACGATTCACGCCAGCACATTCGTACACCAGGATCCTTCACAAGGCGGCATACGCTTTGGGGCGCCTAAAGAGACACGCCGAAGAACATTCGCTTCTCACTGAACTTTTAGGTCAGCGCCTCTTCCACCCGGCAAGACGCGGTAGCTGGTATCAACGGAAAGCTCTGCTCGAGGAGAATTACATGCATGCCCTGGACCCAAGACCGATATCCAGCGACCCGGAGGAGCAGAAGAAACACTGGAAGCGAATCGCGAGTAGGACTTGCGAGCAGGGCCTGCAGGACAACGACTGCCACTTGATCTACCACCATGGCTTACAGAAACGCCTTGTCAAACTCGAGAAGCAGCTTCGTGTGGCGTTTCGGCAACGGCACGACTTTGGCCATGTCCGACTCGCGAGTCCCGAGGAACATACTGTCGAGGGGGTTCAGCTGAAGAGGGAAGATCCGGTCGGCAGGAACCGCCGACAGGCGAGCACGAAGACCATGTGGCTAGACGAGCATGGACACGGCGAAGAATGCAGCGTCGAGGAAATGTGCCTAAGCTGGTACCGCAGCCAGGGCTGGAAAGGATACCACGCAGAAGGAGGGATCATACGAACACTGTTCGCGTACCTATTCTACGACATTCTCTTCCTCTACATACCTAACGTCTTCCAGACGGCCTACCAGACGTGTCCTCTCGACCTCCACACGGATTCATTCTACCCAGCGCGAGCGTCGGAGATCAATCACCGCCTCGTGGACATAGCCAACGGAGGCGCGGAGCGCATCATACGCGAAGTCGCCCTGAGGGAAGGGGAGAAGAGAACCTGCGTCGTCGGGCTGAACTGGGACTACGACCCGGACGACCTGGTGGAGCTGGTTACCTGCTTTGACGGCGGCGCGCTCGCGACGATATGCAAATTGATGGCGCAGGAGTACCGGCAGCGGGGAGGGGGCATCCCCGATTTGATTCTGTGGAGGACGGAACCGAGGAGGGAGTGCATGTTCGCCGAGGTCAAGAGCGCGAATGACCGGTTGAGCGACACGCAGAGGTTGTGGATGCATGTACTCACGGGGGCTGGCGTCAAGGTGGCGCTTTGCAACGCCGTGGCCCGAGAGGTGAAGTGCATCGACTGATTGACTCTCTTTTGGCCGTTGGTAGCGTACTGAGCGTACTGAGCGTACTGAGCGTACTGAGCCGGAGCACATTCTCCGAATTCGAGTCGAGAACGTATTATACGTACAAACATTGGACGTTCTAACTTGGACACGGCGCTTTCGTTTGCGGTAGAACCAGGGGAACATCGTGTCCATCGACGCCGGCATGATAGCAATGGGGAATACCCGGCTTCCGCACCACATGCAGAACCCCAATGGATGTTTTGCAAAAAGTTGTTTCGAGACGGTGAAACGATGCAAGGAAAGTCCGGGCTGGTAAAAAATAGCACAGGAATCCACGAAGAGGGAGCGAAAGAAAAGCAAAGGAAGGCCCTGAAACGAACCAGGGGCTGCGGTGGGCGTGATCTGCTTCTGACAGCTATCTTGGCCTCGTTTCAGGATATTTCTGGTCACAGATCACAACGCATGGGGAGGGGAGGTACGGGACTTGTCGCATTCTTCACAAGCCGTTGATCCAATCAGGCTCAGACGTCCAACGACAGAACGCTTGTCCATGTCGAGTGGAAGAGCAAGTCAAGCGGATTCTGCCATGAAAGCGTGTCACGGTATGGGAATCACAAAACAGGTCTCAAGTGGGATTCGGCGACGGCTGTTTTGCATACAGGCAGGAGCTAAGCAGAAGAGAGATGCCAGAGGACATGGGGGAATGGCGGGGATTCATGTTCATGTCGTCGTCTCAAGGCACGGAACCAAATTCTGCAGGGAGAAGGCAAGGAATGCGAGGAAGCAAATCTCGGCACACTAAGTGGTCAGTTGATGTGGTTCGTTGATTTCGCAGGTAACAGTGACGAGAGGCTGCACTAGGCACAGACGAGGAGGGGGTGACGCAGGAGGGGATTTCCGTGTTTCTCGGAGGATCTGTCTCCCCAAGGCAACGCAACGCCTGGGTGTTCTTTGCTTGTTGCTCGGATGGACTTTGGATTTCCTCCCTTTCTCTTCCTTTCTCCCCGAGTTTATCCAAAGCCCAGACGCCGTCCTGCCTCTCCGCAACCACTGCCCCCCCGGCTTTGAAATCACAAAAGCCCGTCATGTCAAGGGGCCCACGTCTTTCCCGTCCACTCTCACCCCTCTCACCCCCTCTCATTCTCCCTCGGCGCTTAGCAGTCCCCCATCCAAGCCAATCACCTGCGAATTCTCGCCCCGTTGGTGGCCCCTAACCACGCCAACCACATCCCTGTCCGGGGCACCCACCCAATGGTTATCCAAGACGCCCAGAGTCAACGTGTTCGACAGGCGCTTAATCCGAGATGACCTTTGCGCCAAGTCTCACGTCCCGCGACGCGACGAGGACGAGACACCCCCCCCGTCGTCATCGCTCCGATCGATGCAGCTCCCAGGATTCCGGGCCGCACTACAGCTTCATCTAGCTTAGCGCGTGCCGGCTGGTTTTTGATGGGGCCTTTTGTCCCTTTTCTTTTTGCTTTCCCTTTGTCTATGTGGGAGACCGGGAACCGGGAAACCCAAACTTGGTCAAGATGGCAGTCACTATTGGCATTGTGAGGGAAAAGAGGGAAGAAAAAAGGGGGGGTAACCCGCATGTGGCAGTGCGTGTGCCAATACGGCAAGCAGAAAAAGGAAAGAAAAAAAGAAGAAAAAAGAAAAAGAATGCTCCTCTTCCAAGTTTCGGTGCCAGTACGTGGTCACTGGATTAGCAGTAGGTAAGCAATATCACCGGCGGCCCCGCGTGGTCGCATGGTAGGCCACGCTTCACAAAGACGGGTAAACATTGTATTTCTGCATATTGTTTCTTTGTGTTTTGTCTATGGACTCGCCAATCAGCAAGCAAACAAAGAAGAAATAAACGAGAAGGAAACAAAACATAGGAGGGCGGAACAATAAGGTAGGTAGTGAAGTTATATTCGTAGAACTACCCAAGACAGATGTAGACAGGACAGTAGGGTTTCTTCTTGACAGAATCTCTCCTAGTTGTTATTCCCATGCCGTCGATTCCATTGCGTCTTTTTTTTCTTCCTTTTTTTCTTTTTTCCTCCCCAGAAATTAGGAGAGTTAGATAAATTGTATCCCAAGCCAACCGACATATCGTTGCGTAGCCCCCCAGCCAGCCACCCAGCCACACGCCGCATACATACATGGTAGAAAAAGAAAGGAAAAAAAAAGGGAAAAAGGGAAAAAAGGGAAAAAAGGAAAGAAAAAGAAGAAAAAAAAAAAGGCGTGAATCTGAAGAAACACATTTGCCTTCCCTGGTATCGCATGTGGCACGCTGGCCACCCCACCGGATAAAACAGCGTTACCTACGCCGTAAAACTCCAAAAAGAAGTGTCATCAAGTTTGAACCCCTCCGCCCCAGCAGTACAAGTTTCGTTGATTCCGCAAGGATAAAGCCGCCCATTTCCCTTTTCCGCCGTTCCCAAAAGAAAAGATAGAACACCGTTGGACCTGGTTCTGGGTACTCGGTTTGGGTTGTGTTGTCTCGCGTCATCTCGTCTTCGGCGCCAGGAGTTGACAGAGCAAGACGAGAGGTTTATAGCCGAGAAATAATAATAAAAAATAGACGTTGACAAAAAAGAAGAAGAAAAAATGGAAGGAAGGAAAAAAAAAGAAAAGAGACGAGACGTAAAATCGTAAAAGGAGAGAAAGCCCGGGCCATGGCCACGAGGGAGAGAGATAAGCTAAGCAGCCGGGGTGGTGAGATGAGACGAGAGGAAGTCGATGCGTAAAAGTAAGTACTCTTAAGGTGCGCTTCGTAGATGATGGAACTTTCGTGGCATTGGCAAGAAACGAGAAGGCAGGATCATGACGGGGTGTGTTCGACCTTGCGCCTCTTCCCCCTCGGCGCGGGATTCATCCTCGGGGTGGCGTGGTAGGTCACGGTGCGGGTGACGACTTGGCTGACGTGGCGGACGCTCGTCCGGGAGGGCTTCTTCCTGGCCTTGAGGACGGCGTCCCAGTCGAAGACGGAGTGGACGGACCGCGCGCTGAAGGGGGAGCGGGCGGTGGTCGGGGTGGCGCTCCGGGGCGAGTCCAGGTAGGAGAAGGCGGGCGACACGGGGATCTTGAGGCTGGGGAACGAGTCGGCGCCGTTGGGCGGTGCGGACATGGGCAGCGACTGGGTGAAGGGGCTCGGGGGCACGACGGGCGCGGTGGCGGGGCCCTTGAGGTTGCGGTGGTGGTGGTGGTGGTGGTGGTGCTGGTGATGGTGGTGAACGTCGCATTTGCAGGAGCAATCTGTCCGGTCGCTTGTGGCGGTGGACGGCTCCGAGTCTGAGGAGGCGGGGGAGGCCATGGGGCTCTCGCCTGAGGTGGCTGGGCCGGAAGCTGAGCTGGAGCTGGAGCTGGAGCTGGAGCCAGAGTTGGGGGGCGTTAGGGTGGACGGTGAGAGCGAGCCGGCGGACACGGACTTGAGGAAGTCTGTGTATGCTGTGGGCGGGCTGATGGGGGTCTTTGCTGCTGGAGGGTAGTACGAGCAGGCCGACATGGGCTTGGCGGAGAGAGGAGTCGAGGTTGAGGGTGCTGTTGAGAGGACGGCCTCGGAGGGGAAGGTCGCGCTGACGGGCGTGGTCAGCTGGGGCAGCTTGGGTTTGGTGTTTGCCGGCATGGTGAATGGTGGGTGGTGGGTGGTGGATGGTGGATGGTGGATGGTGAATGCCTGGAGAGAAAGGATGCGAAGAGGGCAAAGGACGAGGCGATCAAGTCAAGCGAATGACTTGGAAAGGTCGAGCTGCCAACAAGCCAGCTGCAGAGACGAGTCGCCTGTGAAGAGGAAAGGAAGAAAAAGAAGGGGGGAAGAATCCGTAGATAGAATGGTGGGAAGGGGAAGACGTTATATTAATCCCTTGCAATGTTGGTGGATAGGTATGAAGTAATACAACTGGGCCAAGTCGGGCGCTTGAGTCGGCGTGGTAAAGGGCTGTGTAAGGGTGGTGTATGTACGATGTAAGTGAGGGAACCGGTGGGGGGGTGGGCGTGTGAAAGCCCAGGGTAGGCTGGACAGTCTGGACAGTCTGGACAGTCTGGACCCTTAATTAAGCTCCTGGCTCCCGGCGGCAAGGAGGTTTGTCTCCCTTTTTCTCTTCTTTTCTTTCGTCGCTACCGGTGCGTACCCGGAGCTGCGGTCTGGGGTATGGTCCGGGGTCTGAAGTAGGACGACTTGAGCAAATGACAGCGGGTGATGACCACGAGTCCAGGACAGAGAGGGGTTTATTTCTGGCGTATCCCGGAGGGCTAGAAACAAGGGTGGGCGGTGGAAACAAGGGTGTGTTGTGGGCCCTGACTTTGTGCTGAAACGAAGAGATAAAACGAAGCCTTTTGAAACGTGGAGGATCGATCCGAGGATGGGTGAAGGGATTCCCGTGCAGAGCTGACAGACGGCAGACGACGAGGCGACCAGGCGACCCAGGCAGTGGACAGAGACAGACGGGCAGAACAGACGAGACTGCCGTGACGCCGGTCAATGGTGCTTGTGTGACGGACGTTTCTGTTGGTTGGCTGGGGCGTGAAAGAAGTGGACGAACCGAACGAGAGAGCCAAGGAAGAAAGAGGAGCGAGCCAGTGGTACGTGAGGACAGGGGGGTAGGGGGGCGTGATGGAGGCGGCAAGCTCAGCAGTTCGTTTGTGTCGGAACCCTGGGTGAGCGTCCTGATTCGTTGGTTCGGCGCGTGTGAAGTGAAGATGCACTGCCTCGGCGTGGATGCTTGCAGGGTGGTAGGCGACAAGGGAGATAATTAGATGATTTTGTTCCTCCTCGTCTCTCTTCGTCTCTCGGTCGCCTGGATTAGAAGTGTGACGGCGGCCAGTACGTCGTAGTCACAGCACACACAGCACACACGTCCGTTTCCGTTTGCGTTTGCGTTTCCGTTTCCCTGTCTGCGTCCGCGTCCGCGTCCACGTCCGCTTCCGTTTACTATTCGTATTTCCCACTTCCTATCCTTACTTAGCCTTAGCGCACGCTATCTTTCAAGGGACTTGATTCGCCCTTCTCCTCTTGCTCTGTCACTTCTTCCCATGCAGCGTAAGGAACGGTGCTTACCTTTCAATAGGATGCTTGCGCACAAGTGACCAGGCGGTCTGACGTCCGATCCGGATGTTGGTGGAAGGTGCTGTGAGAAATTCGTAGGCCGTATTAGAGAGAAGGATGCCGCGGTTGGTTGGTGATGGAAAGAAGAAAAATGTGACTGTAAGCCAAGCTTGGTTCGCTGGAGAGGGAAGAGGGTGAATCGTGTAGTGATGCTATTATCACAAGCCTCCAAACATCTCGATTCTCAACGACGGGAGCCAACAAGCCGCTTCTTATATCCTCCAACCTCCACACTTCTTCCTTTCCCTCGCCCTCACTTCATACTTCGTCTTTCGTGTCCCACTACGGTACTTTGGCGCACTTTGTCAATTGAGAGAGGGCCTTCCTTGATGGCCGCTTCCATCCAGCGCGCGGTTCTACCTCATCTCGACCTCGTAGCAGACAACGAGAGGTCATCCTTGGTTTCTCATTCCTCCCACGAGGCTCAATGCATGCATCTTCCATCGCGTCGTCCTGACGACAAGCGACCATTTCGCCCACACCATGAATTACTGGTAGCAAATACCCGCCTTCATGTTTGAGCACGCGCGAGCTCCATGAAGCTGCAGAAAAAAAGAACGGTCAAAAAAAAAAAAAAAAAAGCCCAAGCCACCCGCGTTTATTACCAAAATCTCCTCTGCCTTTCCGTCGCTTCACCGGGCTCCCGAGGCCAGCCAGCATTGGTTCCTGTCGCTAGTTGCTGAAGAGTCTATGGCCTAGGGGTAAGGGGAACTGCTCAGGCGCCTTCACCACTGCTGAGTTGATCCTGGCGTTAAGATCCAGCAGTTCATAGGATGGGTGGGAACCGGATGCAGCGCCTATTCTATCATATCATAGGACACCGTTTCCACGTACGACACACAAGAGTGCAAGCAGCAAGCGCCTAGAGGATCTGAAATCCGCTGTACTCACAATTGACCACTCGCCTTCAGGAATCCAAGAAACCCACGATACGCCCCTGTTATTGACATACCGCGCAGGAAGACTCGTTAAACCAGTCAGCCCATGACATGCGAGGACGGATGAAGGGTTACCCATCTCCCTCTCCCTCTCCCGCGACGGCACTTGACGCATGTATATCGGCTCTCTCAGCGTCTGAAGAAGATGTCACGGCCGACGCTATCCTCTGCGACTTTGGGGCATCTGGCCGCCTTCCACGACAGCCCACATGTCCATGTCGTCCCCATCGAAAAGTTCCGCATATGGCCGCTTCCTCTCCGTGATCTCGTAGATAGCGGATGAGAGATCATGGAATCCCATAAACAGCTGGTCCGCCTTGGTCTCTTCCGGGATTGGGGCACATATGTCGCTTCATGCGTGTAGTCGCCCGAACTCGGGAAACCGCTCCAGGGCTGAGCCGGGAAAGTCGCAGAGTTTGATAGTCTCATCGGCGGCGACGACATCGTTTTCGGTGAAGAGTCCCCCCCTTCCCTTATATGCCCTCGGAATACAGACACGCGACGCCCTGGGAAACTCGATGGCCAACTCTAGGCGGCGCAGGAACGGGGCCAGGACGAGTTCTTGATGGGATGAAGTACCGCAGATTCCTCCTCGCGGATGACCTGGTATTAGCTCCGTGTTCTCCGTCGACGGCGTCCGCGTCATAGCGCGTTGTCGTCGATCCAGGGTGGACTTCAGGGCCCTCGGGCTTGACGACGACTGGACGCCGAGGAGGTCCAATAGTCGAAGACGGGCTTACATAACACTAAAATTAATAATCTTCTTACCATCTCGGGACTCGGGACGAATACGGAGTAATTACGTATCCGTACAGAGTCTCTAATAAGGTACCTATCGGTCACAAGGAAAACCACCTCTACGGGGGAAACAAGGGGACGTCTTGTCCCAAGAGCCTACCTAGGCATAAAGCTGCTCTTGGGTCAGGGTCTCTGTCGGAATGAGATGAATACTAACTTCACTTCGTTTTTCTTCTGCCAAAAAGTTGGTTTGGGCCACCACAGATAGAGCAAAGGCTGTGTGTGAGTGACATGTCGAGTTGAACCTCTCACCGACATTCCCGCCACTGGGAGGTGGGCACGGGCCTGGAGTACAAGTACCTCAGGTCAATGATGCTGCTTTGGACAAGGGAAGAGTTTGCTGGTGTGGGTGGTGCGATTTTGGGGGCTGAGGTCCCCGGCGGTGAGTCACGTGTGAAAGGTTGCAGTATCTTAGCTCCGAGGTGGGAAGACGGGGAAGTCGCCGTCATCCCATCCGACCCCCGCAGGATGTGAAGTCGATGGAACTTGGCACCAAGCAATATTTACCGGTAGGCCTGACTGACATGTCACAGCGCATCAACCCACCGTATTTTCGAGAGATTTTGTTACGAGTATAACCTGAGTAATTTCGTACCTATAAAGCCTTACGTCCTAAAACTGATAATATTCCGATAGGTGATATCATCGCCAAATGGGTGGGATGGGATATGAAAGTACGACGTCTTCGTAGAACAACGGAAGAGCGTTTGAACGAGCTGGAACTGTGACTGCCTAAAAGGACGTGGGCTATATTTAGAGACCATCCCATCCGGGGCAGTGGGGAGGGAGAATTGAGCGTTGATGACCGCAACGGTGGCGGTAAGTAATTAGTGTAAGTAGCTGCGATGTACTGAACAGAAGTCGGTGTCGGGGGTTCACTGCCAACATGCCAACTCGTCAAATGTCGGTCGATCAGGCTGTAAGGCAGGAGGCCCCCATGACCCGAGGGACGGACAATGCCGACGGTCGTCTTGACCGCCACCACCCTGGGGGTTTTCAGTTCCACCGCAAACTCGACTTGTGAGCAGGTGGGTGCCGTCACTATTATACTGCTTCTGCCTCTGTTCAAGCTGTTCGTCCAAACAAGGTGCAGGTCGTTAGGGAAGGTGAAGAGGTACGAGGACGAGGGGTCGACCTCGTGTCGGGACCGAGTAAGGTAGGGATACTAATTACTCTGTAAGTACCACGTAGTGACTCCAGCGTGGGTGGCTGAGGAAGTCCCCGATTCTTTCTTTTAGGCGTCGTCTTGTCATATTGCTAACCAAGATAGGCAGGAAGTCTGATTATTTGTTTCATTTTGGGATTCATTTTCACAAGTTTGTCAGGTCCTCAAGACAAAAGTGACGACTTGCTGACCTACCTTACCAAATCATATCAACCTTGAAGGGAAACGCCCGTGTGTGAAGTACACGTGTATGTACGTTGTAACCCCAAGCTGTGCAGGTTGGTGTCGTACACAGTAAATGTATACTGTAGCAAGTACGGCATCAACACTGTACCTAGGTATGTACTCACAGCAAAGAAGCACGGAGGCGGGTAATTACGTACGGAGTCCTCCGTATTTTTCCTTCGCCATCCACGACGAAGCAGGGCTGACCTCAATATCACAGTGAGCAGGAAAAACGGCTCGCACTGTGGGAGCAGGCATCACGTCATGACAGCGAATCAGATTCCAGGCGCGCGAAACACAGGACCCATAGTCTGGCTGATTCAGCCACTTAGCATGGTTAAAGGCAGTCCAGTCCCTCAAATCACCTCTTCGCATTTTTCCCTCGTCCTCTCTCCCACAACCAATCAATAAAAGCCCGTCGATTCATCAATCAGCAATCAGATTCGACTCTTGTCCAAGCCAGGGCAAAGTTTCTGAAAACGACACACGCCAATTCGACCAACGAGAAACCGTTCGCTCCGCATTTTTAATTCGTGCTTGTTCTTCCCTGGGCGGCAGACCGGGGGACTCGAAAGCCAACCAAAATCGACAGGCAAAGGCGAATCGATTCAAGCTTACCTGTAAGCCTTTCGTCGCGTTCGCGTGCGCGCACCCTTTCCCCTCCCTCCCCCTTCCCCCCCTTTTTTTTTCCCCATCCATCCGACCGACTGTCCAATCGTCTGACCGTCGCATCTTTCTTCATAGCCAAAGTGGTCCTGAGGGAAGTGTGTGGTGACTGAGCAAGCAACGGGAGCCCATCCAGCAACCGTAGCGCATCGCGCCGCTCCGCTCCGACAGCGTCCGTCCTTCAAGACACGGCCAGGCACAAACCACGTTCTCCAAAACAAGGCACGTCCACGACGTCTTCGAGTACGAGCGTTCTTAGCCGAGTTGCAGAACGCGAGCACAGCATTGCTACACCGTACTTGTAAGTATAGCTCTGCGCAAAACGCCATCGAGCGCCTTTTCTTCTTTTTTTTTCTTCTTTTTTTTTCTCTTAACTTTATTTCCCCCCCTTGATTTTCGGTTTCCATTTCTTCTCTTTGTACGTTTTCTTTACCCCTCGTACACACAAGCCCGCGTCAGTAGTCTAGGCAGGACGGACGTTATGACCTGCCTCCCGACTATTGCACCCCCATCATGCCGTCTTCTCCTCCTCACAACCCCCCCACACGTTGCTTCCCCGTTCCAACTAGTACTAGTTGGTACTACTACTACCAATCCCACCCGCCCAATCTTCCATCCCTGTGGTGGCTCTTTTCTCTCTTCTCTGTCCTCCAACAAATCAGAGCACGATCGCATTCTAGAGACTGCCTTGGCCTTTCAAACATCTACGACTATCATCCCAACGAGAGAGCCTATCATCATCGTCAACTTCATCCTCATAGCCTTCATTGGCCCCTGCTGTCATTCCCGTGACAGTATTCATCTGCGGACAGTCGCTTAATCCTTCGCAAGCGCAGATCTGCTCTCCGTCTCTGTTGCTTTACCGGGACGCGATCACTCTGTTCTCACTCTCAATCTCTTATACTTTGGAGACGCCGCTGTCGTCCCCTTGCCAATCTTCTTTGCGCTGGCCTGGTATGTTACAAGGACACTTTCTCTGATGCCTTGTCAACGGCTCGTCAAGTCCTTACCCTCGTATTCTCTGCCTCCCGTCCAAGTGCACGTGGAAGACACTTGCCTTTGGCTTCCTTTCTTTTTTTCTTTCCCATATCAGTTTCTGCTTCTACCTTTTCTTTATCTTCACGTCTCCGCGCTATAGTCCTACCCGTGTTCTTCGCTCTGCGCCTCCTACGTCATGACATAGGGCTTCTTCGGTCACGCTAACCATGGCCTTTCAGTGCGACAACCTACAGCGAATTTGATTTACCTCTCACAACCAACCTCTTTTGAAGGTAAGCCTACCGGTAACTCGTTCCTTCGTTTCCGTTTTGTATTTCTTCCTGAACAGGCAAGGAAACAAGTATCCTGCCTAATTCATCCACCACCCTCTTCTCTGAGTTGCAACGCCCCTCCATCTCTTTCTTGCCTCGCGCCCACATTTTCGATACCCAACGCTCTCCATCTTCCAATCTCCCCTCCTTTACCTAGCCTTCCCATCTCCCTAGCCACAGGCTCTTCATAGGCGTCAGAGGTACGATTTCATCGGGCGTACCTTTTCTTCTTAGAAATTGGGACTACATATGGCGAAAGCTACGAATCATGTTGGGCTGCAAGGCCAATGTGCCTCACCCCGCCCCTCCTCTCCCGTCTTGGCTCTGCGGCCCTACCACCGCCAATTCGCCCGGGAAATGCACTGCAATAATGACTTGGTCAAAGGGAGACCAGCCAGCGCACGGCCACCTCCATTCTGGGGATCTAGTCGCAGCTCTGCGCTTGTCGAGCCAGAGACATTGCTGGCACGCCCCTTTGCCTCGTGAAGCCATATATGTCGATATAGCTTGGGACAACTTTGGTCGGGCTTCGGCGATGTCACCTGTTTTCAAGAGCCGCCATCGGTACTCCTGTTGGCATTGCCTCATGAGCTGGTTGGAGGAGGTGCCTTCCATGACGCCGCGTATCCCATCATGCAGACGCAAGGTCGCTGCCAACACATCAAATTCTAAGAGGAGAAGAGGGAGTCCCTCCACCATCTTGGCCACCCCCTAAACTACCTTACCCCACCTCTTGTCTCACCGTTCCGGGCCTTTGGTTTTATTCTCAATTATTTATCCTCAGTTGTACTAACAATTAGACGCACATAGATCCTCGCACAACGGGAGTCGCATCTTTCCGTCCAGTGTTCTTTGGGGGTACTCGAAGTTTGCTATCTGATCGCTTCGAGTAGCAACCGGCGCTTGCACAAGACTACATAAGAGGAAACATTCTGGACCCCGTCCGTCCTGACCGCTGGTGAACCAAGAAAACCATCACGTGGTCGGCAACTTTCCCTCCCGACTAAGTCGCCCTCGACTTTCTTGCGCGCCCCGCCATCACACCTTACATCAGCCTGCATATGTCGTGGTCGGACCGTCACGCAGCGCACTTAACCATTTTCAACGCTTGCCAGCTCATACCGCATATCCAATAGATAGCGCTGTTCTATTGACCCACTTTTTTCTTACAATCGAATTACCGAAACGACAGCGTCCCCAGAACGCCTGTGCCCAATTGTACCCAAACCGGCGGGACCTCTATTCTTAAAGCTACCTCCTCAGAGGACGGCTGCCTCTGGCGCACTTCATTCGTCGTTCAAGACTGCCGTATTCCCAGCCCCGATCCTCACCTTTTCGTTTTCGCGATAGGACAGGGTTTCCTAACTGCGCTCCGAATCTCATTGGTGCCAAACACTTCGCGACAAAAAAAAAAGCCGTCAAAACATTCGACGCGTTCTTTAGCCATTCGGCACGAACCTTTACGCCTCGGCATGATGGAGTACGCTCAGTACCCTCAGCAACCGCAGAATCCACACTCGCAAGGCCACGTCCAGTCAGGATATCCCAACTCGGCAGCAGCGAACGGCATCACATCCCCGACCAGCCACAACCTCAACCCGCACGCGCAGACCTCGCCGATTTTATCATCCCAACAACAACAACAACAATCCCCTCAAGGCCAGCCTCCCAACATGTATCAGCCGCAGTATAGCGTCCCGCACTATGCCATGCCAGGCATTCAGGCCGCCGCAATGGCCGCGACCGCGGCCGCATCGGGGCAGTCAAATTATCCCTACATGCCATCGGACCCGAGCTTACCTCAGACTTCTCCTAGGATGGGCGGGTCTAAGAAGGACAACCGGGGATCGCCTCAGATGAATAATGTTCAGAGGAGGATGAGCCAGGTTGTCAGCCCAGGTGTCGCGAATGCGGCGCAGAACATGATGAGCCACGTTGGGGGCCGGCCGGGGGTTGCGCCACCGCAACTCCCACCTGGCGCAGCAATGGGCCATCCCCAGCCCCCCGATATGCCGGCCGGCGGTGGTGTCGAAGAGTCGCCCCTCTACGTGAATGCGAAGCAATTTCATCGTATCCTGAAAAGACGGGTGGCTCGGCAAAAGCTCGAAGAGCAACTGCGGCTGACGTCCAAGGGTCGCAAGCCGTACCTACACGAATCCAGGCACAATCACGCCATGCGCCGACCACGCGGCCCGGGCGGACGGTTCCTCACTGCAGAAGAAGTCGCCGAGATCGAGCGGAAAAAGGCCGCGGGCGGCGGTGAAGGCCAAGCGAAAGAGGGCGGTTCTGAAGCAGTGAAAGCGGGCACAAAACGCAAGTCCGAGGCAGACACTGACGGTGCCAATAAGAAGGTGAAGACGGACCAAACAGAAAGCCCGGGGGAGGAAGATGAGGGAGAAGACAGCTGAAAAAATGAAAACAGCCGATGAAATCGCGCGCGACAGCCCGATAGACCTTTCACCCCCCGCGTGCAGGATGACTGCGAAGTCATGACGGACAGGGCACGTACCAGATGTCTCGCAATTCGTTTCGCTACCCAACGTTTCAGCGGCTGCGATGGACCGGAGTCATCAAAGGTCGGTCGGGACGAGATATACACGAGAAGGATGGAATACACGGCGTCGTTGGGCTTTGCAAGGTCGGTTTGTGTTGGGACTTTTTTTCCGGCTCATCCGCAAAACACGGGCTTCGCAACCCTCACCTCACGTCTACGTGGACAGACGTGGACGGGCGAGGGGAGGGGCCTGGCACACAACAACTATTGTCCCGGAGTATGGTTTGCGGAGATCTGCCAGCCGGCTCCGGTGATCTCACTGGTGTTTCTTACCATATATCCCCCCTATCCCCTTTTATCTTTCCCCCTTTCCCCTTTATACGCCTTTCTTTCTGCTTTGGTTGGGGGCCTTTTCTCCTCCTTTTCTTTTCTTTTTTTTTAATACAGACACTCGACTGGCAACAGCACACCCTGGATCGTCGTTTCGAGGGTCGGTCGTGGGATATGGGAAGGAAAGAATGCATGGACGACACGAAATGACGGATACCCCCCTTACTGTTTGTTTAGCATCGTTCTTTTGTCCCCGGTTTTGTCCTATTTTCTTTTGTTTTGTTTCTTTATGCAAATGTCTGGGAGTGGGAGGCGATGTGGATGGGTAGGACAAGGGGATCTACTGTACCTAGTCGGCCGCGGACGGAGCCAGAAACCAAGAGACCAGAGACGAGAGACCAAGACACCGTATACCAAGGCGCGGCAACCGAAAAGCAAAGCAAAAATCAAGACAAAAAAAAAGGCCTTGCAGACAGAAAACTGTTCCAGAGTTTGGAGGAAGTGGCAGTCTGAAGGGTTGAAATTGCGCCGAGAACGTGGATTAGTCTGAGCGGTTCTCGAGCTTGAAGTTAGCAAAGTCGAATTTGGAAATAGATTACATATTTCTTCCCCCATCCACATCACCAGGATTGTGATTTTCGTTGCATTCTTATATGACACGAAGCAGGACCGACATATCAACGGGATGAAAGCATCACTTCATCTGGACTTGATGTATTCGGCATTCCAACTGCGTAGATACCTTAGCCAATCGGCTCCAGCTTCGGGATTTGGTCTTCGACTAAGCTACGGAGTGCTAACTGAAGGACGGAGTTTCAGAGCGATAAACGAGGCTTGAGAATCTGGGCACCAATTAGATAGTAGTGGGTTGTAAAGACGCGATCCTGGGATGGAGGTCCTGTGGACGAAGGTCGGCGATCCAATGACGATGGCACGACCCTTTACCAGGGTACCTACTGTACACGAGTACTGTCATAATGGGGGGCCGGTTATCGAGACCCGTTAACCCCCGAGCCGGGGATCCGGCAATGGTGTCTGTCCAACATCTACTTCGTATATAGGTACCTACAAACACTTTGTTTACAGAGGTAGAATCCGTACCTAAGGTACCTAGGAACTGCACGAAGTATGGAATACATTGCAGTATTCATACGCTCGTGTCTGTACATGACCTTGCGAAGTAAGGTACCTAACCAAGGTACCTTATTAGGCACCTTTTAGAGACTGCGGCAGAACAACGCACTCCGTGACCATTTACGTTGAAGAGACAACCCCACACTCTTGCGACAATTGCTGACTTCCAGGTTGTTTGGGGCACCACGAGCTAAGACAATGTACTTCGTTCTTGGTACTAATCTTTGTGCGAACCTCGGCATGTCGTCTAATAACTCCCAAGCCTGTACCGCCGTGCCGGGAAGCCAATCCCTTGAACGAATAACCACCCCGCGGGAGAAACGCTGGCGCCGGTAAACTTCCGGTTCCCGTCCTCAGTATTATTATCCTGCACGCCTCGCAGCTCTCTTCTCCAGGATGTAAGAAACCATTATTTTCATCTTGCAGCTCGGGCAACTAGGCGGATCCACTGGCACTCCTTCGACAGAACGGCCTTACCACATACCACTGCAACTGAACATCATCCCACCGCCTCTTCAAGTCAGTTCGTTCAGCCCAAAGAGTCCAGAAAGCCATCAGCCGCCTCAACTATACACCCTACGCAACACACCCCCCCCCCCCAATTCCATTCGAAGATGGCGGGTCGCGTGCGCCATGCTATCGACCAGAAGGCCCTGGAGAGATATATCGATCAGAATGTGCCGGAAATCAAGACACCAGTTGATCTGAAGCAGGTATGTAATGAATTACCCCGTTGGAATCGCCGGGGCCTTAGCGTTGCCGTCAGAAAGCTGAGAAAGCTCGGGTTCCAATGTATATGATGTATAATGTCCGGCCTACAAATGCTGACAGGTCCTCTTCCGTTGATAGTTCGGCTTTGGGCAGTCGAATCCGACATACCAGATGACGGGGGCGGACGGAAAACGCTTCGTCCTGCGCAAGAAGCCGCCCGGCACGCTCGTCTCCAAGACGGCGCACAAGGTCGAGCGCGAATACCGCATCATCCACGCGCTGGAGAAGACGGACGTCCCCGTGCCCCGGACCTACTGCCTGTGCGAGGACGAGTCGGTCATCGGCACGCCGTTCTACATCATGGAGTTCCTGGACGGCCGCATCCTCGAGGACCCGGCCATGCCCGGCGTGTCGCCCGCCGAGCGCACCGCGCTGTGGCACGCCGCCGTCGACACGCTGGCCAAGCTGCACCGGCTGCGGCCCGCCGACGTGGGGCTCGAGACGTTCGGCAAGCCGTCCGGGTTCTACATCCGGCAGATCCAGACGTGGCGCACCATCTGCGCCAGCCAGGCGAGCACCCTGGACGTCGACACTAACGAGCCCGTCGGCGACATCCCGCACTTCCAGGAGATGGTCCGCTTCTTCCAGCAGGTGGCGAAGCAGCCGCGGGACCAGGGCACCCTGATCCACGGCGACTACAAGATTGACAACTTGGTGTTCCACAAGACGGAGCCGCGGGTGATTGGCGTTCTAGAGTGAGTTGCCCTTTTTTCTTTTTCCTATTTTTTTTTTTCCTTTTTCCCCTTCTCTTCCTTCTTCTTTCCCGGTTCCTCCTCGTACAGAAAGGTGCAAAGCTAAGCTAACCTGATTGCAGCTGGGAAATGTCCACGGTGGGCCACCCGCTCTCTGACCTGTGCAACTTCATCACCCCTTTCTTCACGGCGAACCGCGAGGGCGTCAACGCCCACCGGGGTTTCCTCCCCAATGCCACGCCCGGACTTCCCGCAGCGTCGCAGGTCGTGCGGTGGTATGCCCAGATCTCGGGCTACGACCCGTCGCGGGAGCTGAACTGGGGTATGGCGTTCAACATCTTCCGGTCTTCGGCCGTGTGCCAGGGTATCGCCGCACGGCTTGCCAGGAGACAAGCGAGCAGTGAGCAGGCCAAGCGGTATGCGGATACCAGGGGACCGCTGGCCGAGTATGCGTGGGAGCTGATTGGGAAGGCTGAGCTGCCGGCCAAGCTGTGATGTGCTGGTCGGTGTTAGTTAGATGCATTTTTTCGTCAAAATATTTAGATCATAAAGAAGATATTATGTTAACCTCTCTGGGTTCTGCTTTGTACTGTCTGCCTCTAGGTGCTGAGGAGAGATACTTCCGAAATACTTCGACGCTCCGTGGCAGTGGTAGAGTCGCCGCCACACTTGCCGCCACGCCGTTCTGGCAACGGGGTGGGTAAATACCGGTTACCACGACAACGCGCCACAATGCCCGGAAAGAGTCAACATTAAACAGCAAACATCAACAACACGTGAACCTACCTAATTAATTCACCCCCTCGCCTTTCGTATCATCCCTCCCAGCTACTCCCCCCACACACTCACACACTCACACGACAACAGCGCTCTGTCATAACTTTTTTCTTCTTCTTTTTTTAGGGAGAAACGCGCAGCAACACCTCCGCTTGCGCGCATCTACCCTCATCCGGACACTTACCTAACAACAGTAACAGTAACCATGGCACCTTCCGACGACCTCATTGATTTCGACATCATCGAAGCCCAAAAAGAGAACATCCAGGCAATCCCCAGCGGTCGTTCTGCAAAGAAGCTGGTCGAAGCCTTTTCTCATTCGCCTTTGCACAAGCTTTCCACCCCTACACCAACAGACACCAAGAATGTAAACGACTGCATCCGAGCCGAATATGAGGCCGAGATCTCAAACATCTCCGAATCAGACGATCCCCTCGACGTCTTTGACCGATACGTACGATGGACTCTCGATGCCTACCCGTCCTCTCAAGCAACGCCTCAGTCGCAGCTACACACCCTTCTAGAGCGCGCGACAAAGGCCTTCATCAACTCTCCCCAATACAAGAACGACCCCCGCTACATCAAGTTATGGCTGCTCTACATCCAGCTCTTCGCCGATGCGCCGCGTGAGACTTTCCTCTTCCTCTCCCGCCACAACATTGGCGAGGGCCTGGCCCTCTTCTACGAAGAGTACGCGGCGTGGCTGGAGGGCGCCGGCCGCTGGACACAGGCCGAGGAGGTGTACAAGCTCGGCATCGAGCGAGAAGCCCGGCCCCAACAACGGCTTCTGCGCAAGCTGAAAGCGTTCGAACAGCGACGTGCTCAGCAGACGGACCTTCCCGACGAACCCTCCTCGCCGGCCCTGCCCGCTGTGCGGCCCGTCTTGGCCGCCAAGGTCGACCCCTTCGCCGCAGCGCGGGCGGCGACTGCGGCGACTGCGGCGGCGGACCCCCAAGCGCCGCGGCAGACCAGCGGCGTGGGCGGGCCGGCCTCGAAACCGGGCAAGGCTAAGATGGCCATCTTCTCCGATGCTGACGCCCAGCCTTCCGCCCTCTCGGCGCGCGACGGCGGATCCAAGGGCTGGGATACAATCGACTCGCTGGCGAACCGGAAAAAGGAGAATGTGATGGGACCGAAGCCGTGGGTGGGGGAGACGCTGAAGGCTGGGGGGAAGAAGAGCGATGGCCCCAAGATGCAGATATTCAGGGATACTGTAGGTTTTTTCCTGCCTCCCCTTTCCCCCCCCCCTCCTCCCTCATAGCCCACATGTTGATCAATCTAGGACTAATGGATGGCTTGTTTTCCGTCGCTTTTTTTGTACTTTTGCAGTCTCAGTCTCAGTCCCGGTCCGAGTCCCAATTCCGAGCGCGCTCTCAGGCGCAATTAGCAAAATCCCACATAACATTGATTCCATCGAGTGTCCAAGTCGTGGTGAACCCCGTCAACGGCAAGAAGGAACGTATTTTTGTCAACCTGGAGGCTGTTTATCCCGATCCCGAGGTTCCGGGCTCGGAGCTTAGCTTTGAAGAGATTTGGGCCATGAACCAGGGCTGGCTGGACCAGTCGTGGGAGCCCGAGCCCGAGGCGCTTGAGCCAAGCATCGCAGACCTCGGAGACATGGTGTCCGAGAAGCTTGTGGTTCACACAGAGACAGTGATGCTAGACGAGAACGGGAATATCATGAAGAAGAGTAACAAGCCGAGGAAGATGAAGACCATGGAGATCAACGAGACCCAAATCAGTACGTTAAGGGTCCCAGATCTTGTCCGGCATGGGAACAAACTGACATGTTAGTAGTCAAAGCGAACCTTGATTCTCCTTCTTCCAAGCCGAGACCGAAGAGGAGAAACAATAACGAACCTACCATGACGCTTCATACCAAAGCAGCAACAGACGAGATATATGACATTTTTAGCCAGCCGTTGCCGCCCGTTCCTGCGGAGGAAGAAGAGAGCGCCGCCGACGAAGACGACGACGACGACGACGACTATGATACAGACGGGGACTACACGAGCGGCGTGGACAGCACCATAACGACGACGCGTCATGTCGACATGGACGACGAAGCCGGCAACGAGGAGACGTCCGATGTGAAGAGTGTCAGCGAATGGTCCGACTTTTCTACCCGACGACATGTCCCCGATATCAATGCAAAGAAAGATGCACACGAGGAACCCAACGACACACAGGTCTCGGACTTGATAGACGTCCACGACGCGGAGCCCTCCGGACCGCTCTCTGAAGATACCACGGGGAGCCAGGGGGCTGGAGAGGAAGGGGAGCAAGAAGAGGAGGATGGGGATGAAGAAGACGACATGCAGCCAAAAACCAGGACCATCTTCGTCCCCATCCCGCCGGAGGATTACGAGCCTCGAACACGGCCTTATAGGGACCCGGCCGAGGTGGCTAATAATCGCCTCCCCTTCATGACACCCATCACCGAGAGGACAGAGACGTCCCTCGGTATGTTGACAACGAAGAAAGAAGCCCAATGTGGTTCCCCAATCCAGAGAGACGATGAATACGGGATCACAGAGGAGGAGGAGGAGGAGGAAGAGGAAGAAGAAGAAGAAGACGAGCTTTTCGAATCTGATCAACTACTCAGCAGTCCATTGCGAGAGGTGGTCAATGAGGCTCGTCCCGCAAAGGTTGCACTGCCAATCTTGGACAAGCTGAAGTCGCGGCCAGCAGCAGCACCCAAGAGTATTCCTCCGAAAGGACCGATTATCAAAGACTTGCAATGCAATCCCATGGATGATGCTGTGAGGGACGAGATCCTCTCGAACATTCACCCCCCCTTGAGCTCGTACCCCGGGTTCTACGACCACCGACATGAGAAATACGAGAAAGGCGCCGATATTCGCAGGTTCGCAAAAGCCATGACCAAAGCGAGATCTAGTTCAGATAGGACCAGCAATTCCGCCCCTGCCCCCGTTATCGAGTTCCCCGATGTCCCTACGAGATACACGGTTCGCAAGGAACTCGGGGCAGGTGCGTTTGCTCCCGTCTATCTAGTCGAGAACTCGAACCCCGACGGAGACGACGAGGGAGGCGACGATGGCGGTGTCGTGGCCGTGGCCATGGGCAAAGGCGCCTTCGCCACCCGTTCCCGCCGTGGCCTGGAGGCCCTCAAGATGGAGAACCCCCCCAGCCCTTGGGAGTTCCATATGCTGCGGGTGGCGCATTCCCGGCTGGGCCCGCACCACCGCGCCGCCGCCTCCCTGACGTGCGCTCTGGAGCTGCACCTCTACCGGGACGAGTGCTTCCTCCTGCTGCCGCTCCACCCGCACGGCTCCCTCCTGGACGTGGTCAACCTGTTCCGGGCCGAATCGTCGGGCGTCATGGATGAGCAGCTGGCCATGTTCTTCACCGTGGAGCTCCTGCGCACGGTCGAGGCCCTGCACAGCCACGGCATCCTGCACGGCGACCTCAAGCCCGACAACTGCCTCGTGCGCCTGGACCTCCTCACATCGGGCGACGCCCAGCCGCTGGCGTCGCAGTACCGCGCCGACGGCACGGGCGGGTGGGGCGCGCGCGGCGTGCAGCTCATCGACATGGGGCGGGCCATCGACATGCGCAACTTTAGGCCGGGCGTGCAGTTCGTGGCGGACTGGAAGACGAGCGCGCAGGACTGCGCCGAGATGCGCGAGGGCCGGCCCTGGACGTGGCAGATCGACTACCACGGCCTCGCCGGCGTCGTCTACTGCCTCCTCTTCGGCCGCTACATCGAGACGGTGCGCTGCGACCAGGGCGGGCTCGGCAGGACGGGGCGTCGGTATCGCGTCCGCGAGAGCCTCAAGAGGTACTGGCAGACGGACCTCTGGGGGGCCTGCTTCGACTTGCTCCTGAACCCGGCGTCGTTGCTCGAGGAGCAGGGCGGGACTAGGGAGATGCCTGTCGTGGAGGAGATGAGGAATGTGCGGAGGCGGATGGAGACGTGGCTTGAAGCCAACTGCGAGAAGGGTATTGGGTTGAGGAGTTTGGTAGGCAGGGTCGAGGCCTATGCCCGGTCAAGGAGGTGAAGAGTAGTAGTAGTAGCGGTCTTTCGTTCGTCTGCTTTATCTAGAACTGACACCATTTGTTTCTCTTTTCCTTTGGCTTGCGAGCATACGATACCCTCTGATCGATTCTTTCTTTGTCCATTACCACTGATGACATTAGTACAGATAGATATTGGTACAGATTCACACATCTCCATCTCATGAGTAGATGACAAGCGCCCTTCTTGAGCGCGTCGACGTCTTGATCATTCACCTTCTTCCCCCTCGTCCTCGGACTCGTTTTTCTTCTTCTTTCGCCCCCTTACTGCCTTCGCTGATTTCCCTCCCTTCTTCTTCGTCTCTTTCGCCACCTTCTTGTCCACCTGTTCCTGTATCCTCTGCCTCTCGCTAGCACCCTTGGCCTGAAGCCCTTCCTCCAGCTTCTTGAATTCGTCACTGTCGGCGTCCATCTCCAAGAAGCTTTCCAGCAGCTTAATCTCCTCGGCCCACACGCGCTTGTCCTCGAACGTCTTGCCATCGGGCCCCTTGCGCTCAATGGGCGTCTCCAGAACCATGGGCATGTTCTGGAACGGCGCATGGTTGACAATGGCATGGAAGGAGCGGAGGCCGAGGAACCCCGTGCCGATATTCGCGTGGAGGTCGCGGTGCGAAGAAAAGGGCGCCTTGCTGTCGTTGAGGTGGAAGGCCATGAGGTACTTGTTCCCGACGACGCGGTCGAACTCGGCCACGGTGGCCTCCAGCGCCTCGGGAGTCCGAAGGTCGTAGCCGGCAGCGAAGGCGTGGCACGTGTCGAGACAGACGCCGACGCGGGACTTGTCGGCGACGCCCGCGATGATGTCGCGCAGGTCCTCGAAGCGGGTGCCGATGACGTTGCCCTGGCCGGCCATGTTCTCGAGGACGGTGACGACGGCGCCGGTGCCCTTGTCGGCGTGGGCGCGGTTGAGCTGGGCGGCGATGCGCGCGCAGGCTTCCTCGCGGGACGCGCCGCCCGTGTTCCCCGGGTGGAAGTTGTACAGCCGGATGCCCAGCTGGTGGCAGCGACGGAGGTCGTCGATAAAATTGTTGTAGGCTTGGTCGGCCTTGGCGGGGTCGGCCTGGGCTAGGTTGACGAGGTAGGACCCGTGCGGGAGGACGTGGGCGGATGCGTCGTAGGCGTGCTTTGTGGCGAGTGCACGGAACCCCGTGCGTGCGTCGTCGGCCAGGGGCGGTGACTCCCACTTTCGCTGCGACTTTAGGAATAGCGCGAAGGCGTTGGCGCCGATTCCCAGGGCCTGGGTAACGGAGTTTTGGACGCCTCCGGCACCGCTGACGTGTGCGCCGATATACATGGCCCTTTTGAGCGCCGAAACGGCGGTCCTCGCTGCAAAGGGCATATCGTCTTTCTTGGATGCCTTGCCGGCGGTGGGCTTGCGCTTCGTGCTAGTGGCTGCGGTTGTGGTTGCGGTTGCGGTCTTCCGTCTCTTGGCGAGCTTGGTATCTTCTACTGTTTCTTCTTTTTCTTCCAACAATTCATAATCTTCGGTCGTCTCCTTCTCGTCACAGCTCCCGCACTTTTCTTCCTCTTCCTCTTCCTCTTCCGCTTCCGCTTCCGCTTCCGCTTCCGCTTCCGCTTCCGCTTCCGCTTCCGCCTCCCTTTCCTTGCGCTTCTTGGTGGTGGATTTGAGGTTGGTCACAGTGGCGGTCTTTGTCTCGGTGATGATGACTTGGGCCTTGACAGCAACTTGCGCCTTCAAGCGAGAGGAAGCGCGAGACATTGTTGCGCATAAAAGAGTAGGGGTATTTTTATTCGTTTATAGACCATCGACCTGAAGACGGTTGGCGTTGCTAGGATGAAGTTGCGGCTTGAGGCATGTTGGTGGTGGTGACAGGAGAAAAGACGCGTCTAATTCTGCGACGCGTGCAGGGCCTTCAATTAAGAGCACGAAAACACGTGATGCGCTGAGTCAGGTACGCACCCTTTCATAGGTACAGTGACACAGGCATGTGAACTCGAAAGACTTTCAGGTGTTTGGCTTCTCATCCTGATATGCCATCTTATCTCACCCTGTCAGGTACATTATAATGGATGATTCTAATGTGGCTATATATACGGCATCTATGCAGCCCATATGGAATACGAAGTCTGAGTTGAAAACCAAGAATGAAAAAAAAAAAATTGAAAAAAAAACCCTAGGCGATAAACTGCAGTTCTGCCTTTCGGCCCTTCGCAAACTGGTTCTTATAAGCATCCCACAGCTTCTGCACTTCCTCCACATACAAGGCATGCAACCGGTCAATCTCGGCCTGCTCTGGCTGTGACGTCGGGCTCGGGTTGACCCTGATCGGTTTCCCCACCACAATGTTCAGCGGTCGGCGGTACGGCATCAGACCGACGTCGTAATTGAGAATCCCCCGACCGTGGAGGGCGGGCAGGGTGAACTTGAACACGTTCAGGAAAAACATCTGTATCCTGCGCACATTGGGATGCGACCGCGGACTCAGCTGGTCGTACAGGTCGTTCTCGCCGAACCCCAGGACGGGGACAAGGTCGGCACCGGTCCGCAGCGCCATCTTGATGAAGCCTTTCCGACCCTCGAGGATCAGGCGGAGCGTTCCGGGCCGGGCCTCGAGCGATTCGCGGGCGCCGCCGACAACGATGGTGACGGCGCGGCCCATGCCGTGGTCATCGTGGCCTCCCCGCGTCAAGGTGTTCCAGATGGACTCTTTCGAGACCGACCGGATGCCCATGGCGAGGATCCAGTCCCGGTAGAAAGGGATGCGGAAGTTGGACTCCAGCGTCAGCAGCGTGTTGGTGATGCCGGGGAACTTTTCGGAAAAGCCGAGGGCGTTGGTGGCGAAGGCGGCCCAAGCACCGTGGGATATGATGCCGTGAGGGTGGTAGCCGAAGATGTATCTCCTCGAGGGAGGCAGGTCATGCGTTTTGTGGAGCTCGGCCGGGTAGTAACCCGCAAACAAGGTCCAGAGAGGAAGCGACCGAAGAAACTCGGAGCGGAACCGTAAGCGGCCGTCCGAGGCAGCCGTCGACAATGAGAGGTGGATGAGATACGGTACGAGGAGCGGCCAGTTTAGGGGAATGGCCGCCATGAAAAAGAACAGAGAAACGAAGAGAGCGATGGACAGGCTGTGCATCAGTACTGCCGATGTCTGTAGCCGACGTTCAAACGGGATTCTGAGTGGCGCGAAGCGGACACCTTTGGCCCTCCACGCGTGGCGCTCATAGCGACCTCCGGGTGGTGGCGCTAAGAATAGGGGAGGGTAACTCGTATCGTCGGCACCAGTAACATCTTCGGCCCCCGCAATCGCATCTCCTCCCGCACCGTCGTTGGTCATGCCGAGTGGCGGCCATGTCGTGCCGTTGATCCCATTCGTGTCCGTCGTCGCGGCTGACGCATGGCTACGACCATCACCACCCTCACGGTCGTCGTGCTCGGTCTTGATGCCGTTAATCTTCGGGGAAGACCGTTGTCTGTCGTTTTCTTGGCTTTGGCTCATCTTCGATTCGTCCTGATCCTGATAAACGGGCGAGCGAGGGAATCGATCCACGTGTTAGCGTTGGTCTTCCAACAGCTTTTGGTTGTGTTATATTGTCAGACAGGGGCGTACATATTGGGAGAGCTCGCCGTTCGACTGGTAGTTTGTATTCGCAGGACGTTCTGGAAATCCCGTACAGTTAGCGATGCTTCTTCGGCCCCCCAGGTCAGAAAATGAACGGTCGGTGGCTTACCCGATGGCACGGTATCTACATTATTGGCAACGCCAAAGTCGGGAATAGCAGGGTCCGGCCCTCCCATGGCGGGCCAGATTGAACCGTCAATGGGCAGAGGTGCGTACAGAGTAGACTCGGAGAAATAGCGAAATAGCGGTAGATAGTGGCGATGCAGAAAAAGAGAGAATCGAGGTCGCGATAAGCAATTCGAGCGGGGTGGACGTATTGAAGGGTAGCGGCAGTGGTTCGGAGAGCGTTAAAGATCGTGCGCGTCGCGAATCATCCTCCGGTGTTCAGTGCTGTCTGTTGTTGTTTCAGGAAAGCAGAAGTACAAATAGAAGCATAGACCATCTTCTCCACGCATGTCAATCTTCCCTTTCCGAGCTCTGCTGTGAGATGCAGAGTCCCGATGCGGTTGTGCTGACGAGAGACCGAGAGAGAGGGCATAGAGAGCAGAGAAAGGCTACGCGGTCTCGGAGGCTCGGACCCTCAGGAGGAACAATGACGTTGCTGGTTGGTGGAGTGGGGTCATGGTCATGCCCGAGAGGGGGACCAACCAAGACCAATCACGCGGCGTTCTCGAGCCCTATGTACCGCATTCGTACAGGACAACCGTGTGCGTCCATCATCCCCAAAGCACCTATCCGTATCCGTCCTCCGTACTGCGGTTCAGACTCGTGGGCCCAGGCACATAATAGAATTTCCATGTCGCGAGTATCTTACCTTACCAGAGCCTCCGTTTTGTTGATCCCACTCGCCTTATAAGGTAAGAACAGGACCTGGTTGCTCTCGAGCTGCCTCCGTCGAAGCACTTGTGTAGTACTTATGGGTACCTGAAGGGAACGCTCGACCCATGCCTAAGGTACCTTACCTTACCTTATACGTACCTAGTACCTGGTACCTGGTACCTGGTATCTGGTATTTACAGACCCAAGGTACGCGATGATGGAACAGGATGAAACACATGAAAGTCGTGGGAGGAGTATAGAAAACCTCCTGAATTAGCTATCGGTCAGCTAGCTACTGGTCTATGTTATGGATGTTAATAAACAAGAAAACTGAAGAGATGTGTGGTGGTTCGTGGTCTAGGAGGGTCGATGTACACGTACTGTGGAAACTCGTGCCTCCCGTCTCGACATGGAAGTCAAACATACAAAGTCCTCTCTCCCACACGATTCTCTGGGGAACATTTTTAGCCCCACCCCCGCCTTCACACCCATTGAACTACACGTAATTAACTCGAAGCCCTCGTGCAACATTCAACAAACTGGCGACATCATGGGCAAGGAGAAAAAGAATAAAAACGACGACAAGAAGGCCAAACTAGTGAGTACGGTGATCCCCTCACCCATGTTCTGTTCCGAGGGGGGAAGCAAGGACCACCCATGCTAAATGAAATATTCCCCCGGAGTAGGCGGCCAAAAAAGCAAAGCAGGCCAATAAAGCCGAGAAGAAAGCAAAGGTCAAGGCATCCAAACTCGATGGCAGCGACGCCGAGGATGTTGATCTGGACGCCGTCCTCGAGGAGTATCGCCGCCAGCAGGAACAGTTCCTCAAGATCACCGAGACCGTCTGCGACGGTCCTCCGAAACCCCGGTCCGCATCATGCTTCCTCGCCTCCCCCGCCGACCGAAACAACCTCCTCCTCTTCGGCGGCGAGTACTTCAACGGTGCCCTAGCCCAGTTCTATAACGACCTGCACGTCTACTACATCGACCGCGACGAGTGGCGCTGCGTCACCTCCCCCAACGCGCCCCTGCCCCGTTCCGGCCACGCGTGGACCCGCGCCAGCAACCCGAGCCACGTCTACCTCTTCGGCGGCGAGTTCTCCTCGCCGAAGCAGGGCACTTTCCACCACTACTCCGACTTCTGGCGCCTCGAACCGGCCACCCGGGAATGGTCCAAGATCGAGTGCAAGGGCAAGACGCCCCCGGCCCGGAGCGGCCATCGGATGACCTACTGGAAGCAGTACATCATCCTCTTCGGCGGCTTCCAGGACACCTCCAACCAGACAAAGTACCTGTCCGACCTCTGGATCTACGATACCCAGGATTTCTGCTGGCACTCCCCGAACCTGCCTGCGGCCCAGCTCAAGCCCGACGCCCGCTCGTCCTTCACCTTGTTGCCCCACGAGAACGGCGCCGTCCTGTACGGCGGTTATTCGCGCGTCAAGACCACCGTGGCCGCGAACAAGCAGGCCAGGGGCGCCTCGCAGGGCTCGAGAAGCATCCTCAAGCCGATGATCCACGAAGACTGCTTCTTCCTCCGCATGTCGCCTGCCCCCGAAGGCTCGCCGGCGACCGCGCCGCCCGTGGTGCGGTGGGAGAGACGGAAGAAGCCCGCCAATGCGCCGAACCCCAAGCGGGCCGGTACCACGATGACCTACCACAAGGGTCGAGGTATCCTGTTCGGCGGTGTGCACGACGTCGAAGAGTCCGAGGACGGGATGGAAAGCGAGTTCTTCCGGGATCTCTTCGCGTGGAACATCGAGAGGAACCGCTTCTTCCCCATGACGCTCCGGAAACCCCGCCAACAGAAGAAGGCGGGTGCTTCGGAGCAGCGCGGTGGCGGCCGTCGCGCTCGTGCGCAGGATCGCGAGGAGGAGCTTCTGAAGCAGCTGGCCGCGCTGCAGAGCGGTGCGTCTTTAGATGACGCCGATGACATGGACATTGAGAAGAAGCAGCCGGAGGAACCGGAGGATGACGAAAAACCCACCAGGGAGATGCTCGTGTCGATGGAGCTCCCTCACCCTCGCTTCAACGCCCAGCTAGCTGTCCAGGATGATGTCCTTTATATTTATGGGGGGACATTTGAGCAGAAGGACCGCGAATTTACCTTTGATGATTTACACGCCATCGATCTCGGCAAGATGGATGGCTGCAAGGAGATTTTCAACCGACCTGTCGAGGACTGGATTGTGGGTGGTTTTTTTCTTCTTTTTTTTTTCTCCTTTTTTCTTTTTTCTTCCCCGCCCCCCTTATTGATCGACATCCGGTTGCTAATATGTGCCCTCCCCATAGGAGTCCGAATCGGAAGGAGAAGACGGAGAAGAAGACGACGAAGAAGAAGAATACGGAAGTGAAGACGAGGAAGGAGATAATGAAGTCTTCGACGAAGAACAAAAGCACAAGCACCATATGCCCAGCAAGAGGAAGAAGAAACAGGATGAGACGGCAACGGAAGAAACGGCCTCGACTGTCTCGACTGTCGATTCTTCCGTGGGCGAGGAAGATGACACCGAAACGGCGGCCACTTCGGTCGATGACGGTCTTCCACACCCCAGGGTACGAACTGCTTACTTTCTCTCTCTCCTCCCCTTAATGAACGAAGAGTCCGTACAAGAATCCATTGCTCACAAATATTGTGATTGCAGCCGTTCGAGTCGAGACGCGACTTTTTTGCGCGGACGTCCAACGAGTGGCAGGAAGTCTTCATCACCAGTCTCCGATGGAAGAAGATCCAACCCGAGACATACCCCATCAAGGAAATCAAAGCCAAGGCTTTCGAACTCAGCGAGGAGAAGTGGTGGGACAGTCGGGAGGAGATCACGGCCTTGGAGGAGGAACAGGAGGCCGCGGGTATCGCCGAAGTGGTCTCGCTGGCCGAAAGGGGAGACACCACAGGTGCAGGTGGTGCGAGACGGAGATGATGGGACTTTTGAGTCCTGTAGATTTTCTGGATATGACGTGAATAAAATATCTCACCATGTCGACTGGATGTCCTAGGGAGTAAATTATTCGTACACTCGGGGATCTTGTAGAAGAACCTTGAGCTACATTGGCATTTTAGTTGAACGCCTCGTCACGTGACTTCGCGTTTATCAATAAGGTACTGTAGTACAGTACCACCACTAGGAGTTGGACGTCATTTTGAAGGCGTTCGTTCCATCAACATCGCTTTCCCAGGTCTCCTGCTCTGTACAACCATCCTCACCGCTGCTCACTACCGCGTAGCTTTGTGGCTATAAAGTGCAATATATAATCCCGACCGCCCATAGCCCGTTCACTCGAGTTCTATAAAGGCAACTTCTTCTGTAGAGCGAAACACTATGCCACTCGGTATCCAACGACTAAATGCGAAGAGATCGCAACCCAATGAGCGAATCGTGTTCATCAAGCCGCTGGAAGGGCCCGATAAGGCGGTTGCACGGGATTTTCTGGAGCGTATAGCGGCACAATGCTGTACGTATTGCTTGAGAATACGCTCCCTTCCCTTTGGCTGATCCCATGGCTTGCTCGCTCATGCGCAGGGCAGCCGCAGCCTTCCTTGTACAAAGTGTGCACTAATTACTGACCCCGTAGGCTCCAGCTCCGATAATGCGAGATCACCACCTCTCTGTCATGTCTCTAGAAGAGTATGAGCCAAATCGAGAGTTTGTGGGCCGGAATTTCAACGCCGGAGAAGTGATCCAACTCGTACTCAAATCTCAATCCGGCCGATGGCTTCCGTTTGAGTACGTCCAGATGGTTATGATGCACGAGTACGTCTTCTCACCCCTCGTCAAACGAAAAAAAGCGCCCCAGCGTTAGGTAGGCATGGGTCAAAGGTTCCCGGGTCCTGACAGCTCGGGGACGTAGATTGGCGCACTGCAAGCAAATGAACCACTCAAGATTCTTCTGGGCAGTGCGTAACCAGTACGCCGAACAGATGCGGCTTCTCTGGGGCCGTGGCTATACCGGCGAGGGCATCTGGGGCAGGGGCGTCATGCTGAGCACGGGGGCGTTTCAGAAGAACACCATTTTGCCGGGAGAGACGCTGCCGGCTCACCTCTGCGGGGGCACGTACCGGTCGCGCGGTCGGAAGCGCAAGGCCCGGCCCAAGCTGTCGTACCAGGAGCAAAAAGAACGTCGGATCCTGAAGAAGTTTGGGCGGAACGGCGTGGTGCTCGGGGCGGACGAGGAAGTCAAGGCGGAGCCGGAGAAAGGCAAGAAGACGAAGGCGAAGGGGAAACCACGCGTGGCACGGAGCGCACGCGGTCGGGAACTGCGCGCCGCGGCGGCGCTCGCCCGTTTCGATCAGCAGAAGAGTTCCGAGTCGGTCAAGCCGGAAGACGAGGACCCGGAATTCAAGACGGAAGAAGCGGCGAGCGAGGGGAGTGACTATGAGGACGACCCGGCCGATCTCAAGACGGAGGATGCGTTGGATCTCGATGGGCGGCGACTCGTTGATAGTCATGGCCGGGGGATGATCAAGGTGTGCGAAGATGAGGACCCCGACGACCAGGATGCGCAGCGGGAACTCCGCGAACTGCAGTCCACCGGCGATTGGAAGCAGACACGGCTCGAATACAAACCCGTGGCGGGTCATCAGGATGGAATAGCGTCGTCGTCGCGGGGCCAGTTACCTGATAAGGAGCAACAGCGAAGTGGGCCGGAGCGATTGAGCGAAACCCACACCCCTAGAATCAAGAAAGAGGACGAAGACGAAGACGAAGACGGACACGGACACGGACACCGAGACCTAGACCGAGACAAGGTCGAAGGAAAATTTGTGGCGACTGGAGAATTCACGCCAACGACGGTCAAGGTCGAGGAGGAAAGCGAGACGCCAAGACGCCCAACTACACTCGACGAAGAAGATCCGCCACGGGCTACAGCTTGCGGCGCGTGTTCGTTTCTCAATCTTGCACAGTCTATATTATGCAGTGTGTGTTCCAATGTCCTGGACCCAGAAAGCGTCCCTGGGGCGTGGAGGTGCCAAAGGTCTGGGTGCAGGGGAAGCCAGTATCTGAACCCTGGAGATTACGGAGTGTGTGGCATTTGCGGGCAAGGCCGGTCATAATTCTTCTTTATAACGAGGGGACAATCAGTGCAAGTAAAGTTTCAAGAGAAGTGGCGAGCCCAAGAACACCAAATCATACAAGTATTCGAATAACCTACAAAGTGGCTCATCTTATTATTTATAGCGCCTGGATATTGATATCTGCCCTATACAAAACCTATCCCTCGTCGTAACCCTGGGTATCTTGAACTGGTTGAAAGCACGGAAACGCCTCCGTTGCACCCCCTTTACCCTAATCGAATTTCTGCGCATATTCATCTCACAGCCCATACCGCGTGATACACTCCTCCCGATGCAACTCCAAACAGTCAAGCGCGCAAACCGGCGTCCCACACTTCATGCACCGCACCCTCCCCCAGTACCCGCACACATCGCAGAACCTCCTCGCGGGATACTGCCTGTCCTCGTCGCGCCACCGCGCCCTCGCCTGCGCGTAGCTGAGAGGCGGGTGCGCAAGGAGCTTCCGCAGCTCCGCATCGGTCGGCAAGTCCGGCACCACCGACACCAGCAAAGGATCGTTGTCCCCCGGGTGTGTCGGCGGAGGGGGTCCGTCGTACGGGGTCAGCACCGGCCTCGGGCCTGCGGCGGCGGCGGCGGCGGCGGTAGTGCCTGCCGATGCGTCTCCCGTCATTTCGACGCCCTGCATTTCAGACGCCGCGGTGTCCCGCCGTGTGGCCTCGGACTCGGGTTCTTGCTCGGACTCCGGATCCGGCTCGGACTCTGCCCTGCCGCGCCTCGATCGTGACCGGGACGTCTCTTTCTTCCTTGAACTACTCGCCGCCTCGGCGGCCGCCTTGCGCTTGGTGTACTGGTTCGGCTGCGGTGCTTTTCTCGTGTACTGATTCGGCTGCGGCGGCTTCTTCGTGTATTGGTTAGGGTGCGGGGTCTTCGGCTTGGTGTGCTGGTTCGGGTGCGGCGGCGGGTTGTTCTCGTTGAGGGTCATGAGCGCATCGTAATCGTCGAGGTGGTTTGCGAATGTCTTTTGTGACTGGAGGATCTTCCTGACGTTCGGCGTACTCTTCGTCAGGGCTATCGTGGGTCAGAAATGTCAGCTTTGGCACTACTAGTTGCTAGAATGTTCGGTCAACGGCCTCTTCTCTGGTGTGAAGGGGACATACATCTGGCACTGCCGGCCCTGGGTGGGATGGGGATATTCGCATCTCGATTGCTGTCCCGATCCAACGCCTCGAGGTCCTTGCGAATCTTGGCCTCCTGTCGAGCGGTAAGGTCGGCACCGCTAAGGTTGGGTCCTTGATTCCGAGCACGCTTGCGATTTGAGGGCTGCAGGCCCGTGGCCGTCACCGCGTTGGTCCCCACATCTGGCACGTACGCCCAGCCAGGGGCGGACTTGGTTTTGGGGTTCGCGACTTCGATGACGCCAAAGTTGTTGCTGTACATGGTTGACACTTTTGCGCTCCTTATCCGCGGGAGTGGCGGGCAAATGGTAAATTCATCTGTGACCGAGGTGGGCATCTGAGAATCCCGAAGCAAAGATCCCAACACTTCCGAGTAGAGACCTTATTGTCCAATCAGAACCTTGGGTTGTGACGTTGGACTGGGCAGCTCGGACCAACTCAAACTCAAGGCTGGTTGTACCCCGATATGCAATTATGCCGAGTTGTACACGCTCCCACCTGGCCCGACAGCCAACTTCCCGACGTCCCTTCTCCCTCCCTCCCAGCTCAAGCCAAACAAACAGTGCCCCTCAAGTTCGCCCAACGTGTTCACCCCAGTCTCCCAAATCCCCCGAACCGAAGCGAAACTCGACGACACAATGGCCTCTAGGATACTAGCAGGGGGCAGCCGCCTGGTATCCCGCGCCAGCCCCGCGATGCGGACCGCCCGATCATTCCAATCCTCCTCTCCTCTCCAGAGCTCTGCAGCACCACTACCGCCCCGGAAACCCGTGGGAGCATTCCGTGGAGGGTATGTCCCCGACCAGCCACCTCCCAACCCCTCCTTCCCGCATATGATATCTGCCCAGCTTCACTGCGGTTGTCGCCTTCTCTCAACTCGGCCAGGGGCGCAACTCCACTCTCTATCCCTGTTCCCCGCGCTGACCTCGACAACCATCTAGTCTCCTCGGCTTCTTCATTGGCAGCACCCTAGCCGGTGCCGGTGTCTACACGTATCTGGTTAAGGAATACAAGCTCTCCAACGAGCTCTTGACGGAAGATATCTATGTGCGTCTCTGCATTTGATACCACCTCTCCTTCCTGCCTTTCGTTCGTTCATACTATCATGTTTGGCAACGCCTTTTTTTTTTTTTTTTTTTTTTTTTTTTTTTTTTTTTTTTCTGGAGCCAAGCACGTCCTGCCGGCAGAGTTCATGACCCCCGTCGCGCCAAATCAAATACAGATTCCTGTACCTGCTTCCCATGAGTCTCGTGCTGACTGACGGAACTTTCCCGAGTGGCTTAGGCATTGCAAGCGGCTGTGCAACGTGTGACCAACTACGTTCAGGTTCTGGAGGAGAAGATGGATGCGTTGGATCGCAAAAAGAAATAAATGGACCTTCCAGCGGGAATTATTTTGTTGATGGCCACTCCATCAGGACGGGGAATTTTGCCAGTAACTGGGCATACGCCAAGATGCGACGGGCCATGTGGGCGAGGTGGTTTTTGTGCGGAGCACAGGATGTAATGTACCAAGCAAACGTGCACAGCAATTGAATGAATATTACAGGGCTTCCATGACACAGGACTTCATGAGTAAAACGTTGTTAATGACTACCGGTACGCAGTCTAAAGGTCCCAGGTCATATGCCAATTCCCAATCATTTTCGCATTATCCGCTGCTCAGAACCCGGCGTGAACTACCTACAGTGCGAGGAGGTATATGAAAGCAAGTCCAACAGAAACCTCCTAAAGATGATGGCCCCTAAAACCGTTCCCAAGAATAGTGTTTTTTTACAGCTCATCATGAGCATCAGACTCGGAGGCAGCAGGAGCGGCCTGGCTCTCCTCGCCGGCCTCCTCCTTCAGGGAGACGGCGGCCTTGTACTTGCCGTTCTCTGCGATGAAAGACACAAAGTCCTCAATGCTGCGAGAGCCGGCGTAGGTGACGGGGGAGTCCTTGCCACCAGCGGCGTAGAGCTTGATGGTGGGGAAGCCCTGGATCTCGTCGGGAACATCGTTGGCAGTGGCGTCGACCTTGGCAATGACAACCTGGTCCTTGAACTCGCTCTCGGCGTACAGGGCCGCGAGCTCCTCGTACTTGGGGGCCAGCGCCTTGCAGTGACCGCACCAAGGAGCGTAGAACTCAATGAGGACGTCCTTGGTGTCGTCAAGGACAATGTCCTCGTAGTTCTTGGCAACGACGACGGTGACGGGGCCCTCCTGGGTCTCGGGGATGGGCTCCGACTTGATGCTAGGCTCGATCGTACCGGCAACGACGCCCTCAACGAAGCTGGCGATGGCGTCATGGGTGATCTCCTTCTCCTGGTCGAAGGGGAACTTCTGGTTCTTGGTAGTCTCCTGAATGGCGAAAGAGGGGAACTTGTCGGCCTTCAGGTTCAGGTTGCTGGCGTGTCCGCCAAACGCCGACGCGTCAATGGTGGCGAAGTTGATGACGCCCCGGTACTTCTCAGCGATGGGCTTGAGGGCCGAGCCGAGCTTCTCACGCTCCTCGGCGGTCTCGGCGAAAATGTAGGCCAGAGGGATGCCCGCGGTCATGTAGTCCGCGTATGTCTCGGGGCCGACCTCGCCAATCAGAGGAGTGGCGGCCACCTTGGCGAACTTCTCAATCGCCTCCGCGTCGAACTTCTCGGTGAAGGTGGCCTTGCCCTCGTCGAAGGACTTGTAGAGAACAATGGCAGGGGCCTTGACACCCTCGGCCTCGGCCACCGCCGCATCGTTGACGCCGCCAAAGAGGAAGGCGTCGCGGTGCTTCTCGGCAACCGCAGTGAACGTCTCGTTGGACTCCTTGTCGTCGGCGTCAATGTAGGCGACCAGAACGACCTTGTCGGCAGTCTTGAACTCCTCCAGGGTATCCTTGGTCAAGAGGGAGACAGCCGGGAGCGACTGCTTGATCATGTAGGATGTGATGCTATTCGACCTGCATTAGTCTTTGATTCTTTGGCCATTTTTTTTTCTTTTTGTGGTTGGGGGGGGGGGGGCGAAAGCGGTCAGAGGGACTACGTACCCAGCAGCCTTGCGCTGGCCAGAGTAGGGAGTGACGTTGTCGAGGCCGCGGAAGACCTTGAGAGTCGGGTAACCCTCAACACCAAAGGCCTGGCAAAGATCAGCCTCCTCGGTGCAGTCGACCTTGGCAAGCTTGATGCCCTTCTCCTTCAAAGAAGTAGCAGCGGCCTCATACTCGGGGGCGAGGGCCTTGCAGTGACCGCACCAGGGGGCGTAGACTGTTGAAGGGGGGTTGTCAGTGGATTGCCATTGGGTGCAGCTGGCCTCCAGGGAAGCAGAGAGATCTGAGATGTCTTGACGTACACTCGGCAAGGACGAGGTCGTTGGCCTTGACGAAATCCTCGAAGGTGTCCTTCTGCAGCTGGGTGACGTCCGAGTCCTCAGCAGCGCGGACGGCCGCGACCGCGGCCAGAAGGGCGAAGGCAACTCGCTTGCAAAGCATCCTGTCCCTAATCAAATTATTGATGATTAGTGCTGTGTTTTTGATGTCAAGGCAGTCGTCGACATGATTGACAGGCCTTGCTTCGTGCTGCTGTGCCACCCGGCGTTTTCCGTCTACGTGCTGCGCAGACAACGACAAGCAACGACAAGACGGCCGACGTGGATGGTATGATGGCAAGAGTGCTTACCTTTTTGTATTTTGGTATAGGATAGAAGAAGGGGGGAATGAGAGGGAGAGGCGAACGTTAGGAAGCGGACAAAGAAGTCGAATTCCAATGGCTGAAAGGGGGCTACGAAGTATTTAATGGCGAGAGACCAGAAGGTGAAGGTGGGAATTGGAGTTCGAGGAGGGCAAGCTGTCAACAGCAAGCAACGGCTTTGAGAACAGGTGTCCCTTCCAGTGCCTGCCACAAGATCCCCACACTCTGATGCAGTAGCTCGAGGCAATGCTCCGCAGGCACCACATATGATTGGGAGAAACGGTAAGGTATCTATACTCTCGTCTCTAGTACTTTACTGCGTAAATATGCTTCTGTGATACCTAAAAACGGGTCCGTGGTACTCTGAGCCTTGACCGATACAACGCTAGTGCTGTGATTCAGCAAACCGGGCTAGCTTACCCGAGGGGGGCACTTCAGATTCCAGGGTCCGTCCACTCCTTCTTCAACTCTCCAGCCCAGCCTTTTCACCAGACTCACTTCCACGTTTCGCAGCTGTAGGTATCGACGAACTTCCCGGTTTTGCCTCTTGTATCCCCCACCACGACAAATCACTGTACTGTGATAATCACATTCCTATTGAATATTGGCTTGAATAGGGATAGTTTCCCCGAGGATCTGGCCTTGTAAATGGCCGACCCGTGCCGAATTGATATCGAATACAACCATTGGACGGATGCTCGTACCTAATCAGTTGCACTGCTGCCAGAAGGCTTGCCATTGAGCTCGATGTCTTCGCCTGGCGCCTAGCTACTGGGTATTTCCGCAAAGCGCATAACAGCAAGCAAACAAACAAGTAATGCAAGCATCTGACATGGGATATTTCCGCGATGTCTTTTTTTTTTTCCCTCTTCTTCCTTTCTCGACTTCCTTGCCTCTTACTGTACGAAGAGCAAGTTATGCGAACAAGTCTTCCATTGCCTGCAATGGGCGGCGTTGAACCATGGTGAGATGATTATAAATCCACCTACTCCGTATTTACGGATGCATAGCTTGGGGACTGGGGTAATTGCAGTTTCCGAATCGATATCTGACCGGTTTGCCCATCTTTCGGGGAACGGACGAGACAGTCCGACTGTCTTACGAGGACAGCGTGTCAGTTAGGTAAGAGGACACAACGGAGGGTTGGCCCCAGTCAACTGCGAGGTCGCCTCAAGTGAAACTGGACTTGGTCTCTACCAATCTAATATTTGTTAATGTTCCTGACCTTGTTTCATGCCAAGCTCGGTTTGGTCCCATTCCGTCGGAGGCTGAACTCCTTCGACCTAACATGGCCTGTTAATTGTTATGTACCCATACCGAGCAACACCCTCACGGCCATCAACCAATCCATAAGCGTCGCTGGCAATGTGTCCCTTTTTCTACGGTAGCTTGTTGAGTAACCTTACAATAAATAATGAAATAAATAAAGACCTCGGGAGAAATAATCTTGGCCAAAAGGCATACAGCTTTTGATAAACCTCAGAAACAGAATACTACTGATAATGTTTGCACAATGCTGATTTCCTAACACAAGAACCCAGGCCGTGTGTAATAGCATAGCATCATCAAGACGGCCGTCCTCCTCCTAATCACGTCGCACTGAAAGAGGTGCACCAAGTTGAGACCCCATCCGCGTTCCAGATTTCTCGGTGACCACTCCTATTGTGCCTGCTGTCATAGTTTGATATGACGTTATAATAGCTGGATATATGGCATTGTGTGAAGAGAGAAGGATGGATGGAAGATCAGAACAGGGCATGTCAAAGCCGACTCAAAAGACCACACGTCTAACCCAAAGCTCCCATGAGCCCATGTGTGTTGCTAGCGCTATCTGCCACATCGGTACGAGCCGCGATGCAGAGGATGCGACGCCCTCCCATATCCCCTGGACATTGGGCGTTCGATTAATTGTTAACGAAACCCATAAACCACATCAAAAGACGCCGCCGCCAATGATGAAGATGCGCTCCTCTTCCCGCTTAGCCCACTGGAGAATCTTGTTGGTACCTTGCGTCACTGCCCCCCTGCTGACATTGGGTCCCGCGACGCAGAAGAACTCGAAGACGGGGGTAACCCAGGCGAGACTCGTGGCTTCCTCGCTCGCCGCATGGAGAACCCGAATAGGCGAATGCTTGGCATGGACGGACGCGTGGAGCTGATGGTACAATGTCATGAGCCGCCGCCGAGCAACAGGGGCTTCGAACACGGGGTCGAGCGTGCTCATGCTGAACTGAACGTTGGCCCGTGACTTGTAAAGAAAATGGCTGATCTGGCTGCCCGGCGCAATATCAGCTACAGCGGGACGGCCAGCTCGAGCTGCCGCTCTGATGAGGGCAAGACAGCCGTTTTTGGCGAGAGCAGAAGCCACAGCATCCCGCATTTGCTTGAGTTCAAAAAAGGACTCTTTGTCGGGACTAATGAGGACGATGGCGATCTCGTCCGACGTCGACTCCCCCTTGGCTGCCGCCGGGTCTGTCGCCTGCGCACCGGAGACCCCGTCAAAGAAGCTGACGTACATGTACAGGTAGCCGCTGTTGTTGAAGGCGGGGAGACATAGAGGGATCCAGTTCTCGCCGCCGGCAGAGTTGACCCCGCCCGATTCGAAGAGCATGTTGAAGATGAGCTGCAGATCGCTCGGATGTAGCGAGTGCCGCCGGGGTCGGATGACGCTGACCAATTTGCCGCCGGCCACAATCATGCCGTAGAGCAGATTCGCCGTGCGTTGCTTTAGGAATGCGTTGTTGATGGCATGCCGCTGGGACTTGCGCAGTTTCAGGCATTCGAGAGCCCCCAGGAGGGCAGAGGGTGACCCTTTCGTGAAGCTATCTGCAAGGGACGACAACAATCTCTCCGTTCCTTGCAACGGCTTCCGCAGGTCGCTCGACGGGCGATTGGCGAAGATGTTTCGCAGCGTTGGCAAGGTCAAGGTTGATAAGATTTGCATGTAGAGGGCATCTAGCTGGCCTCTCAACTGGGAGTCGCTCTCTCCGAGCCTGCTGATGGCCACGAAGTACAAAGGCCCCTCGGTTGATACGACAAACCTCGTATTTCCCGCCGTAAAGCCTGAGAGTGGGGTCCTGGCATCCTGATAAAAGGAAATAATGGTCTGGATGACGCCCATATAAGAGTTTATGAGGCTGACGTCGCCGTGACGGCTCCAGATTGGTTTCCCCGCTGACGAAAGAATCATGTAATGTTTCAGCTTGGATTTCCAAAGCATTGCGCGGTCTTCGTCTTCAATCTCAGAATCTGATTCCGCCGGGATAGAATCGAATTCTTCGCTAAAGCCAAGAAGGGTGTCACTGGCGGATGTCCTTTGTAGAGCTTCAAACGGCAACACGGTTGCCGACTGGGACCGCAGCATATTCCAAGCCGGGCTTTTCCTGTTAAGATCACCGGTGAGCAGGCTTGCAATGTCGCCAGCTGGCCGCATTGTCGGTGCAAGAGTCATGACGCTCATAGAGTCCTCGGCATCAACGATATCCCGCCTCGGAGTGGCGGCGCCACTTGCCAGTGACGCCGGAACCAGCCCAGTTGCATCCTGGGCGCCGTCAGAGGCCGAAAAAGTACCCCGCGAGCCGTCTGGAAATGAAAGGGTTTGCACATCGAGAGGGGTAACAGCTGTGGTAGCTAGCTTCGATTCGATGGACGGGTTCTTGATGGCAGCGGGTCGCGGAGGTAAAGGGGGCACCCAGTCTTGGTCCCCTTCATGTGGCGAGACAACGCTGTTACTCATGGTTACGATGTCTCGAGCTTATCGATTCAATATGAATTCCTCTTCATCTCAATAAGTGGCCGAGTTATATCACTCCTAGGCCCGTGCGAGTCGGAAAGAAGATGCCGCGCTCCTCTGCAAGTCGTAGCGAATATTGACGTTCCATACTGCTACAGCGGCCCTTCTCAGCTGCTCGGTGCCGGGGGAAGCACGAGAACTATCTGCAGGATAGAGAGAGCGAGGCACCTGTACTCAGTAGGAAGAGGCTCAGCGGGAGGCTTCCAGTCAAGGGGTTAAGAGCTGAACCCTGAACATTTGGTGAAAGGTGTTGGAGCAAGCAGAATGAGGCTTATTGAGGTGAGGTACCTTAGGTTTGACGAGCTGGGACAGGTACGTACCCATACAAAGGCCAAGAGAGCGTGACGTTTTACGCGAACCGGATCCGTACTTAGTAAGTACTCGGTACTCAATACTCCGTCCAGCAAAGGGGTTAGAGCCCCGTCGAGTTACCTACCTGCGTACACGTAAGTAGGTGAGACGCAGGTAGCTCTATCCTCTTATCTCGAGGTACCAGAGACTTTAATGGGTGCCCCACTCACCTATCTCCCCCAAGTAAACGTCCAGGCACGTCCCAATTTAGTAACAAAGCTACCGTGTCGCATCGTAGCCTCGTGCATACGAAACGTCTGGAGCAGCACATCTGCCTTGAATCGAACTGCTTCGTCGACGAGACGGCCTGGGCAGCATGCGATGGCAATAGTGCCTCTAACTTGGACAAGTCGAAGTCGCATGTCGTCCAGTCTTACCATCACTCTTGGATAACCACCTTCACCACCACCCATTCCCTTGATCATGGCTGAGCTTGGTTCCGGACGCCGTTCCGTGTCTCCAGAGAGCTCTGGGAGAGACTCGCCCATTTCTCGACAATGGAGGAATCAGCTAGGCTCCGAGGAACTGCCCGCCAACGACAAGGCATCGCGGAAATACGCAACCGGTGTCGAGAGAGCCCTCAGTCTCTTCGAAACAGCCCTGCAGGAATGGGCAGATTACATCTCTTTTCTTAATCGGTTACTTCGGGTCCGTTACAAATACCTCGCCCGTCTCTGCCACGCCTTTGCGGCGGGGGAGTGCGAGAAAGCTTCTAACATTATTCTCTCCAGGCATTACAAGCTCGGCCGTCATCTACCAACTTTGTCCCCTCAAAAGCCCTTGTCGCAAAACGACTATCACAATGCCTCAATCCGGCATTGCCGTCTGGCGTACACCAGAAAGCCCTCGAAGTCTACAACTACGTCTTTTCCATAATAGGCACCGAAGGTCTCTCCCGTGATTTGCCTCTCTACTTACCTGGGCTGGCGTCGACTCTCTCCTTCGCCTCTCTCTCCGTTCGATCGCCCTATCTCGACCTTCTTGAGGGTTATTTTTTACCCTTAGACCCTCGCTCTCTCCGACCCGCCATGAAATCGATTGTTCTAGCTATACTGCCTGGCCTGGAGGACGAAACAAGCGAGGATTTTGATCGGACAATGAAGCTCATGGAGAGCTTCAAGGTGGCTATGCGACCACCCAATAGCGAGGAGCTGGCGCCAACACATGCCACTGGTGACGACTTCTTTTGGCAATGCTTCTTCTTGGCCGCTATAACGAGTCACAGCCGGCGTGGTGGCGCATTGGCATATCTGGTGAAGAACTTGCCCAAGCTGGGCGAGCCTCTCGTCCACACCTCGTCTACAGTTGATGGGACCAAGAATGGCGTTGAATCTGACCTCGCCGCGCAACTCGGACGGATCGTGACGTCCCCAGAACCTGGATTGTTACTCCGATGCTTCGCTGCCGGATTGGCCGACGAGCAGCTGCTGATCCAGAGAGGCTTCTTGGATCTTTTGGTCTCCCATCTCCCGTTACACTGCAAGGTGTTACAAAGCCGGGTCAAGTCCCGAGATTTAGAGCTCTTGCTAGGAGCCGCCGCAGGCGTTGTCATCAGAAGGGATATGAGTCTCAATCGGAGACTCTGGGCCTGGTTGCTGGGCCCTGACCCTTCCCCCGCGGATAACGAAGCCACCCTCGATTCAGTCACTTCGCCCACTTCCCCCGACACCCAACACGCCCTCTTCACGTCCAAAACCAACTACTTCGAAGAGTATGGGCTTCAGCCCTTGACCCGAGCATTGTTAGGCATCATACGTGTAGATGCGGAAACCAGCCCTGCCGAGAGGGCGCGGCCTTATAGGATCTGCTTGTCACTTATGGATCGCTGGGAAATTGGAGGTCTCGTCGTTCCCGAAGTGTTCCTTCCCATCGTGGATAGTGTCCGGCAGTACAAAACCCAGGCACCGCACATGAGCGACTTCAATGAGGTTTTCCGAAGTGCCAGCGTCTTTTTCGACGGAGCGGAGAGTGGCTTGATCTATGGCGAAATCATCAGTCTCCTTGCTCAGTCCATTGGTCCCGGCAGCCTCCCTTTTGAGGAACGCCTGGACAAGCTAGACCTTGTCAATTTCATCCTAGGCAATTTCAACGTGAGAGAGGAAGAGATGGTTACCGTTCATGCTCCGCTTACTGCGCTGGGTGTACTTTGCATGCTAGAAGACGCCAAAGAGAAGCAGGAAAATCCAGACACGGCAACTGTCAATTTCCATGAGCTGGCCGAAAGAGGCCTGCGCATTGCTCTATCACTTCTAGAACTTGTTCCCGAAAGAGCGTTCCCATCAGCCTCGTCGGACAAGTCGCGAAGAACCATGGAGCCGGGTATCCTCCAGTCTTTGCCTGTAATGGAGATGCTGAAGCGCATCAGGACCTTTTACGTCCATGAGCAAGGGAACCTTGATTCAGCTGTCGCGCCATTCTCGCCAGTCGAAGTCGGTGAGCTTCTTGTGCAGAAGGCGGGTAAGCTTGTCTGTGAAGGGCTTGCCGACTCGGATACAGATCTAGGGACCAGAGGGAGGGTCCTAATGGCCTTGTTGGTGAAAGTCCCTTCCCACTATCAACTCGATACGGCCAGTGTGATAGATTGCCTGCGCGAGAGATTAGGCCGCGACTCGACTCTGTCTTTCCCCTCCTTCGCCTCTATTCTCCACCTCTCCATCCATCTCTATTCTACGAAACGAGCATCCATCGCCGGCCTTTCAGAGCTTGTAGCTCCTCTTGTACACCATGCGTGGTCGTACCTCTCGGCGTCCGACCCCAAGTATCACGTCGAGACAGTTCGACTGTTGTGGCAGCTCCAATCATCCCTCACGCCGGAAAACCGCGATATTGAAGCAGCATTATCAAGCCTCATAATTGCCGATGCCAAGGCGGCAGATGCTTCTCGGCCATCTGACTCTGGGCGACGCTTTTCCATTTTATGGCTTCACACGTTGCAAGACTCGCAACATGACCGAAGGGGATCTAGAACACCAACACTGGAGCGGTTTGCGCCTCCACGACTGTCAGGGGCAGAGCACTACGATGTTTTGCTAACACGGCCGCTCTTCTTGATGCTCGATGCGCTTCTTGACGAGCGAACTCATCTTTTCATGACAGTTAAGTCCTGGCTACACGGTCTCGTGGGTATCGACAAGTGAGTGAGAATTTTTTACTGCTCAACGGTAACTCAGACGGCTTGGTACCAAAGCTTCTAATCATTGCGATATGTGGCATATAGGCTATTCCTTATTGTCGTCGCCAAGTTCGCGGCGCTGCCTTTTCTAGCGTCAGTCAACGGGGACCAGGGCTCCGGGAATGAGACAGGCCAAGGGCAGAGCAATGAGGCACGCTTCTCTGAAGATGACGACCTAGACCTCTGCCTGTACTACCTTCAATCCGTTGCCAACGTGCTCCGCTGGGGTCCCGATCCGGTCTGGGGGATTCTAGCCTCCACGACATTATCCCCAGGTGCCGGATTTCCAGCGGTTGTCCGTATCGGTAAGAAGAGAAGCCCTCATTTCTAACTTACCCCATGACCATAGCTCTAATGTGTCTGCTTAGTTGGAAAAGAAAATGATGTCTCCTTGCAGGAGTTTTTCCTTCATGTTTGCCTGCGCTGCATTAGACGTTGCAGTGACGAGCAAGGGGACCAGCCAAGCGGCGATATCCTTCGGACCACCCGGCTCTATCGGTTTGCCCTGGCTCTGCTACACCGGATTCTATTAAACCCATATGCAGCTCCTCTTGCGAGCTTACGCCTGGAGGAGCTTCTCATCGATCGGCTCACTAAGTCGCTTGAGTGGCCCGACCCCTATATTCAGGTGCTTCTGCTGGACGTGGTGTTCGCCGCTCTAAGCATCCGAAATGTCGCGGCTCCAGAGTTACCCATCTCGCCTGTTTCTGACAGGAAGCCAAGTTTGGACCCGAAGAGGGGACCAAGGCATTCTACACAGTCCGACACCATCCCACACGTCTCTTCGCCACCGCCGTCACTGCTTGACTGCATCAAGGCCGGGTTCAGTGCTACCAGTAGCCGGAGCGTTTTGGATAGTTGGGTCAGTTTCCTGACGGAGTGTTTGCCGCTCTACGCCGATACCATCTTCCAAGTCCTCATTCCTCTCGTCGAAACGCTCTGCAAACAAGTCTCGACCACCTTCGAAGCCTTGCAGTCTTTGTTCAGACACAAAGATGGCGGGCCTCAGAATGATTGCGGCGCGCCCGAGTCGACGCTCATCTCGCTTTTGAACGCGCTTGAGCAGGTTTTGGCAAAAGCGCACGAGCGACTCCTCGCTGAAGAGGCGAGAGTTCAGGTTGTGAAGAACCCGGAACAACACCAGGGATTCTTTGGCAACATGGTGTCCGGCGTCTTCTCCACAGACCCTCAGCAGTCTCGAAGTGCAACGGCCAACGACCGGCTCACGGTGCACCTAGCCTTCCAAGATGCAGTCCGCATTTGCTTCACTATCTGGTCCTGGGGTCACGGGGCAGACATAAGGAGTCAAGATCCGGGCTCTACCCTCTCATTCAGCTACACCTCCCTTCGCATGAGGAACAGGGCAAGACGGCTCCTAGAACATCTCTTCGCGGCGGAGACGCTCGAGTGTCTTGAGACGGTTGTTGGCATATGGCGCACTTCGATCGATAACTCTTTGCAGGCGCCGCAATCTGATGTCTTCAAACTCCTGCCGGCTTTGGACGGCTCGAGACCCAAACACACAATTCCGGCCATTTTCAACGCCATCTATAGTCGAACTAATCCTCAGGCTTTGGACCCGTCGAGACGGTCTACGCTCACGACCTCCCTACAAGACATCGACCTGGTCACATTTCTTGTAGAATACGCCAGGACGCTGGAGGACGACGCCATGGACGAGATCTGGAGCGATTGTATAACTTTCTTGAGGGACATTTTAACGAACCCGTTCCCCCACCGACAGACACTCCCCAGCTTGCTGGAGTTTGCTGCCATGCTCGGAGAGAAAGTCGACAACACCAACTTTGGGGAGCAGCGCAAAATGCGGCGGGAGCTCGGCGTAAGTATTTCCGCCCTCGTTCACAGATGACCGTTTTGCAGCGTTTTGCAGCTTTCTAACTGCGATCGCAGGATCTCTTCCTCCGTTTGTTGACGGCAATCTTCACGACCAAGCCGGTCTCATTCACAGATCCGGTTCCCACCACGGAGAAGGGAGAGAAGTTGCGCGATACCAATGGCAAACCCTCCATGGGCACAGTGCACAATCCACTGGCGAGGGCAGAGGACGTCGTGGCCATCTTGGCTTCCATAGTGCCCAACCTCCCAAAGGTCTTGGTGGAGAATGATCGTGTCCTATCCGCAGCAAGCACAATATCCGCGAACGTGATCGGGCCGGCGTTCCGGGCGAAGGCATTCCCAGATACGGTCACCGACAGCACGTTAACGTTATTGCACGAGCTGTCAAGGTTACCCGGCAATCAGAAAACATGGAAGAAGGACCTCGGAGACGCTTTTAACGACAGCAGGTTCTTCGGATCCGGCCTCTCGCTCGTCAGGAGCGATTGGCTGCCACTGTTGAGGCAGTGGATTCAGAGCGACAAGGAGCGCATGCCGGAGATCCTGGGCCGCATCACGCCCCCGACAACGGCCGGTATCGTCTTTGGTGTTGGGGCGACGTCGGCGAGGCTCGACGCCGACCGGAAGACTCAACTCAATTTACGACGGATGGCAACTCTGGTTCTTGCTTCCACCGAGGACACTTTTGCTGGGGAGCTGCCCGTCATCTTGGAGAAAGTAGTAGAGCTTCTCGGTGCTACAGCTACCTCGTCACCCTCGTCTACAACTCGGGCCGACATCTTTATATTGGTCCGGGCGCTCGTCTTGAAGACAAGCGCCATTCATTTGGCCATGATCTGGCCCGTCATAAACTCAGAGCTCCATGCCGCCATTTCGTCCGTTGTTTCCCCTGACCACAGCCCGGCCTCCGAGACGTACAACAACACGTCCATCGTACAAGCATGCAAGCTGCTGGACTTGCTCGTATGCGTGGCGCCCGATGACTTCCAGCTACACGAGTGGCTATTCGTTACCGACACGATTGACGCCGTCTACCGTGCGTCCAATTACCAACCTATCGCTCTCGTCGATGAGCTGTCCGAGGAGCTCGGCCAAGTGGCGGTCGTCTCGGCGCATCAGAGTGAAACCGTGGCGCCTTTGGGCGCGACCAGTTCGCACAGGCGACCCTTACTAGGTCCGGGAGGAATCAACGATGATGTTACCATTGATCGGAAAGACGAGCTGGTCGCCAAGATCCTTCGGCCCTTTTTCGGACAACTCAGCATTTTCGCATTCGAATCCACGTACGCGATGGTGCCGGTGGATTGGGAGTTTTGCATTCAGGAACTCATGAAGGATATTTTTGACGAGCGTACTGTTACCAAGGCGCTGTGAGCCATTTACTTACTGTAAGCAAAATGCGGGTTTATCCTCGGTGCCTATCGGCGAGGGGACGGCGGCATGCGATCCTTGGGGGGGAGTGGAGGGCATAGAGAGGCCGACATAAAACTTACTGTCCTCTTTCCCGCCAGTCCCTTCTTCATTTCTTCATAGGTTTCGGAGCCCGAAAGAAACAAAATATAATAATCAAAAATGAAAAAGGGGTATCAATCTGCTTTCCCTGGAATGTATGCTACTAGGGCTTTGCTAGCGCCCTTCATACAATACTGCACTACTTCAATCTTCTCGTCGTCAGGAGCCAGTCTGGCAATCTGTCTCAGGTCGCTCGTCCTCGGCAGGTACAGTGCGTGATCCATTTTCCGACATGCCTCATGAAGTTGCTGGAGGTTGTAAGGCTCCATCAGACTCAGGTCGAAGACCTCGGCGGTGCGGTACCCAGGTCCACCCCAAGGAGGCGACGCGAAGATGACGGCGGAGGCCATATCAACGCGCAAATCCGGGTGGAGGCTCTCGGGGTCATTTTGCAGGCGGTCGAGATAGTCGAAGCAGCTGGCGTGGATCCAGGTGATCCGATCTCCCACCTCGTATATGGTGGCGTTGTTCTGGGCGCAGGCGAGGGTGGGGGCGTCTTTCTCGATGGAGATGATCTTGTCCCAGCGATCGGACAGCGCGAACGCGATCGTGTTGCCGCCTGCGCCGGCGAATAGATCGATGAGGACCTTTTTGGAGGGTTTGGGGCCTGACATGTCGTACGCTACCTGCCTGTGAGGGACATGTCAGAGCAAGGCTACGGAAAAGGGGAGGAGGTGTTAGGGCGGACTGAGCTTCGTCCATCTTCTCGTTAGGGTAAACATGAAGTGACTAACATGGCGACCGGTTCAGGTGTGACACCAAACCAGGCATCATCAGTGAGGCAGATGCCATCGTCGTAGTATGAGAAGATTGAATAGCGCTGAGAGAAATATCTAGAAGAATTTGTTAGAAAAGGCGAATCCCCATGGAGAAGAGAAACGAAAGAGAAGGCTTACTTTTGGAGATCCCACGGAACTTCGGCCTTTGTTTGATAATGATGGCAGTCATCCGACAAAGGTAGAGTGGGAGCTGGATTCATTCTGGTCCGGTGAGTTTTCCCATCCATCACATCATTTATAAATTCGCTGTCTGTCATCGTGCCACTACCTGACAAGAGGCTGTGGTCCATTCAGAGCGAAGTCAACTGATTGGTGCATATATTTGTGAGAGTCAAACTTCAGGTCTGTGTACAGCTAGAGTTTGACTCGTTACACATTCCGACTCCTTATGATAGGTACCTCACAGACACTGGAAGGGCAGAGCTGTACGAAGTACGAGTTGCAATTCAACCCCACAATGGAGCTCTGACCATCTCAGTCACCTAGAAAGAGTACACACAATAAAGTACCGATAATGTGTCTTCGCTCGATACGGTACCTGCCATGTAAGTACATGCCTTGTACTCGAGACGAAACGTGAATGCCAGCTTGACAGCAACGCTTCCATGCTCTGAAGATCTAACCGGAACACCAACTAAGTCCCCATCTCCGTTGTGCTAGCAACTTGCTGTCCTTTCTGTTGTCGCTACCTGACCCTTACCGAAGCGAAGCTCTCAACAGCTCGCACGACACCCACTCTTCGAAGAAACCGGGCATCTTCTTCTCCTGCCGAAGCGACCATTCCCAAGCGCAGCAACGGACGATACCACGACACCATGTTCAATGCCCTGAACCGGTTCATGTCCCGCCTGGACGGCGAGCAACCAACACAGAGAAACAGTGGCGGATCTTTCGGTTTCCAGGTGCTTAGAAACACAAATCTCGAGCTCCAGATAGAACCCTGGTTCGATTTCATCATCGGCATCAATGGGAGGCCCATAGTATGATCATCCCTTCCCCCTCCCCTAGCTTCGACATACGCCTTCCGCCTGTTCGTTCTGTCCCTTTCGCTCGACTAACCGTGACAACCCCCATAGGATAACCCCAACAGTGGACTTTTTGCCCAAGAGATCCGCAACTGTGCAGGCGGTACCGTATCCCTCGCCCTCTGGAGCGCAAAAGGCCAGCGGACCCGCGAGCTGCATGTCCCCGTACCCGCCGAAACGGCCTCGCTCGGTCTCAGTCTACAGTGGACCCCCCTCGCCGCCGCCGCCAACATCTGGCATGTGCTCGACGTTGCTCCCAACTCCCCCGCCGACGCCGCCGGCCTGCTTCCCTACAGCGACTACATCCTCGCAAGCCCCGAAGGCGTGTTGCACGGCGAGAGCGGCCTAAGCGAGCTGGTCGACGATTACATCGGCAGACCCTTGCGGTTGTACGTCTACAACAACGAGTACAATGTCACAAGAGAGGTCGTCATCCAGCCGAGCAGGGAGTGGGGCGGCGAAGGAGCGTTGGGATGCGTGTTGGGCTACGGGGCGCTCCATCGGTTGCCCGCGCCGTTGAATGAGCCCGTGTCGGCGCCGGGCGAGACCTTGTTTGACGGGGAGAAAGTTGCGGCGGTACCACCATATGCTGAGGGAACGGGCGCGGCACCGCCTCCTCCGACCGAAGCCGGCCCGGACACCTTCGCTCCCGCTGCCGCTGCCGCCGCCGCTGCGCCACCATCGGCCGACCTGCTCGTCCCCGCACAGATGGTTGCAGCGGTGCCGATGAGCGCGCCGACGAGGAGTAAGAAGAAGGGACACAATCCGAACAAGGCGTTGATGGACGACTACTTCAAAGAGGGAGAGCAGAAAAGTCGGGAATTGGACAATGCGCCTACTGGGAAAGGGGCTACTGTGGCGCCTCCTCCACGGTCGGGAGGGCCCCCGAGGGCCGCATCAGCGGCTTCCACGACAGAACAGCCGTCGCTCGAGCAATGAGGGAAGAAGACTGCTTCGTCTTTTCCATAATCGAACTGTCCTTCTAGATGGGCCAGCGCGTGATTTATGTGTTATTATGTAGCGACCTAGACCTGTCCAGAGCCAAGGCGATGGCCTCGGGTGTCTTATTCTCCTTATTCTCGCCCCCCCTGTACCGTGTGACATCCGCGCCGGCCTTTTTTGCCCTCCTAGTTGATAAAGTTGATGCAAAAAAAGTGCAGGATCAAGCTGCACACAACATAGTCGGCAAAGGCCCTTTTGTCTGGTTGTTAGCAGGTGGAGGGAGTCTCGGCAATAGCTCTCAATTGTATTCTCACCTCTCTTGTGACACCGACGGAAAGTCCGCCTTGTTCGCTTCTGTGGTTTGTATCCGTAGTGAGGCTAGAAAAAGTGTCAGCGTTTGCGTACAAGATAAGGAGTGTTCCACCTCCTCTTACCCGTCAACACGAACTGGCCAACAGTGGCACCAAAGCCAGAGAGGAAGGAGTTGAAGGGCTAGAGTCAGTGGCTTCGAGTTAGTTTTCCTGTCCATGTTTCACTGTCCATTGGCGAGCAGGCAAACTGTTTTGCGAAACGTACATAGTTTCCACCCAGGATGCAGTAGAGGAATTGGACACCACCGGCCAGGACTAGGAACGCCATGAAGACGTCAATGAGTTTGGTTCGCTGCGGCGTCTGGCTCTGATAGTAGTTGTAGACGCTCATGATGACTTGATCCCAGCTCTGCGCCCCGGAGGACGGCTTGACGGTGATCTTGCTGGGCGTGGAAGCAACTGCTGGTGCTGTCGCTGCAGTGGGCGTGCCCTCGCGTGCGATGCGCTTCGGCGCCATGGTGTGTGGTTTGATTGACCGGTTCGTAGAGACAAATACACTGAGGACGGTGGAGATATTTAGGTCGGGGCGAGAAGAACGACCGAGGTCTAGCGCAGGATGGTTTGTTTGTTCGTGTGAAGCTCAAGGAGCTTCTCTGCTTCGAATATTCGTAATATCCCAGTCGACGAGCTGAGGTGTATGGAGGTACGTACCAAGGTACACAAGGACACGGAAGCGACAAGCAAAGTCTTGATTGGTGACAGGAGATGTATGATTAGTCACAATGCGGATGAGGTCATCCAATGCCCCAAGCGGCAGGACGATGCTTCCCCGTGAATCCCTCTGAGCTTAGTTAGAGCTACGTGGATAGAACAAGTTAGAAACTCTCGCGGACATCATCTGGCTTCTTTATTTTTGTCTTCTTTTCACATCCAACGCTTAAAAGAAGATCCAATTTGCAACTTAGAAATTTGACCATAAGCACGCAAGGCAAGGTCCACCGCAGCATTCGACATGGTATGCCTCAAATCGCATGTGCCATGGGCGTCCTTCGATTGGCCTATTGCTTACATTCATTAGGCGACCCGAGATCTCCAGACCCCGTCCTACGTTCTAGGCGCCCTTACTGCCACCGGCGGCATCATCGGTTTCCTCAAAACCCGCTCCTTGCCCTCCATCGTTGCGGGGTGCACGGTCGGTTTACTCTGTAAGTCCTACGGCTCCCATCTTGGGCCGAGCTCTCTCCTTGCATGATCCGTACTAGGAATAGACAATGGGTCCGCTGACGTCTGAGAAGATGGACTTGGTGGCTATCGCATCCAAAACCGCGAACCCTATGGCGTCGAACTAAGTCTACTTGCTTCTGCTGTCCTGGGAGGCTCCGCCATTCCTCGCGCGATACGCCTTCGAAAGCCCGTTCCAGTCCTGCTCAGCTTGCTCTCTGCCTTCGGCTTGTTCACCTTTGGAAACGAATTCCGCCGCAATTTGCAAATCTAGTGATATTGTACAGCGGGAAGCGGCGATCCTCTAGGGTTGTTTAGGTAGTCTGTATACAGCTACCAAGGGTGGCCGTTGTGTCTTGCGTTCTCCCAGCGTGAGCTGCCCAGACCATATACCCCGCGCCGTGTAACAATTATCCCGAATCTTGGTCGCGCCATGCTATGGAATCCCATCCCCGAACGCATGTCGTGCAAAAATGCAACAGTGCCATAGTGGTATTCGCTGCAACAGTCCTTGTGTCCATAATACAGTCGTAGCGCGTATCGTGTTGTATCGTATCATATCGTACAGCCGAGGGGGACGCCGGGTGTATAAAAAAGCCCCCGATTGGGGACGAGGAACTAATTGTCCAAGCTGAGCGACTTGTGGAGTTCATCGACCCTTCTCTGGTATTCTTCCTTCTTGGTCCTAGCAGCTGCTCTGTTGTTGTCGAGTCGCTTCATGCGCGCCGCATAAAGACAATCCGAAACTTTACGCTTCGCATCGTTGCAGTTTCCGAGGGACTTGTAAAGGAATCCTCTGGCATGGCACTCCTCGAGTGCATTCATGACTTCGGCGCACTCTGGACGTCGAGAGTTAGTCGGCGAGTATGTCCAAGGAGAAAGTGGGTGCACTTTCCAATGTTTTCTTCCGTGTGTAGATGAGGATGCATTTTGACGTGTTGACTTTGTTGGACTCTCTGATGTGGCGGAAGATTGAGCGGGTAGATAATGGGCTGAGGTTTCAATTGAACGAACGTATGCGGTCGAGATGGTACCTGACTTAACCGGTAAGACGCTCGGACCAGTCTAGACGTGGCACAGTGGGACGACAAGCCTAATTACCCCATACCTAAGGTACTACTGGCTCTATGAGCCTTCGTGCACTTCACATGATCCATGATTGAGGCAGGCATATCAATTATAAGCCGCCTTACGAATTCCACGACCCGTGTGGCTCTTGCGTATTTGTGAAACCGACGCAACTGATTCACTTGTATCTTTCGGTGCCGACTTGCTCTCGAATCCCTCGCTTTGGGCTACAAGGCCCTTCTTGATCGCATACAAGATGTCAACCCAAGCGGCTTCATCTGCCGCACCACAAGGTACGAGTTCAAGAAAACAGCAAGGTAGGTCTACATCCGGCTACAGTCTCAGGACCATGGACTAATGTCGTCCCTTTTAGAAATGCAAAATCAATACGCCGTTTACAAAAACACCCTGCAGAAAATTGCCCAGAAAATCGGCGATGTGGAGCAAGAAGCAGAAGAGCACAAGTATGTCTACTCCATGGCTGTCGGCTGTCGTCCTCATGTCGTACCCCGCGATCCATACTCCTCTGGGCTTAGAATTACGACGACACCTTGGCGGCCATGAGATGTTTTTTTGGGCCCCTCTCGTGACCTCACTCCAAGCCGCTTACTGCTCGTCTCGTCTGACAAATTCAATAGACTCGTGCTAGAAACTCTGCAGCCGCTCTCCGGCGATCGCAAAGCGTTTCGGCTCGTAAATGGTGTTCTCATGGAACAGACGGTAAAGGATGTGCTACCAGCTCTCACAACCAACTCAGAGGGCCTGAGGAAGGTCCTGGAGGACCTCGTGAAACAGTACAAGACAAAGCAGGAGGAGCTAGAAAAATGGAAGGTAAGCGTAACCCCCTTTGGTTCTTCGCTATAAAGAGCGGAAAAGCTCATACATTCCGATGCAGAAAAAGAACAATATCCAAGTTGTCCAGACATGAGCCCAGTCTGGACGATTAGGATCCGGACGTTCAGATCGGTGCTTGTGCTTTCTCCCCCGAGATTGCTACGCCCTGGGAAGGAAACATGCTACAATCCAGGCATCTGGGTTGTAAATAGGCCGGCGTGAGCCCCTCCGGCGGCACACTGCCTGGGCAGTCTCCTAGGCTATCTTCTACGCTAGGTTTTCGTTGGGACAGGGTCTCGAGCGATTTCGACTAATCCGTTTGTCCTGCGACGCTGTCGACAGAGCAGGCAATGTGATGGTAAACGCCGGGTTGGAAGAACCTTGTTTATAGCCATCCCTCTGACAGAGAATAGACAACTGGTCAGGCTGCTGAATGTGATACATTCGTCAAGTATGTTGGTTGAGTGAGTAATAAAAAGCCGCATAGTCTTGGGCGTTCTCCACGTTTCTGCCAGAAATTCCCCTTCGTGTTTACTCAGTGCAGTGGGCATGTCATTGGGCAACTAAGGTGGCTTCCCTGCCTATGATACAAAACGATTGATTGTCCAATTGTTTTGATAATAATGTCCGTATAAGACTGTTTATGTCAGAGGACATGGGAGAAAAGAATGACCTTGGACTAGACACTGGGTCGGGAGGGCGAAAGTTCACCTGGCAGAACAAAAGCATATCAGCCCAACTGCTGCACCTTTTGCTAAAATCCCACCCGGCCAATGCGGGGAACTGGCGGTGCGGAGCAGTAAGCTACATGCCGGCGCTGTCGCTGCAGGGGGGCCGGAGAGCCCAAGCGGACGGCATGGTGGGCAGATGCTTGATGCTACCCAACTTAATGGAGGGCGAAGGGCCGGCAGTCACAGAGTATCAACGCCGCAAAGACTGGGATATAATACTGCTGTTTTGTCGGAGTCGCTAGAGAACCTCTGAGCTGTCCCCATGATGTCAGGACAAGAAGCATGGCCAACACATGAGGCGGGAGAAGCAACAATAGGTACACAGCGACCCGATCTCGAGAGTAGGTACCCTCAATCAACATTGGGATTTGCGACGCAAGTCGGTCCAAAACAGCATGCCGTAGCGCAATTACCTAAGGTACTCCGAGTAGGCTCGTAGGTAAGGTAGGTACTCCGCACTGTCCGTCCTTTTAGTATCAGGCATGACGACAAATGAATGTTGTAGCGAAGTGTCTTCCATAGCAGCTTCATGTACATTATTTCGTATCGAGAGGCTTTTTGTCGATATGATAAGGTACTTAATAATAGGTGCTAGTAATTCGTATATGGACACACCCTCTCGTGTCTCCCCAACTTTATTTTGGTAGTCCGAAGTACCTCAGGATCTACCCACGGAGTCATCATTCTGGGAGCTCTTGAGGGACCGTGCTTGATGGTATCGATAGGCTCCTGTCAGCTTTCACGTTCCCAGAAATCCACTTTCTCCTTTCCATCAACCAACCCCACGTCCTTCTGCCGATTCCTTAAGCGAACTCCTCAACTGCCTTTACCACCTTACCTTACCTACCTACCTACCCACCTACCTACACGCCCCTCGACTGGACAACAGACTTCACTGTACCGGACAAGTTACAGACAAAACCCTGTTACCTACAGTATCCACGACCAAGATACTGCGTCAGGCCTCCACTAGGGTGCTTGTCTTGACCCAATCTTGTTCGAGCTTGAGCTCGAAATACGTTGCAACTTTGCATCCCGTCACTCACGAGTTGGTGCACCCTTCATCCAAGGCACCCGTCCGATTGCTGGTGTAACCCGTAAGCGGAAAAGCCAGCGCTCGAATCCAGACTCTCACCTATCTTCAGCCCTAATTGACGTTTCCTCTGCGCGTAATCACCCAGGCGCGACTGTCGCGAAGCCCCGATACAACCGCCCATTCGCTGCGTCCAGACACAACAGCAAAGCGAGCCCACGGCGTCGGATACGGATCCATCCGCCAGTCGGCCCAATAGCTACTGGCCATCTTCCAGCCCAATCTGACTAGCGGTCCGGAGGCCATTCCCTGACCGGCGATCAACCGTTGCGCCCAATTCACACGGCCAAGTCCAAGTCCCACGAGACCCACATCACTGAGGAACAACATCAACTCCCTACCTTACTGACGCAAAGGGGACCTCAGAGGCGCACAGCTATTCCCCGTCCCCCCAACCGTCTGCTTTGCTGCCTAGTCATCAATCCTAGACCAAGAGCCAAGGTCACATTCCCAGTTCAGGCAAGACACCGCACACGGGCCCGTTAGAACCTGAAGTCAAATTAGCGAAAACGGGGTGTGTGTGAACATACAGAGTAATCAACGAAGCTTTGAGTGAAGGGTTGAGCCGCAAGGCCTTGCAACCCCTACTATTCCTGCTACGTGGCCAGGGGAACACATCATCCCTACCGGTACCCGCCGTGTGCAATCTGGAAGTCCAAGCAATCGCAAGAACGCTAGCAGCCGCCTGCAAGTAGCCAAATATGTCCGACTCCCCCCAATCTCCTCCCAAGGATGTCGACCAAGGTGCACCGTCACCCGGCGACGAAGGACAAATGAACGATCCTCAAGACCCACAGTCCACCGGCCTCTCCTACGAGTTCGAGGTAAAGGAGCAGGACAGATGGTTGCCTATAGCCAATGGTATGTCTTCTCCCCCGTCAGACGTCGACTTGTGATTTGACGCGGGCATTCCCATCCACACAATTACTTCTTCCTTTTCATCTGTAATATTACTGGTGTGCCTGGGACTGGCATATCCTGTTCTTGCCGCTGCTGGGGGCACATCTCTAAGGGGGGCTAGGTCCTCATCCAACGATATGAGCTGGAAACCAACAGCGTGCATGAACCAGTCGTCTGTCCATGTCTCACGCTTCATCCCCCAAGTCGCCGGAAACACCCAGCGTTCACGGCACGAAGAAGGACAGTGAAGGTGATCGATACGACGAGCCTGATGCTAACATTCGCAATTTCGCGCCAGTCGCCCGGATTATGAAGAATGCTCTCCCTGAAAATGCGAAGATTGCCAAAGAGGCAAAGGAGTGCATGCAGGAGTGTGTGAGCGAGTTCATCTCCTTTATAACCAGCGAGGGTAAGCCAAGCTCACTTTATGAGAACGTCTCTGCATGACCACTTTCTATGATGCGGGAAGAAAAATATTGTGGCAACCAAGAGGCAATCTGACAATTTTTTTTTCTTCCTTCTTTTTTGCAGCTTCGGAGAAATGCCACCAGGAAAAGCGAAAGACGGTAAACGGCGAAGATATTTTGTTTGCCATGACGTCGCTAGGCTTTGAAAACTACGCAGAGGCACTTAAGATTTACCTCTCCAAATATCGTGAAGTATGTGTACCCTCCCTCCCTCCCCTTTGCATTTTCCAAACATCCATCCAGTCGCGCTGCTCTACCCTGTCCCCTCAGAGCAGCAAACGAATATGGAAGCCTTGGCACACGAGAACTGCAATAAATACCACGAAGCTAAATCCTAGTAGCAGCAGTCACAGTCCAACAGGAGCGAGGGCCAGGCGAACCGCCCCAACAGTGCTTACGGCAGCCACCCTCCTAGTGGTGCTGGGAATTTCCAGGGCGATACCTCCAATAATCTCATGTCTGCGCCTCCTGGCGACGGCGGCCCCGACGGCTCTGGCTACATCTATCAGTCGCAGGCAGGGCACAACGGCGCCGGACCGTCAGACGGTTACTGAAGGAGGCCCATGAGCTACTTGACGTCGTTATTCTTCTATTCCAGCAGCATGGTCCCACTCCGGGATTGGGATCGACGACGGTGGCCACTCCTGGGATTGGGAACGTCTGATATGCATTGATACCTGGTTATAGCTTCATATATATGTTCAACTACACCAGCACAGCAAGCAAGAACCAAAGTTGGAAGGGGGTCATCTCCAGTTGTGGTGTATATGAAGAACCTGGGTTGGTTTTGATGGGATGGTATTTGATGGGAGGACTTGGCTGGGGCGGACTCACTGCTCGCCCTCAACATGTGTGCGTGGATCACTCAGGGTCCATGATCCTATGATTGCCTTAGGCTTTAATAAATATTTTCTTTTTAAATTTTATTTCTTGAATCTATCCAGATTGATGGTCGTAACGCGTGTGTTCCACATGGAGTTTTATATGAATTCATACTGCTATTTTCTGTTGAACTGTTAGCTTTGTTGCGTACCTACTCCCTATACAAGGTACCTTACCTTCTAAGGTGGGGGCGGTAAAGCGCCTATCCATTTAGTATGTGGGGTGGCACGTGCGCTTTTACCCCTCTAGCACGTAGGTAGTTGCCTGTGAGGTTTGGAAAAAAAAAACCATTCACCAAGTACCTCATGTATGTTCACCACAAAGAAAAACTATATTCCTTACAAGAAGCCGCGCCTCCGAATCCGAACGCAGCAACAGATAATAGTACCGTTACAGCCTGCATATATAGAGATTCAGAATGCTGGCCATGACTTTGGGCTTCTCACCACAGTAGACGCATCCGACCAAGTCATCGCGTCAACTGATCTCTCCTCCAAGCCCAACGTCTGATCCTCACCGACCTTCTTGGCAGACAGCGAAACGAATCATTCAACCAGCCCCGACCGACAGAATACAGAATAAGCCCTCATTTTCCCATGAGGCCCTTTACAGCGATCGGGGGATCTCGCTCTGAACCTCCTCCGACTACCGCAACTCCGAGCAAGAGCATTCTCCGACCTTCGATTCTCGGACGTCGGAAGATCGACCATGTTAGCCCCGACGACATACCTCCTCCCCCTACTAAGAGACGGAAGGTTCTCATAGACGAGATGAACAATGAGGTTATTGAATTCTCGGGACGGTCGCTGGACCAAGTCAATCAGGAAGTGAGAAGAGCACTCGAGGGCCATTTGCAGGGCCAGGATAGCGATTACGACAGCCTTAAGGAGATGTTCGCAACTGAAAACCGAAGGACTGGTGCGGACGTCGGGGAGGATAGCTCGCCGAAGCCACAGGAACTGAAGCGCTACATTCTGGCGCTGACAAACTGCGTCCCCCTCTTGAAGAATAGAGCTTGCAACGGGCTTGTCAGGAACATTCTCCAAGTGTCGTGGCTAGGGCGCGACGAGGAGTTCTATAAGGTCTACCTCCAACTCATGGCCGCTCTTGTCAGCTCCCAGGGCTCCTACCTGTCGCTTGTGCTCACCATGATGGTGGAAAAATTCCCCCACACCAGAGCTCGCGACTGGAGCGTCCCCGACTGGGCCGCCGTCAGTCGAGCAGTCATGCGTGAGCGGTTACATGCCGGCCTTCGCTATCTGCTGAAAGTATTCCCGGCGGCGTCATCCCTCCTTCGAACCCTCATCGTCTCCAAGTTCCCCTTCGCCGATGACGCACCGCGAACTCACGTGGCCTACGTGAAGAACCTGCTCAGACTGGGCGAGTATGCCGAAGAACTGGATCTTGATATGATCGACTTGATTCTCCAACGGCTTGTCGCTATCGACGTTCAGATGCAAGTCGACTTGGAAGATCTAGACGATGAGCTCACCACTTCCGTTGCGTATGCACTGGGCCAGTCGTCTCCTTCTGCGTCATGGGAGGGAGACGAAGACGCCCCGGACGACGACGAAGATGACAACGAGTCGGTCGACAGCGACGAATCCGATCTGGACGAGCACGAGGAGAAGGTGCGCACCGTGAAGGGTCACATCGAGAAGCTGGACGCTGTTCTGGACACGCTATTCGAACACTACGCACCGCACTTTGTCGATCCGGAATCAGACGATGCCTATTACCGATACGCCCTCCTTGTGCAGTCTTTCGGCAAGAACGTTCTGCCGACATACAAATCCCGGCATACACAGTTCCTGCTCTTCCATTTTGGCCAATTGTCTGATCGACTGCGAGACACTTTCGTTGGCAGCCTGATGCACATATTTACCTCGCAGACGCGGCCGGCATTCGTGCGACAGGCCGCGGCAACCTACCTGGCCGGTTTCGTTGCCAGAGGAGCGCATGTACCGGCGGAACTTGTGCGCACCATTTTCAACCTTTTGCTCGCCAGAATGAAGGCATACCGCATCAAGCACGACGCACAGGCTCGCGGTCCGGATATGAAACGGCACCAGCTCTACTACGCACAAGTGCAAGCAGCCCTATACATGTTCTGCTTTCGGTGGCGAGATCTAATCGTTTCCGCTCCCGAGTTTGTTGACGCCGACGACCCCGCGTCCTACCTGGGCCACGAACTCGGGTGGATGCAAGGCCTCAAAGAGGAGCTGTCCAGCCACGTCTATTGCCGAATGAACCCTCTCAAGATTTGCTCTCCGGCCATCGTCGAGGAATTCGCGACGCTGACGCATAAGCTGGGGCTCATGTACATATTCCCTCGGGTGGAAGAGAACAAGCGCATCCGCCTGTCGCAGTTCGTTTCGGACACATACGGCAATGGCGGAGCGCTTCGCGATACCGCGGGCGGCCCGCGGGGCGAGGAGGACCATCAGCTCGATCCCTATTTCCCCTTCGACCCGTACCAGCTACCGGTGAGCAAGCGTTGGATGCAGGGCAACTATGTGCAATACCAGTCGGTCCCGGGGCTGAACGTCGCCGTGGAAGATGACGACAGCGACGAGAGTGGCGGGGAAGACGGACATGACACGGACGTGGTGGATGATACGGCCACAGCTAGCGAAGACGAGGAGGAGGTCTGAAGCGGGGTGTGTTTCTTGCCATTCAAACTTCTTTTTCATGATAGCGTCAGCCTGGCGTTGGGTTGGACTAAACTTGGGAAGTATATCGGAGGGTCTCGTCTCGCATATCGGAAAACAGCAAGGGAATCGATCATTTTTGGTCGGGGGCGTTGGGTGCCGAGCTTGCTAACAATGGTCAATGTACGGCGGGAAAAGCTACTCGTTTTTGTTCATAGCGACAGGCCTATTTGCTGCGAAATACTACAAAATTGCCACGGCTCCTTTTTATGCGTTAGGGGCCGGTTGCGATGGTGTCGATGGGAACAGGACAAAGTCAGTGTTCTGTTATGGTGTTTTTGATTATCACTGTCCCCTCACAAACCCAAGACGCAAGCATCATGCTTTTTTTTTCAGGCGACATAGACAGGCCAGAGAGTAGATGGATGTTGAAGGCTTGTGTTGGTTAAGAGACAAAAAGAGGTAACCCATGGTCGTTGCTTGGGCCTCTTCTCCTCTGCAGCACTGGTTGTGGCCAGGTCATGCTAAGAAGGCCTCATTCGATGCAGGACCAACTTATGTCTCTATTTCTTTCTCCTTGTTTTCTTTCCCACAGAGTGCAGTGGTCTGATTCCCAGCAAGTCTAAAGAAGATGAGTCTTTCCGTCCGACCATGGCTCGACTGGTTCGATTCCATGTGGCTAAGGTAACAATAAGGAACAAGGCTGTTTCAGGTCATACTGGCGAGAGAAGCTGATACGGACACTGATATCAAGAAGCCAAGAAACCATCGGCTTCCCAGAGCTAAATAATATCCGTACTTGTACATATGAATATGAATAGCGCATTGAGCTTTGACAAGAGTGTACTTCGTACTCTGTACGGATAGGAAAGAAAAGTCAGTCAGTTCATTGTCTTTGATGAGCCCATTTCGAGCTGTCACTACCTATGTATCTATTCATAAGTGATTACCGCGTAATTAAGGTACAGTGAGAATTCGTACCTTGCTTTTGTAATTACCGTCTTCTACATGAGATGGAGCACAGTAGGTGCTCTGACCCCAAGGTATGATGCACTGTGGAAGCGCCTGGGTATTTGAACAAAATAATACAGTTCGTCAAGAGGCATGGACACGGTGCCGCTCGAGCCCAAATTAAGTTACGGGAGCTTTTGATTGATATTTTCCAGGAACTCTTACGATTGGCTACAACCGGTAAATGCAACGGTCGGAGGACTAAAAAGGGGATACGGAAACGGAGTACAGACGACGACGGCGACAAGGACAACCAGGAAGCAGTGCTTATTTTTATTTTCCGTAAGATTTCTCGTCTTGACCGCACGAGCACTTATAAATCCTGTCCCGTCAAATTTGGCAGCTTGAGGAGTGTCCAACGGAGTCCTCTTCTAGACCTAATACCGACGAGTCAAGACGTCGACTGTCTTCACAGCTGGGAAGAAGAAAAAAAATCTGGTTGGTTCTCGCCTTGACCGTTTGTCCTCACCTACCAGATCGGTACCTGCAGCCTTTAATTGTGTTAGCGCAAAGCATGGAGGATGGGGATTGGCTCAGAGTTAGGATCGAGGCAGGAACGCGCACGATCTTCCTGCCGTGGATGGCCAGGGGGTAAACAGGGTAATTTCCCACAACATTGGCATGGCCCCTGGAAAACGGGGCCACGTACAATGTACAAACCCTCTCCTTGCCCTGGGCTGGGCAGCGTCCGTCCGTCCCCCGGGGGGTCCTCTTGCCTAATGTTATGCTTCTTTTCGACGTCGTCCACGTAATTCTCATGCTCTCCTTTCTCCCTTCACTCTTCACAGTCACTCTTTCACGCCTCGATTCCTCCACCCAACTAGAGAGCTTCGCTCTCGATCACACTCATTTTTGGAATAGGGACTGCTTCCATTCATTCGTTTATATATTATCTTCGTTTCGAAGCCGCTCCCGCGACGAATCGTCTCCGTACTTTCTCGACCGGCTGCTTTTGCGAAACCCGTGATTTTCAATTCAAGCTGTTTTGACGTTTTGCTTGCCGACCACTTCGTTCCAACTGCCAATATGATGAAGTCCATTACGCACCTTGCCCTCGCGGCTTCGCTCATTGCCGGTGTGGCCGCCCACCAGCAGCAGCAGCAGCACCAGCACCAGCGCCTTCACAAGAAGCACGTCGCCTCCCCCGTCGAGAAGCGCGAGCCGGATGCCGTCACCGTGTACGAGGCCGGCCCCACCGTAACCCACTATGTGCTGGCCGGAGAGAGGCTGTCTGAGGACGAGGCTAAGGAGGGCATTGCCGATGGTCTCTTAGTCGTCGTCGGTGAGAGCACCCCGAGCTTCAGCCCCCCCCCTCCTCCCGCATCTTCTTCGGAGCCTGCCACTTCCACCCGGGCCATGGCCGCTCAGTTCTTCGAGTCCAAGGAGGCTTCGTCTTCCACCCCGGCCCCTTCTCCGACTCCCACTCCCTCTCCGACCACCAGCTCCGAAGCACCGGCTGAACCCACCTCATCGGCTCCCGCCAACGGCGGCGGCAGCGGCAGTGGCAGCGGCGGCGGCACCGGATTGGACGCCGAATTCCCCAGCGGCGAGGTCAAGTGCTCTCACCTGCCGACCGACTACGGTGTTGAACCGCTCGACTGGCTCGACATCGGCGGCTGGGCTGGCATCCAGAAGGTACCCAGGTACCGCCCCGGCCACGCCTCCATCGACTACATTGAGACCGCTGTCGACGGTGGTTGCGAGCCCGGTGCGTTTTGCTCCTATGCCTGCCCTGTCGGCTACCAGAAGACCCAGTGGCCCGAGGCACAGGGCGCCACCCTGCAGTCCATCGGCGGTCTCTGGTGCAACGACGACGGCTTCCTGGAGCTCACCCGCCCCGAGAAGGAGACTCTCTGCGAGGCGGGCGCCGGCGGCGTCTGGATCCAGAATGACCTCGACGACATCGCTGCCGTCTGCCAGACCGACTATCCCGGCCACGAGGCCATGGTCATCCCCACCATTCCCAAGCCCGGCGAGAAGCTGCCCCTGACCAACCCCTATGCGCCTGACTACTACGTCTGGAACGACCTCCCCACCTCCGGCCAGTTCTACGTCAACAAGAAGGGCTACAAGGTGGAGGATGCCTGCGTTTGGGACAGCGCCATCGACCCCGAGGGCGCCGGCAACTGGGCCCCCATCAACATCGGCTCCGGCATGGCCGCTGACGGCAACACCTACATTTCCATCTTCCCCAACGCGCCCACCAGCATTGCCAAGCTGGACTTCAACATTGAGATCATTGGCGACGTCAACTCCAAGTGCGCCCTTATCAATGGCGTGTACACTGGTGGCAGCACCACCGGCTGCACTGTTAGTTTTCCTTTTTCTTTTTCTTTTCCTCGCTCCCATTGACACATTTCTTTTTGCCGTCACGGTAACTAACCAAGCGCAGACCACGTTGCCCAAGGGTGCAGGCGAAGCTATCATCCGATTCTTCAAGTAAACGCAATGAAGGGGGGCGACATGTGCACGGAACCGGGCATCTCACCAGCCGGCCGTCCCATCTAGCGTCATGTCAATTGAATATGCCATCCCTGTTTTTTTCTTCTTTTTTTTTTCTCCTGCTTTATTGATACCTTGGATAGCGACGTATCCCTTGGATCGAATCGATGACAATTTTGTTGAGATTTAATGCGATTAATTCCTTTCCCCATTTCGCCGTGGCTATCTTTTCGGGCATCCACGCTGATGGAGGACATTGTTTCGGAGTGAGGCTTTTGTCGTTTCTCGCCTTCGTAGAGTTGGAATAGGGGTTTCTGGCTCGGCATCTCAAGGCCATATTATTGGGAGTGTCTAGTATCTGACCCGAGTGGAGTATCAGTCGGCACTGAGGTTCAGCGAGAGCTGTCCTCCAGGATGCCGTCTCCCTCCGTCACCCAACTCCTTGCCGATGGTTCATTTATTAGGGATGGGATATTTTGGGTCAACTTCTTGCTGCATACCATGGGCGATGCATTCACTGTTTGCTTACATACGTAATAATACGTACCGGGTCGAAGATGTAATTTCTTGCGTGCATACTCTTTCTTAATCGATTCGCCTTCAGTCTCTGATGCCATCCCAAGTCTGCCGGGACGACGAAGAATAAATCATTCTCTGGCATTGTCCACGATCTACGGATTACTCCCCGGCCAACAGCCGGCCCGCTACGCGGTACATGTTTCCATAGAGTAGATTCGAGACCACTCCGTGAGAATAAACTTCAGAGTATTCATAGGCTCCATTATTAATGTTATAACAGACCGTGTGCTATGACAGTCGATAGGTAGGTATACAGGTGAAACAGTCATTACATTTACATTCATATCCCATTGACCTCCTACGGACAGCTTACAATCGTCTATACTTGGGATATTCCCAACACTCGCTGTCACGGTTCTGGCGTCTGCCGATACGACCCTGGGCGGTAAAGAGTCGCTCATGATTTCTCGTGTTGTTCTTTCAGGGGGTTCTCCGGCCTCAGTCTCCGTTTCTGATACCTTGTCTCTTTCGTTCCTTGTCATCGTCAGCCTTATGGGGGCGCAGCTCCCTCTTAACGTTGCAAGCTAGCCCTCAGAGACGAAGTAATACCACCTCGAATATTGGGACACACGGTAAGACTCACGACACCAAAACTTTGGTTGCGACCAATTTCAAGTTTGTATTTGTATTCTTCTCATTTCCAGCCCGTGACAGCCACAGGGCCTTCGAGAATCGCCATGCAATGAAACGTGGCACGGCATGACAACCTCGTCTCTCTACTGCTTGTTGCACTGCCTCATTATGTCGTCTGTCCCCTGCCTAATTACTTATTATAGGGGCTAGTCCCGAGAGGTTCGGCGTGAGGAGGCCCACCGTGATCCTCCTATCGCGCGTCTTTCGTCTGCCCCTTCGATCCCAACTGGTAGCCTGCCTGATCCCAGGGCCAGCAGCATGAGACTCCAGCTCCCCGTTGCCGTCCTCTTACCCTCCGTAACTTCTCAGATCCCCTCTCGGAAAGGCCCACTCCCCTGGTCCCAAGGTTTCATCGCATTGCTCCTTGTTCATCGTCCCCCTTGTTTGTCGTTAAGCGAATGTACTCGGACGGCTCTCTTGGTCGTCAAGTTCCTGCGTATAAACCCCAGAACTCCGATTTGAGGCCCCATGAAATCAAACCCCGCCGTGATTCTAGAATGCCGAATGCTGATGCCGTACCATGACGCATCTCAAGTACGTCTGATATATTTACACGGCGACTTCGTAAAAGCTGTCTCCGTTCTGAAGAAAAAAAGATCCAAAAGTAAGTTAAACCCCGACCTCGCAGGGGCCCTCTTGGAATTATGTTGTGCAGAGAATCGAACATGAAGAACGGGTAAAATCGGCCGGTGGTAGTAAAAGAAGAGAATAGGATCCGGTCGAAAATTAAGGTAGTCGAAAATAGACGAAAAAATACAAGACCAGTTCGAAGAACATCATGCCATTTCTTCAACCGACACCGACTTCGCTCTTTGCCGGGTGGCCTTCATGCTCACGGTGTACACCAGATCAATCGTCCAGAGGTGGCTTAGTTGTGCGTGGGCGCATGGGATGGAGCCGTAAAGGGGCGCCACCACAGGGACCATGATGTAGTCAATGAAGTTCTTCTTGACGCCGCGGTAGGAGAAATCCAAGCGGTCGGCAAGGCCCGCTTCAGTCATCTCACGATGTCTGTTTTTGACAGCGACATCGTGGTAACGCTCGTAGAGGAAAAGGATGCAGGCTACCTCCATGAAACTCACGGTGCGGAGAACGTTGGCAGCGGTGAAGGCCCACGCGATGTTGTTAGGATCTCCGTTCCCTTCAGCGACCCAAACGTAGAGAGTCGAAGAAATGACGAGGATGGCCATCTGGACGGGCAGGAAATGCGCTTCATACAGTCGGTGTCCGAGGTAGAAGATGCGCTCCCAGTGAGGGCTCGGCAGAGTGTCGTGAGTGACGTCAGAAAAGATGCCGCTTTCCCGCGCTTGCTCGGGATTCCGTTCGTCCATTTGACTCTCGGGCACGTAGACGTCTGACGCGTCTCCAAGAGAGGTGTGCAGAGGTCGAAACGCCCTGGACGTGTGCTTCCGCTCCTGCCAGAGTTCGACAAATTTACGAATGGAATAGCCCGTGTCCAAAGCTCCCCACATATGGCGGAGAGCCTGCTTATACCGAGCTTGCATGCCAGCATAGAGACCTCGAAGCCCCTTTCCACTGGCAGCTACATTGCTTTGGCTGACGGGACTGGGCAAGACACGGCAAGTAAGATTGCCATTGAGGGCAAAGAAACACTTCAGGAACATGTGCAGATCCTCGCCAATGGCCTCGGCGTCGCAATCCCAGCCTCCCACGCGATCAACCAGTTGTAGAGGGACGGAGTAGACCGAGGTGGGGGGCGCAATGGTCGACCCGTTGTAGAGGCCAGACAGGCCTGCTGCGCCCCAGAAGATGTCAGCGACGCGCACAATTGCCGGGACGCCGTGGGCATTTCTGTCGAAGATGATGGGCGCCGAGTACATCGTGGTCATGGCAGTTTCGGGATAGGCAAAGTGCATCGTGGCGATGAGAGCGGTATAGTTGCTAGACAGATGGCTGTCGGCTGGAGACAAGGGGAGTACGTCAGCACACACAAGATCGCAAAATGTACACATGTCAATGAGGAGATATTTACCGTCAATTCCCGTGATGACGACGTCCTTCCGGACTTCCATGGAGTACCTCTCACTGGCTTTCCGAGCAGCCCAGGCCATGTTGCTTCCCTTGCCCGCAGATTCCCCTGGGATATCCGCAGGGTGAACTGTATAGTTGATACTGCGGAATTTCTTCGCGTATAGCTGGACGAGATTACCGGCCTTGACCTGGACATTCGGTTCGCGCGACTCCATTGCAAGATAAACCTGTGCCAAGTTGGTGTCAGCCGTTACAATGCGAACTCCAAAAACAGAGATGGCTGAACACATCAAAGCCAACAAGAAGAAAAAAGGCGTAGGAAACTCACGTCATATGAAGCCGTGGCTTGTGGGTGCGAGGCCAAAACGTCGAGAGTCTCCCGCAATGTGTCTACTTCCTCCTTGTAGTTGGGTATGACGATGGCGTGAATGACGGCAGTGGCGGCCTCCTCGCTGGCTTCGGGATAGGGTTGAAGGTCGATATCGCCGGCTTCGCTGCTCGAGGCGGAACAGGCGTGAGAGGAGGTCAGCGTTTCGGCGCTCGAGAGAGACGTAGAGGAACCGCGGCGACGATGGAGCGACTTGAAGTCCCGTAAAATCCTGCTACGGGCCGTCTTCCTGAGTGTTCGCGTGAGGTCGAAGATGGCCCAGCAAGAACGGGCAGGGAAGAGACACATGAGGGCATGGACGAAGAGGCTGTAGTAGGCGAAAAGGGCCGTCAAAAAGCCTGCTCCCTTATCCGGTGACCCATTGGCTGTCACAGCGACACCGGTCTGTTGGCTATATTCGAAATTATAACGAGAAGCGGCCAATTCTCTCGAAATGACCCAGTAGCACAACATAACCAGGGCGATCATGGCCAGGCCGGGGGCGCGACGAGAGCACCATAGTAACAATGACATGACGACGAAGACGACAACCAAGGCCAGGAAAGAGAAACGAACACCCGGGAAGAGGAGAGGCGGGCTGGAAAGGAGGGAGGAAGGGAGAAGGAGGAGGGAACGGACGAGAGAGAGGTAAGGCTGGCTAGACACCAGTAGGTATGAAAAAAAGGATGGATAAGAGATAGTCGATACCCAATCCTGCTATCTGTAGGGAGTACAAGATTAGGTCGGCATTAGGGGTGTTCGTATAATATTAGGGCAGTCGGAAATACCTAGGTCGAGTGAAAGAAAGATGACCCTGAAGAGTTCAAGAAGGGGGGCAGTGTCAAAAAGAAGCAAAGGGAAAAGGGGGCGAAGAGGACATAATTAGAGGGTAGAACTTGGGACTGGGAAATTGGTGGGGTGTTGCCTTGCGAGTCGGTTGATCCTCTCCGATCTAATTAAAGTTGTGCACAAAAAGTGACGACGTAGTAATTGAGGTATCCGTACGTATATGTTTAATAATAGTGGGCTTCACAAAGTTCATGGGGCGCGAAGGGGGGGCGGGAAACTTATTAAATGGAGGAGGGCCTACCAGATTGACATGTTGTGCTCGCGTCTGGCTGCGAAGGTTGGCATAAGGCTTCAGCCGACTCTGGACCTCCACAGTAGGCCATCTCGGCAAGCTCTACCCAGAAACCAGGGGTGGGGTCCTAATTTCCCTTGGCGATACCTGCCTCAGGAGTGCGGGCTGCCTCCGACCTCCAATAGGGGAAAATGGGAATAGGTAGGGTTGTCCCTTTAGCGGGGACGTGCGTCTCGGTCGTCGCCGTATGTACTGTACATCCAGGATAGCACAGATCATCTGAAATATTCTGGCTCTCCAATGTCCAGCAAATAAGCTTCATCCACACTTCTTGTCTTTTCTTTTTCTATTTTATATGGACGTGCTTCAGGGAAAAATTCCCATCTCCTGAGTAGTAACTTAAGCATAACAAGCTTTTCTACGACCATGATTCAACATGGAATCGAACGTCTTGCAATCAGGTACGAAATAATTACGAAGTAGAATGAGGGCGGTTTACCCATACGTTTTTAGGACCCTTGCTCAAGGTCGGACTGACTTTCTCTCTTCTTTCAATATAAGCAAACCTGGTTAGTACGAAGCAGCGGTGCTGACAACTTTGCGAACCCATGTAGTTATTAGGAAAAGAAAGACCGCCAAGATACAGATACCGGCACATCGCTCATGTTATGTAACTTTCACTGTGAGACCCGTCCAAAACTAATCAATCTTAAGGTAATAAGGTACCTTAGGTAGGCACACAGCTTCGCTCTGGGAGCCATTTCGGGTCATATGTAATTATGTACAAGGTACCTTACTTGGAGATGCAGCAGCAAGTCATTATGAGAAACTGGAAGCGAGGCCCGTATGAAGTACATACCTTCGCATACGCATGACTGATGTATTCATGCAGACGTGGTGTCATTCCGATCCGTGCCACCCTGGCAAACAATCCCTTGTGGCTCGGTCGGCGCCTGGGACCAATGGAAATCGCGATAATCTAGGACGGGAAGATGTTCAGGTACCGTCTGTTGAACAGACCGTAGTTTTTACGGTTACGTGATAGGCACGGATTTAACTAAAAGATTATAACCTTAGTAATCCGGGCGAACGGTCACCTACATAATTTTTACTATAGATAAAACGGCGGTAGCAGTTCTCTGACTGTCTTGGATAGGGAGGAGAAGATATAAGATTATCTTCATCAATTTACCCTTTGATTTTGACCCTATTTTGACGGTTCCAGTTACGCTGTATCTGACACCTACCTCTCAGCAACGTGTTACTGCGTATCGTGTCATTGGTCGAATACAAATCTCCAGCACCCCCGAGGTGGCTTATCTGGGGCCTAATTTGGTTGCAATAACTCTTTGATTGGCCATACCCTGGTCATGCTTCAATGAGCAGTTTCATGGTGTCGGCAAGCCAGAACTTCCCGCACGCAGACCTACGCACAGTATACGTTGTATGTGTAAAGCCGACATCACCTACCTACCTAGGTACAGTGGGATCTTTTCCTACTCCGGGAGGCGATTGAACATCAAAGTGGACCTAGCAATACAAAAGAAAAATTTGCGGGTCCCAAATTTGCTGACTTACATACTTCAGCGCATACTGTGCTATTTCACTGTGTGACCATGCACGGGGGAAGAGACGCCAAAATACGCGTGTGGACGGACGCGACACGCGGAATTGACTTTCGCCTTGCCCGACCTGGAAATGGACAATTACCCTACTACACGTGTAATCTTACGGATGAACGGAACAAATTTTCTCAAGTTCGAGTCTGCTGAGTCATCCTTTTTTTTTATTGTCTTGAGACGGGGGCGCTGACTGAAGACAAACTGTAATTATTATACGTGTAAGGTGCAGAGTAAGTATATATGTACTCCGTACGTGTATGAGGGATATGAGTGATCACATCTTTCTGCATGTCTTGAACCTGCAGCATGCATGGCGGTACTCGTGATTTTCCGAATGCTACAGGGCACTACACGCGGTCAGGCAGGAGTAGGTGATTATGAACATCAGTTCCAACGTCAAATCGTTGGGACTACTCCCTCGCATCGCCCCTCACCGGGATGGCGCTTTCGGCGGCTTCTGGGGGATTACTTGCATCGGCCCAAATCAACATTGATTGGGGAACGGTCCGAGACCCTCGGTACATATAGATAAGGTAGGTAATAAGGTAATTAGGTGGTGACTCCCTTGCTGCCATAAGCGTTTCAACCCAAGTGCAGAAACGGCGGAGTAATAAAAAGAGAACCAAAATTCCTATAAAAACTGTATATACACGTGTACTGTGACGTCGAGGACTACTCCAACAGGCCCCTCTTAAACTTGGGCCAAAAGAGACTTGCCATGTCGTCATCCTTTTCCATGAATCCGGACTCTGTATGCGTATCTCCGCGTTGATCATCAAATTCAATCCACATTCTCCAAGCCCCTCCAGAGCGGCGTAGTCTACATACTGCCAAGAGATCGATCGATGTACGAATCTCAAAGATATGGCCAGACAGTATTGTTTTTGCTCGGGTGCTTACGTTGTACTTTGGCTACGTACGTGACCGCGTAATGCCTCATGTTACCTCCGAACCCCGCGGGGAGCGGAGGTCCTTGGCAGTGATTCGGCCGCTCTCTTTACTTTGACATGTCCATCCTTATTATGATGCAGCGTCTTTGCTTGGCGACGAGCCGAGAAAAGCATGACGAGCAAAAGGCATATGCCCAGAAAGACTTGGGTACGTGGGGCGAGATAATTACTGTACACGTGTAACATAACGTATTGTGTCCATCCGGACGGGGTATCTCTAGGTATCATAATATGTGACTTCGCTTTCTTTCCCGTTTCGCAGATATCCCCTTAAATATCAGGTGGAGGGGACACCGCCTCATGAACCCAGGCGGGGCGCTCGTGGCCCAGACTTCCTGCATGGCTGACAAGCTCAGCAGAAATCTAGACATGGACTCGTAATGTGTTGCTTCATCGTGGAATGCTCTCCCGGGGTGCGAAATATATCTGTCATCGTCCGAGACGCCAGGGACAGGACATTAACAGTAGGGTCCCGGCCGTCACCCGCATGCGAGCGAGTCTTTCGTGGACTCGGGCGGGGCTCGTTTTGAACATATCGTTGTGGGATACGTGGCGCAATTGAGCTGGATAACTGAACCCAGAACTCCTTGGTGAAGAATCAGACGACTTTTTCGAATAACACCTGGATGGGTTTTGCGGCCTTTAGGGGGTTGGTCAGTATGTTAACCATTTGAGGTTCCAGGACGAGGCGTAGACAAACATCGATGAATTTCTCCAGATCTCTATCAAGATTGGCGAGATCCTCTTTCCTCTTCTTGTTCTCCGCGATAAGCTTCTGCTTTCTCTTCAGGAGTTCCTGCCTCTGCTGTTCGAGGGCCTCTCGCTGCGCACGCTCATGTGCAATCCTCGCCGTCATAAGCGCGTTCTCGTCGTCCGTAGCGTGTTCGGGATGCTGGTGTAGGAATTCTTCAAGCGGGACTAGGGGCAGTCGCATGTGGGAGTGGCTGCGGGAGCATGGCCTATCAGTTGTCTATGCGACAAGACGGGTTCTTCCCTTCTTCCCTAGAGGGCAGAATCGGGGAGAAAAGGGAGGAGGAAACTCACTCGTACGACTCGCACGCAGCAATTTCGCCTTGTAGATGTCTTTGTTCGTAATAGAGGTTCTGCAGCTGAAGGTGAAGACTGTCGACCTCGTGGCGCTTCTCGGCGGTCTTGTATTTCGTCTCGCGGGCCGAGAAAATGGCCGCCCGGTGTAGTCCACGTAGATGGGATATATTAGTGAAGAGAAGCTTCTGTTGCTTGGATATGGCGGCCTCCTGATCCAGAGAGAGGGGCTGGCCCGCCTCGGGCAGGCAGTCGACGAGAAGCTCAGCTTGTTCCCTGGACTGGCTTGATGTCTGGAGGACAGCATCAAGTTGAAGATCCTTGACAATGTGGTTGAACGCCATTGTCATTATAATTATCCGATCCGGGGCGTCGAATCGTAAGCTAGATACTTAGCGATTGGCGCGAGGTAATAATGCTGCGAGGGGAGGTTGTACGCGATTTCGTTCAGTCGTGTTGCCGGAGGGCAAGGCTGAAGGGTGGCTGACGGGCAAGGAGACACCGGTACGTACCTCCCTGGTAACGGAGTACCTAACGGAGTACCTTAGTAATCAGATCCTTATTACACCGCATAATAACCGGGATCCTTGGTGCCCCAGATCTCTCTACCTAGTCGCTCTCTCGATAGTGGAGCCGTCCTTGAAGGGTGGGAAACTTCGCGTAATCCTTTCTTTGAGCGTGAAATGAGCATCCCGCCATCATCCTTGAGCCAAGAGAATGGGAAATCGCCGAGGCTTCAATGGATCCTTCGCACATACACCCCACCCTCTTCTTCATTTTCGCAGGCGCACACTTCTTCTCCATCTTCCGCCTTTACTCGGTAATTACGCCATACATCCAACTCAGAACGTTCGCTTTCCTCGCCAGGCCTGCTTAGAACGTAGCGAATGCCTTGGTAGTTGTAACTGCCTCGGGTCAAAGACTAAACCCCCTTGAATACTCCGTGTTCTGTACGGACACTTGATCTGGACTGCGCAGACAGCCAATCGACAATTCTTGAAACGTCGTGCGCCACCGCCGCCGCCGGCCTTTGGGGCTTCTACTTTCCCCCGCGAATCGTCCCTCGAACCAATCGCACGCTCTATCCTCAGCTTGTGGGTTCTCTTCCCAACGCCTGAACTCGGAATTGTTTCTGCGAACCCCGCTCCCTCACAATCCAACCACATAGTTTGGACGTTACCGCCTTAGAAGTAACCAAAAGCCTTACCGAGTCCCTGATTCCCATCGGCAATATCACTGCAAAATGACTACCCTTTCGTCGCCGTCTTGCGCTTGCAGCGTTCAAGGCGACGAACCGGTCGATGTCGCAGTATCCTCGAGTGCCCAGGCTCAGGGTAACATCCGCCCTCGGAGACGTCGACATTCCTTCTTTCTTCCGAGGAGAAAGTCCATCATCGGCCACATCATCGATACCGAGGAAGGCCTTCTTTTGAAGGTTCGTGCTTTTATTCGCAGTCCCACGGTGCATGTCATTGCTTGGTTGCCACTAACTCGCTTACCAGGTCGACCTCTTCCTGTCGGAACTTGAACGACGGCTCGACTTTATCGAAAACCATGGAGACCCGCTCGATTCCAGCATAAGCAGGGCGTTTTCGACTCTTCAGGCCGTCCGAGAAAGATGCTGTCAGGCATCCGAAGAGGTTCTAGGCGAGGGACGTCGGCGTCTACATGTCATGGTCGAGACCCTCGAAGCCAGATACCATGAAGGCTTGACGTCGGGCGAATCCCTACATGAAAAGGCCCGCCTTGGTCTTGAGCTCCTGGAAGGGATGCTCTCCGAATTCGAGACTCGGGCCTATAAGTTCCGCGAGCAAGGACTCGCCAACGCTGCCGGTGCCGCTGGCGCATTCATGGAGGAGAGCCGAAGGGTCGTCGACAAGGGAATCGAACGCGCCCGAGATGCCGTTGACGAAGGTATCGAGCGAGCCATGCGAGCAGCCGAAACACTAGAAGAACATATCCAATACGCCATCGTTCGGGCCAGGGAGACCGGCTTGATTGTATATGACGAGCTGCCCGTCCCATGGAGGGTCAACCCACACATCAGGAAAGGGTACCGTTTCACCGAAACCAAAATCGAGTGTATCCGGTCTGCCTTCGGCATCCATAATGAGTTCTTCAATATCTGGTCACACGCACTGGGTCTGGTTGTAGTTCTCGCCGTCGCCCTATACTTTTACCCTCGGAACGACAACTTTTCTCTGAGCAGCCAAACCGACATCTTCATCGCCGCCGTCTTCTTCTCTACCGCTTGCTTGACCCTTGTCTGTTCGACCGTTTGGCACACAATGAACGCTGTCGCCGATATGAATGCCATTTCCTTATTCGCTTGCGTGGATTACACCGGAATCTCATTGCTCATCGCTGCGTCCATCATGACGACTGAATACACGGCGTTCTACTGCGACCCCGTCAGCCGTTGGATCTACATGTCAACGACTGCCATCTTGGGAATCGGAGGTGTTATCTTGCCTTGGCATCCGACTTTTAATGGGGCGGACATGGCCTGGGCTCGAGTCGCCTTCTTTGTCGGCCTGGCTGCTACGGGGTTTGCCCCCATTATCCAGTTGTACTTCAGCCACGGCCCGAACTTCGTGTTGGAGTTTTACTCGCCCATCGCCAAGTCGATCTGCGTGTACCTGGTGGGTGCTTGCGTGTACGCTAGCCAGGTTCCCGAGCGGTGGTTTCCAGGCATGTTTGACTACATCGGCGGCAGCCATAATCTGTGGCATCTGGCGGTCCTTGGCGGCATCCTCTTCCATTACACTGCCATGCAAGCCTTCTTTACCGATGCCTTTCGCAGGGCTGAGGGCCAATGCTCTCACTATTGAGTGCCGAAACGTGCCGGCGGAGAGCCTGAAGAGGACTCCGTGGGCAACGGCGCATCATTGAGCCATGGCGACACTCCGGTCAGTCTCCGGGCAACACATCTGATGCCGATGATCACTATTTACGTGTATCAACACGGCGCTTCGGGAACCCATGCGACCCCGCCTATTTATGCTAGCGCGGCCGACACATGCTTCTCCTCAGACAACAGACATAATTCATCGCGACTGTCCCCAAGGAGGAACTGTATATGGTACAGAAAAGGGTACGGTGGTTCAGTTTGAGCCGGCCACCTCCGAATATCGACGGAGGTTTATGGATCGATGAGACGTCCCGCAGCGCCGAAGTTCATAGACACTTCTCATACACGCTGCCTTCTCGTCGTGTAGATCGACGTGGATGGTAGAGGGGTGCCAGAGCTCATTAACAGAAGACTGAGCTCCCTGCGTCATGCACACTGGTGCACATCCTTCTGCATTTTGCAGGATGGTCTGACGCATGAGACCACCATCTCCGTACCAAGCCCGGGACGTGTAAATCGCACACTGACCACCGAATGTGAGCGTGGCATGTCAAGCAGGCTGTATATTGCCAGCATATTCAGGGTGATATGTGCCTTGATAGACATTATAGAGGCTACAGACGAGACGGGGGAGAGATAGAGTGATACGAGAGGTGTGATACGAGACCGTGTTAAGACTATACATGTGGCATGACTTGGCTGAAGATGGCAACTTCGCATAGCATAGCACGGCGGTAACTAGTAGCATAGCATATCAAACAAGAGCATCGATACACGGTGAAAAAGGGGCCTAACAAGAGCAATGGGAAGAGATGTGTTCAGGGCTCACAAGACAGCGGGTAGTCCCTCGTTACGGGGGACATGTAGACATTGATAAGATGCGAGACATGCCGGATAGCCTGATTGGCGCACAGCAAGTCCAGTGAGTATCGCTGTCGGACGTTGAACATTTCATGGTTCAGGTGGCCCCAATAAGCTTAGATAATCCTTGATTACTCTGGTGCTTCGATATCAATTTCCAGGCCATCAGTCAGTCGCACGGCAACCGACAGCGTTTTATTACGAAGTAGTACTTCGTAGGGACTTCTTCTCCCCGAGTCGAAGGCGGTGAACTCGACCCCTGTGCTACCATATTGCGTAGTCGTTTCGATAGGCTGGATAAGAAGCTTATCGTTGTAATGCGACCCACTGTCTCCCCATAGTGGGGTGAAAAGTTCTGGCTGGGACAGTGATAAGTCGGCAGAATCGGCCCTGCAGGAAAGAAAAAGACTGGGAAAAAATTTCTGGCCAAAGCTCTCGAGTTGCGCTTCACCCGACATCTTCTTCCATTTCCCATCCCTACCTCGTGCCCACCCTTCTCTTTCCTCTGCGCGCACATCGGGTTAACACATATCAACTCTTAAGATCTCTTCTTTAGTCCCGAATTAGTTCAAGAATCCCCATTCTTCACTTTATCTCTACCGCAATGGCCCCCCAACCCGTTGCCCTCTATGGGCTCGAGATCCCCCCCGGCGTTTTGGTCCCGGCCGCGCCTGATTTCCCGGCTTCTGTAAGTATCGGAATGCATTTGCTCTGCTCTTTGCCAATTGCGATGCTTGTTCAATTCTTGGCTAACAGGGCATGCAGTTCCACATTACCATGGCTGCCGTCGACCCTACCGAGCAGCCGGAAGCCGACGAAGATGGCAACGTTCCTTCTGTCCCCCGCTCCACCCTTCGTCTTGTCAAGCAGCGCCTCGGTGATGACCTCGATGATGACGACGAGGTTGATGAGGAGTACATGAGGGCGCTCATCGCCGCCTCTGGTGATGATTCTGAGGACGAGTCTGACGACGAGGCCAACGGTGGACCCAGCGACCCTTCCAAGAAGAAGAAGGGCACCGCCCAGCTCCTCGAGGCCCTCAAGAACGCCCAGGACGATGAGGACTCGGAGGATGAGGAGATGACCGATGCCAAGCCCAACGGCACCAAGTCCGACAAGAAGGGCAAGGCAAAGGCCTCGAATGATGACGAGGAAGAGGAGGACAGTGACGACGACGACGACGAAGATGGCGCCGACCTGGAGCAGTATGTTATCTGCACACTTGACACCGAGAGGGTAAGTACACATTGTCCCGCATAGCAGCATATACTCTTTCTCCGGAATGGCTCGCTAACCAGCTCCCCCCGCAGAACTATCAACAGCCCCTGGACCTCCATGTCGGTGAGGGTGAGAAGGTTTTCTTCATTGTCAACGGTACTCATACCGTCCACCTCACCGGCAACTACGTTGTCGATGACGAAGAGGAAGATGATGAGGACGAGGACGAGGACGATGAGGACCTCTACGACATGGCGTCGGACGAGCTCTTGGGTGGCGAGCTAAGCGACGATGAGAGCGACGAGCTCGACGGTGTCGAGAACCCCCGCGTCACTGAACTCGAGTCGGACGAGGAGGAGGCTCCCAAGCTGGTTTCTGTCGGTGAGAAGAAGAACAAGAAGAAGCGTGCGGCCGAGGAGGCTGACGGCCTCGACGAGCTCATCACCAAGGATGAGGAGTCCAAGCTCTCTAAGAAGCAGCTGAAGAAGCTGAAGAACAACAAGGGCGAGGCTGTCCCGGCCGAGGAAGGCAAGGGCAAGTCGGACAAGAAGGTCCAGTTCGCTAAGAACCTGGAGCAAGGTCCCACTGGCTCGGGCGAGAAGGCCAAGTCCGGCAAGGCTGCCTCGGGCGTTAAGGTTGTCCAAGGCGTCACTATCGACGACCGCAAGGTCGGGGAAGGCCGCGTTGTCAAGAACGGCGACACGGTTGGGGTGCGCTACATTGGCAAGCTTCAGGACGGCAAGGTCTTCGATGGTAAGTCCCTATACTACCTACCTACCTAGGCTTACTATTCCCCCTATCTCTCTTCTCTTTCTTTCTCTCTTTTTTTCCCTTTTTTTTTCCGAAACTAACTTGTTTTATTTTCACAGCCAACAAGAAGGGCAAGCCTTTCTCTTTCAAGGTCGGCAAGAACCAGGTCATCAAGGGCTGGGACATCGGTGTCCTGGGAATGAGCGTCGGCAGTGAGCGCCGTCTGACCATTCCTCCCCATCTGGCCTACGGCTCCAAGGGTCTGCCCGGCATTCCGGCGAACAGCACTCTGGTGTTCGACGTCAAGCTGCTGGAGATCAAGTAAACGAGCTCGCTACCCTCCTCACCTGAGCCGCGTCGGTCCGTTGGGTCCCTTGGCCTGATTGTCGACGCAGCAATGTGCTGTATTCTACATGCCAAGAGAGCAAGGCACCGTCGGATCGGAGGGCTGGGTCTTGTCGACGTTCAATCGGAACTCGACCTCAAGCTCCGGCCGCCGTACGATCCGCACCTGTCTCCTACCTGGCTCCTATGAACTTGGTTTTTGGTCTGGTTTCGTCTCGTTCCACTTAATTGTTAGGTTTGCCCCATCATTCAGGAACAAGAGGACCGCTGGGTACGCCTCAACCTCACCTACTCTTTACGAAATGCCGTGTCGAAGAGTCTCCGACCTTGCGGCAATCTGCGAGGATCCGTGCATCCCCCCCCAAGATCCCTTTGGTGGACGGACATGGTGCTGAGCGGGAAGCAGATTGTGTTGGAATGGGATGACGAGGCGAGGTTTCCGCATTGCATTGGACGGCGTCGGGGAGAAAAAATATTAGGCTTTCCTTTCTTTGTTTTTCTTTGGTTATAATCGCCTCAGTAAGAAGGATGGATTTCATCTATGGTATTGCTGCTGAACTACCTGAGGGTCCTCCGTTCTGTTACCAGAGGCTATGTATGTACGTACTTCAGGACGCAATATGCGCAGACTGCTCAGTAAGGTATTGAATAAGGGATTGTCCATATGTCTTTAACATGCCCAACACCTGTGCAATGACTATTGGCCCCAGCATTCTGCAAAGTCAGCGAAGACCATTAGTGGTGAGCAGGTTCCGTTTATTATAGCTGGTCGCGTGGCTGCGGTGGCCAGAGTCTATGGGTGCGGATCTGTTGTATTATTCGGCGCAAGTGGTATCATATATCCAGACAAGGTGGACTTGGAAGGGCCGATAAACTAAGGTAACTGATGGGCCAGGAACATGGGCCAAGTCGTTCCCTGGAAGCAACCAGCAATACTTTTTGGGAAGGACTCAACTACAAGACCCCTATCTTTCCCCATGGCGCGGTGTGGCGAGATGAATTAGGGTTCAAGGGGTGTCTACTGCTCCCGAACCCCTGAGCCCCTGAACCCCTGAACCCCTGAACCCCTGAACCCCTGAACCCTCTACCTGAGTTGTTCCTGCCTTGTCTAGGTACCTTACCTATACCTAAGGTATCTAGTCCTCCCCAAGGTCATTAGGGTATTTGATACGCCATCCACTTTACATCCTCACGGTAGACGCCTGCCTCCTTGCTTCACTCCCCCTTCTTACTGTGTACCTATATATTTCTCTTTCCACCAATATATACTCTACTCTTCCTCTCTTGCTCACCCCCCATAGCTTCTCCTCTCCCCTTCATTAGCAGACTTCAATATCGCCTCGTAAGCTGGGAGCAGGACTCTGGCTAGCTTGAACCTCCGTCTTTCGTTTTCAATGACCATTTCCAGTTCACGATAGTCCTTCAGACTCTATTCAGTCCCCTTCGTCATCCTTTCTACGGGCCCCGGAAACGAGGTCTCTCCCCAGTGACTAGCACTTATCTACCTAGCCCAGTTGATCCATTTCGATCATGACCCATCGGACTCCGGTAAGTAGCCCTGGAACCGGCCGTCTCGACCCTGATTCTAGCACGAGGGACGAGTTTCTGACAGCTACTCAAAAGCCTTCCGATGGATTTACATTTTTATGCTCCGACGGGGCCTGTACAGATAGTAACCCGTCCTCAACAACAGTGCCGCGAGGTCAACTTCTCGGCAGAGCAGGACGAGCCATGAACAAGTTAAACCGCGCAATTCATCGAGGTAGCTCTTCTCTCTCTGTTTTGTGCCTTTCAGACTGGAACCCGCTTGCTGACCATCCATCGTCCTGCTACTAGCTCCCGGTTCTACGGCATTTCGGGCAACCACCGCGGCTCAAGTTACCCCGTCGGGGCAGAGAGACACCGCGAAAAAGAAGTCGGGCATTCTCAGCCCGTTGGCACAGCCATTCCCCTTCTTCCGCCAGCTCCAAAGTAGCAAGGATCACCCGTCGCCTCCGCTTGACCTGTACCCGATCGAAGTCAAGGTCCGAGCTATAGAGAAGGCCGCATTGGCCAAAATCTTCTTCGAGACTTACTACAATGAGCTTCTGGACGACCGCCCGACGTCACGCTCCGTGCGCCTCAGGAACTTCAGAGACCAACTCGATAACAATCCACTCTTGCGTCCCGAAGCAAGGGAAAGACTCGAGGCGGCCTTCTTCCACCAGGAGAGTGCTCATCTCCGGGAGTACAGGACCCTACAGTGCCAGAGTCTCAAGGCTGCCACTGGCCGTATCGAGGACGGCCGTGGTCCCTGTTTGCAGAACTACAAGAGCATCAAGATTCTCGGCAAAGGAAGCTTTGGCGTCGTAAAACTGGCGCGGGAAATCCGTCAAACCCAGACGACGAACGATTATGGACTTGGTGGAAAACTGTTCGCCGTGAAGGTTATCAAAAAATCGGACATGATTCGGGGTTGCCAGGAAGGCCACCTGCGTGCGGAAAGGGACTTTCTCATTGCTTCCGAAGCCTCTCAGTGGTAAGTCTACGCCTGCCCCAAACCCCCGATGTGGTTCCCCGTGCTGAGTCGGACACTTACCCCTTCCTCAGGATCGTCCCTCTCATTGCCAGTTTCCAGGACGCCACCAGCCTGTACCTTGTTATGGATTATATGCCCGGGGGCGATTTCTTGGGGTTCCTCGTTCGCGAGAACATGTTGAATGAGAATGTTGCGCGCCATTACGTTGCCGAGATGATCGTCTGCGTGGAAGAGGCCCACCGGCTCGGCTTTATTCACAGAGACGTCAAGCCCGACAACTTCCTGATCGACGCCCGTGGACACCTGAAGATTTCCGACTTTGGACTGGCCTTCGACGGGCGATGGCCTCACGACAAGTTGTACTACCAATGGCATCGCGAGTCTTTGCTACGGAAGCTGGGTATCAAGCTCGACGGCGACAGGGAGGACAGAAAGGAAAAGACTTCGAGGTCGTCCAAGCGGCGTGAGAACCGAGAGGCGAACCGCCGGCATGCGCTGCCGCCCGCCCTCCAGGCCAGCGCGAGTTCCGAAACTTAGGGAGGGATTCCGCTGGTTGGACACCTGCTTGACTGGCGGGCTACCCGGAATCGCTCCTTTGCACAGTCAGTCGTCGGCACCAGCCAGTACATGGCCCCAGAAGTAATCGACGGAGACGAGTACGATGGACGATGCGACTAGTGGAGTATTGGCATCATCCTGTTCGAGTGTCTGTACGGCCATACTCCTTTTCTCGATGTAAACGGTCGGCGCCAGACCAAGTTAAATATCCTGGTAAGTCGACTTCCAAGGTTGGCCATTTCGGGCCCCTGTGTGAACATGTTGGCCTCCGAGATGGACGTTTAAGCTCACATCGGCCGAAGAAGCACAACCATACCCGTTTCTCGTTCCCCGAAGAGCCCCGGGGCATCAGTTACGAATGCCAGGACTTGATTCTGCATTTGCTGCGAGACAAGAGAGACCGCCTTTCCTCGTACAAGTACCGGGAACAAGACATCCACATGGCGTTCGACTTGGCCTTCCCTCCTTGCCAATATGTGTTTGACGAGGACGACGCCGTGGATATCAAGAGACATAGCTGGTTTAGGGGCATCGATTGGCAGAACTTGCACCGCACGCTCCCTCATTTCGTACCCTACTTGCAGAATCCCGAGGACACGCGCTACTTTGACGAAGACGAACCCATCGCAGACTGGTCTGAATCGCTCGAGGATGATCAGCACAGCGAGCCTCCCGAGCCCCCTTGTTCGGCCAAGAAAGTGCGTCACGTCTTGCGTCGCGAGGGATTTGGGAGCAGGAGCATCAATGACTTCTTGAGCTTGATCGGGGAGCCGTTCGACTCGACCAGACTCCGCCAGATTGATCAGGTGATCGACACGTTCGCCCGCCTCAACGAGAAGGGCAAACAGCTCCTCAAACATTACGTCCGCAAGTTCGGCCAGATGGAGCGTAAGCGGGCACGAGATATTCTCCTCCGCGACCGACGCACTCGGCGAGATGTCATGGCCATTCGGAAGCAAAAGGCGTTCACTGGGTACACGTGGAGGCGAGCACCGTCTCCGCCTCGCGTCCCGACGCTTGAAGGGTCGGTCCAGGTACCGCTAGGCTGTGATGGGAGTCAGCAGTCAGGGGTACCCTTCCGGGAACAGTTCATGTACGATGGTTACCCGCCGGCGTACGGGATGCAGCCACTGTACTGGGACGGAAATGGCCAGTGCGAGATTGCCGGGAGGCGGTGTTGGGATCCTGCTTCATACCAGCAACAACAGCCTCTGGGGAGGTCGTATTACTGGGAAAGGGGGTTTCTGTGAGCCTTGTCCTAGAGGAGGGAACAGGGATAAAACGGCACAAAAGGGAATGCATGGCCAGTGGCAAGAAAAATGGGCCAGAAGGTTTCGAGGGATCAGATGGATCATGGGAAGCAGAACGAGGTGTCGGAAGACATGGTGTGCGATGTCTTGCTTTCTTTGTTGTCTTGTTGTAATTAGTAGCATTAGGCTATATCCTTCCTCCTTCACACGTCAACTATTTCTCCCTATCAAATGCGTCGTGTGGGTTTTCTGGGTTTTCATGGGTGAGACAGGACAGTGGTAAGGTTTGATATGTTTATGTTTCCTACCATACTCACAATCCATCGTGATCGACTGACTGATTCCACTCCCACACTTCACCAGCCTCTTTCCCACTGCACCTTCCCGTCCTCGCCGACGACTCCGGGCCCTGCGCCCCCGGCGGCGGAAGCCTTGGCGTTTAGGATCTCCCATTCGAACTCGCGCAGGGCACGCAGCTCAGAGCCGAAGAAGAGCAGGGCCATCAGGCCGTCGACGACGCCGGCGACGAGGCCAAGGGAGCCCAATAGGAGGAGCAGGAAGTTGAAGAACCTGAGCCGGGACGGCACGAACCAGATGCCGGCGAGGGAAGCGAGCCAGAGGGCGAACCAGACGAAGAAGTGCGCGGCGCGGAGGCGGCGCTGGGATTGCTCGCGGCGGACGTAGGCGCGGATGGTGGACAGGACGTCGTCGTAGGCGCTGCTGGGGAGCGGGGCGTTGTCTTGGTGGGCTGGGTAGTGGGTGGGGTCTAGTTGGAGGTCGAGGTCCGACTCGCTGGCGAGTTCCGGGGCGGGGGTTAGGGGGGCGGAGAGGGGACGGGATTGTTGGGGTGGGCGGCGTTGGACTGCGTGGCGGTGAGAGGAGCGCGGGTTGTTGTTTTCGGACTGTGAGGCGTCTCGGTCGTGAGTTGGCGGGTGGTCGGATTGCGAGCCCGTTTCGCTTGCCGTGGGGCTCTGGAGGTATGAGGTTACGTTGTCGATGGCGGCTGTACCGTGGGCTACTTTGGTTGTCCCTGTCCCGGCTTGCGGCCTTGTCGGAGGGTCGTCTCGTGTTTGAGGCGAACGTCGTTGGTTGGACGAGGTGTGGTAGGCGATGGTCACTTCGACGGAGAAGTGGTCGCTCAGGGAGCAGCCGAGACGGGGATGAGGCTCAACCATGCCGACTTTGGCGGACTTGACGACCCAGCCGGTCCTCGTCGAGGCACCGTCCCGGGCATTTCCGTGCCTGCGGGAGGGCGAGGTTGCGCGCTGGCCGTCGGCGACGAATACGTAATCGAGACGCTTGCCCTTGGGGTCCAGGGCGTGAGGCGGGACGGCGTAAGGATCAGAGCCGGACTTCTTCTTGGAGGAGAGGCGGCGCTGCTGGTCGGCGGACCAGCGCCAAGTGCAGTAGACGCTGTCGGAGGTGGCGCCGTTTTCGAGAAGGTTGAAGTCGGCGGTGGGGACGGGCCGGCGGCGAGCTCGTTCGAGGGGGTCGTCCGGGGTGCCGAGGGAACTGTCCGGGTGGAGGAGGCGCCAGGCGTCGCGAACGAGGGTGGCGTGGGCGGTGATCAGGCGGTGGGGCAAGGAGGCCGGTCGCATATTGAAGTCGCCCAGGCCAAGCACGAGATGGCCGCGCTCGGTGGCGCCTCGGAGGAGTTTGGACATTTCCCAGGACTGAGCGAGGCGGTGACAGAGGTATGAGTCTTCGTAGGGTGCATGGGTCTTTTAGAGTCGGCGCTACAAGTCAGTACGCGATGCATCGCAGACCTTTGGTGTAGTGGTGGAGAGGTGGGGGGAGAAAGGGCGAAGGACGAAGGGGGAAGGGGTTTTAAGTGAGGACCATTCTGGGTTACGAACATGAGTGTTGAAGACCTCGATTATGTCCTTGGGGCCGGGACCATATCGAATCTTTGCGCAAGCGATGCCTTTGCCAACGTACCAGTCGCCGCGCCAGAAAGCGGTAGGACGGCCATTGAGGGGGTAGCGGAGCATGGTGCTCTCCTCGATGGGCCAGTGCGAGAGGATGGCGAGGCCGCCGCCGAAGGGCCCGCTGAAGTAGAACTTCCCATAAGGGAGGATACTGCGGGTTTCGCGACGGACGGTCTCGTAGTCCTCCTGGGTGAAGCACTCTTGGAGGGCGACTATGTGAGGCCTAGGGGCGGCAGAGGCGATGCGACGGCCGATCTCGGTGAGACGTTCATCGCGGAGCTTTGAGATGAACTTGAGGCCCCAGCAGTTGAGAGTGATGATGTTGATTTCGGTGGGCAACGTTATCCCCATTGTCGCATGGGGCATAGAGCTTTGTGAGATTTGTGAGAAGACTTGGCGATTTGAAGGTCTGAGTTGCAGGTGCGATGTAATACAGGAGAGGAGGAGAAGGGGTCGGAGAAACGAGGTGGACCGTGGGACGGGCGCCAGATGGCAGATGCGTTCGTACTAGCCGGTACACCAACTCTTGGACGAGGATAAGGGAACAGTGCCTTTGTCAGTTCCGATATTACACTGAGACCTCGGTGGACCGAAGAGCGGCGACACGAAGTGTACGAAGTTCACGAATCACATAATACATCACGATGTACGGATTTGGTGGACGGCGGCGGAGTACACAGTACGTATTAGGTATAATATGTATAATACATACCGTGCAGCCGTCGGGGTGTCGTGCATGACGAGGCTGAGGCTGTTACACGTACTATCAAGGACCTCCTATTGGTGAGTATGTGGGCAGTGTATTTTAAACTTCCTAGTCCTTGTTCTCATAGGACGCCCCACTAAAGTGTTGACGCGACAGACCACGAACTTCTCAGCCTCGTCCACCACCGTGACCGGACCATTTACCACCCTTCAAACACGCTCATGATCATATGCAGTGACTCAACAAACCACGACTTGAATCAACCCTTCCACCTCTGTCTTCTGTCACCCCGATTTATGTTTACTTTTGGGATCGACCTTTCTGAATCAAGTAAACAAAACGCCCCTTCGACACTCTGTTTTGCTTTCCTCTATCCCCACGATCCGTCGTCTGGGCATCGGTCAAACGTCCATCTCATCCAACCTTTCTCGAACGCACCGCTTTGTCCGCCCCCATCCGCCTATCTAGATTGTTACGGCCATTCCAGTCTCCTCCCGACACAGACAAATGGACGACTTGGATCTCCCCGATGCTCCTCCCCTTCCTGAGCCGGTACCCAAACGTCGAAGGGTCGCGACGGCTCGCACAAGTCTCAGCTCCGTCCCCCGCTACAGCTCGCCCGACGAGCTTACAACAGATATTAGGGAAACCGCCGCTACTCGCCGCATCTCCATTAGGCGAGGGAGGCTCAGCAGATCCCCGCCAGGCCGATCCAGCGAAGATGAGCTCAACGGTGCATTCTACTCCCCTCCCCCCAGGTCAACGTCTCCCGGTCGCTCCAGACCAAAGTCGTCCAGGCCAAAGCCACAGTCGAGGTCTAGGTCAAAGTTAAGGTCAAGGTCAAGGTCAAGGTCAAGGTCAAGGTCAAGGTCAAGAATGAGGCGAAGATCACCCACTTCAGTCAGGTCAACGTCGCCGGGAGACGTAAGATCGAGACCTCGAAGGAGGAGTCAGTCCCGATCCTCGATGCCGTCCCATTCTCGCTCTTCTTCCTTCTCCCCCGACCGGCGCTCGTCTCCTTCAAGGTCGGGCAGCCCGTCGAGACTCAGCGCCGGGTCGCCATCACGGTCACCATCCCCATCCCACTCCGAGCCGAGGTCACCTTCCGTTACATGCTCTCCGCGAAGTCTCACCGAGAAACTACAACACCGCCTCCACCTCTCTCCCGAACCTCCACCCCCACCGCCGCCACCGCCACCTCGCCAGCCCGCCCGCCCAGATTACCATCCCCACATGACACTTTCCGGCCATAGACAGGCCGTCTCTCAGGTCCGAATCTCCCCAGACGGCCGCTGGATCGCCAGCGCCTCAGCCGACGGCACCGTCAAGATCTGGGATGCAGCCACCGGGGAACACATGGATACTCTCGTCGGCCACATGGCCGGTGTCAGCTGCGTCGCCTGGAGTCCCGACGGCGGCACCCTCGCCACCGGCTCCGACGACAAGGCTATTCGCCTCTGGGATAGGGTCACCGGTCGCCCCAAGCTCAGCGCCAAGGGGATCCCCCGCGGCAAAGAAGGCGTCGCGCGCCCCATGCCTCCCTTGCTCGGACATCACAACTACGTCGTCAGCCTTGCCTTCTCTCCCAAGGGGAACATCCTCGCCTCTGGTAGCTACGACGAAGCCGTGTTCCTCTGGGACGCCAGGGCCGGCAGCTTGATGAGGAGCTTGCCGGCCCATAGTGACCCGGTCAGCGGCATCGGTTTCTGTCTCGACGGCACCTTGGTCGTCAGTTGCTCGACCGATGGTCTTATGTATGTTCTTTTCGTTCTCTTTTTTCTTTTGGACTGTCACTCCCCCTTCCCTCTATCCCATGCCGCTTGACATATTTCATGCCGTCTTTTTTTGCTGACATTTCCTCGGGGGTCTGTCCCCCCTGCCTTAGTCGCATCTGGGACACATACACCGGCCAATGCCTCCGAACCCTCGTCCACGAAGACAACCCAGCCGTGACGTCTGTCTGCTTCTCTCCCAACGGTCGCTTCGTTCTAGCCTACAACCTTGACAACTGCATCCGGCTCTGGGATTACGTCTCGGGCACCGTCAAAAAGACGTACCAGGGCCATCGCAACGAACAGTTCGCCATCGGGGGTTGCTTCGGCCTCCTGCCCCTCGAAGAACCGGAACAACCTGAAGCCAGTCCCGATACCAAAATCAATGCCCGAAACGGGGATTCGTTGAACGGCACAGTGAGTGACGGTGGCCGCGGCGGCGGCGGAGGAGGAGGCAGCACCCGTACCACCGCCCAGGGGCAGCTGCAGGTCCCGTTTATCGCCAGCCCCAGCGAAGACGGCGACGTCGTGCTCTGGGACGTGACCTCCAAGGAGGTAGTGCAGCGTATCAGCGCCCACCCGGGTCACGTCTGCTTCTGGGTCGACGTGCTCGGCGACACCATGGTCACTGCGGGGCAGGACGGCAGTATTGGCGTCTTTAAGCATCGGAGCTCCGCGGCCAAGTCTGCTCTTCCTGGGAATGCCGCAGAGGAGGAGCCTGTTCTCAACGGGCATGCCGGCATGGCGAATGGCGACAGTGCTATGTTGGATCCGGCCATGCAGACGGGTGAGGGTACAGATCTGCGCATCAAGATGGAACAAGAGATGGATGTGGATGTAAATGGCTCTTAAGGGAGATAGCGAGAGAATCCTACTTTCGTCAGTACGAGGCACGCACGCCCAGAGACAATTCAATGCAGTGATCCCTCTTATGGCAGCCGATGGGTCTAGCAGTTTGTTTATTTTCATCCTCTCACTCCCAACCTACTAGAGAGCAGAAGACAATGCCAATATAAAGACGTCCAACCCCAGTTGCCCCCCCCTATAACTCACCCACGCGCCCTTGCTGGTATGCCTTTCATATTGAGATCTAATGCGTCCTCCTCCCAAGAAACCATCAACCAACCTCACCACCTCACCACTCTCTCCTCCCCTGACCCAGGGCAAGCCCCCCACCCCAATCTTATATCGTATCCCAACCGCCAATGTTGACCTCAGCCTCAAGCTTACGGCTGATAAAACTGGGGATGCCATGGCTGAGGAAGGCCTTGCGGAGCATAGAATCGTACCGCCGTTGATTGAGGAACAGTTGCCGGCCGTGGCGGAGATTGGGATCCGTCTCGCCGTACTTGTCCATGTAGGGGGCAGTACTATATGAACCAGACATGCGGAAGAAAAAGATTGTGCTACACTTGCGGATGTTGAGGAAGAGCCCTATGTTTTTCTGACACCTGAAGATTTGGGACGCCGAGTCAGCATATCGTTCCATGAAGAAGGGGGGAAAAAAGAAGAAGAAGATAAAAGAAGATATAAGGGAAACGTACTTGCGCATGTGCTGCTGACAGCCGCCGATGCGTTGCGGTACCTGGTCGCTCGGCGTCGACTCCTCCTTCAAGCAGCACACGGCCTGCGCACAAAAGACGTCGCCGCAAAACAGACAAATGCTGGGGTCAGTCAAGTCCATGCCCGTCGTGGGGCACTTCCTGCGCGATGCCTCCTCGATGAGCATGTCGTACAACTTGGGCAGGCCCACGAGCTCGAATATGCCCGGATGGCTGAGCTGCGCAGACGGCGGCAATCCCTGCTCCTCGATGGACCCGGGCCACATGATCTGGTGTCTCACCCAGCCGCTGACGAGGCCCGACGTGGATGCCGGCCAACCAAACCGCGGCGCGTACTCGGTCAGCGAAGTACACATCTCATCGAACGTTGGAATGCGCAGCGCGCCCGTGAGGCGCTCGAGCTCGTCCGCGTCGGGTTGGGGGGATATGTGGCTGTTGAAGTCCAATCCGCACTTGACGTACAAGAGGACGGTGCACTTTCGAAGGAACGTGAGGGCGTACTTCCTGGTGAAGGCGTAGTAGCTTTCCAGGCTGTCGAGCTCGGGCTGCGCAAAGGCAGGGTTGACGTCTGCCGGCGACGTCTCGTCCAAGGCGGTGATATCCACGCCCATCCTCGTGACGGCCAGGCAGAATTCCGCGAAATTGTCCAAAGCAGCGTCTCTGCCCTGGCGGTTGATGAGATGGCTGACCCAGATCCTCAGAGGGACATTCCTCGCCAGGTGGTAGACGACCTTGACAATCTCGGCCAAGTAGCAGAGCCGGAGAACGTGCATGACGTCGAAGTCCTGTGCCACAACGACACCGAACACGCACTCGGTGAAGAAGATGAAGTTGTCTTGACTCATCAGGGGCGGGTAGATATCCACAGGCCGCCTCGTGTTGTCCGTCTCCTCACCGAAATACTGCGACATGAATAGCTGGCAATGCTGCCTTTCGCTGTCTCTCCGGAACTCCTCCTCGATCCGGTTATCGCCTCCGGCCTTCAGACCGCCGATGGAAATGTACGACGACGTCGTCTCGGCCAGGATTCGCAGGTGGGTCAAGGTCTGCTCCGGGGTGCTGTCCAACAGCGTTTTGCCATACTGGGCCTCCACGCCGCGCTGTTGGATCTCCGTGGCGGAGACGGAGTACCCAACTGCCTGGACCAGGACGTCGCTGTAGAGTATCTCGTCGCGGTCTCGCACCTCTCTGGGGTCGACTGGATGCCGCGTCCGGAAACTGTTCTTCTGAATGGTATCCCGAAGCCGCCTGTAGACTCTGACTAGCTCGCCCACGATGCCGACTTGTTCATTGCGCCGCGACCGCCGCGACAAGAGCGGTGTGTTTACCACAGAGAAGACCGAGTTCAGCGGGGTAACGGCTGGGAGACCTTCGGACAACTCCTCCGTGGACCAGGCCTCCTCGACAAGTTGCGACGTCTTCTCCGCCACTGTGCTTGTAACATCAGCCTTGGTATAATCCGTGAAGGCATCCTGAATTCTGTCAGGAGGACGCGCGGCACCACGTATGTAGTAGCCCGAGCGCATTTGTGTGTCCAGGAACTCCCCGAATACTCTTTGCGACTGCGCCACGCCAGGATACGACTCCTCCTTGCCTTTCCAGATGACGGGGAGGAAGGCATTGCCAAGAGCCTTGCAGAGCGGGCAGATGAATTCTTTTTGTCGTAGGTTCTCGGGATGGTGTCGGGCGATTTGATGCTGATGCCTCCTGTGTGTCGCATCGATGTACGTCTCGAAGCAGGAGAAGTGCATCATGTGGCCGCAGCCGACCGACAAGGGGCCCTGCCGACACAGCTTGGACGGAAACCCCTTGCCAATGGTCTGCCGCTCCGTAGTGAAGAATTCCCCCCTGGCATTGACCTTGGTTACCTCCTGTCGGTTCTCGCGCGCTACACCGAATGGCCTGATATCCTCCGCGGACCGATCCAGGTTGCTCGGCGTGTGGAACGCCTCACGCACGAAATCCGGATCCTGCAAGTCGGTCTGTCGCAGAATCATGCTTTCATTGATCATGGCGAACGTGCCATAGAGGCGACGGTCGTCGGTATCTTCCTGGCAGAGGATGCATGTTCCCGCGGGATACTTCCAAATATTCTTCCGGTCTTCCGCTTGCTCGAGTTCTTCATCAGAGCCCAGGTCGGAGCCCCAGTCAATCTCGCACTGGTTATCCATGAAGCTCTTCTGTTGCTGTTGGAACTGGGCCATGACTCTAGCCTGGCGACTCAGTGCTGCCCGCTTCTTCCTCTCGCGCTCCTCTTCCGCCGAGGCGATAGCCGGAGAGGCAGCGTGGATCCGGTCCACGGGAATACCCAGGCGTATGTATGCGCCCTCAAAGGTGCGCGGCCTCTTTTGCCTCATCCGCTTGAGGATGAGGGCGATCTTCGAGTGGCATGCCTTAAACTCGTCGTCGGTCGACATCATGTCCAACAAGGCGACAATCGTCTTGGCATTCGGCGCCTCCGGCATGAAATTGCTTCGCCCATGTCTCGTGAGTGCCAGAGAGACGAACGAGTTGGGGGACTCCTCTTCCATCATGTCGTTCTCATCCGTGCGGTCCTCCGCAATGGCAATCAAGACTAGGTGGAGGACGATCTGCAGGAACGTCTCGACCCGCGTCGAGGGGACGGTGGGGGTGAACTTGGGGGCGACGAGGGGATAGAGCAGCGCATAGTAGATAATCTGCGCGAACATGCCGGTAGCAGTAAAGGCCGAGAGGTCCTTGAAGAGACCCGAAGGTATCGGCCTGAGTTTGGGTTCGTACACGACTTCTTCGACGGGCTTCCCGGTTCTCACCGCCATCTTGTTGCGGTACACCGTCTCCGACTCTTCTCTCTGGTTCTTGTTGAAGTGGGCAATGTACGGATCGACAGAGTCGAGGTATTCCGCCTTGAGCTCGAACATGCCCACATCAGAGTCACCCTCGGGAGGCTTGAATACCGCCATCTCGTCGAGGATTTCATGGAAGTCCTCCGATTCCTGGAACTTGTCGGGCATCTTATTGGAGATCTCGTTGAAAGATAATGGTCTGCAGCAGAGAGTGTGGACGATGTCGCGACGGATGGCCATGGCGGTGGGGTTGGGTTCATCCTCCAAGGCGATGAGCGAGGTGCGGTCGCTCAGGAGTACAATCAGAAGATGGATCATGTCTTCCACGACATCCAGGTGTTGGGAATCGTCTTGCCCCTTGGTCTTTTGTTCGAAGATCCCCTTGACCCATTTCTCCATGCCGAACCTGTCGATGATGGAGGCCAAAACCCGACTGGGATCGCAGACAACCATCGCGGTCTGCAGAAGGAAGATGTCACGATGGTGTGAGACATCCCTCTGGTTGACGCCGCGATAGGTCCCCGCTTGATGCCGGAGGCTCATGCCGTTTCGAACCCACATGTTGGCCTTGATCTGCGCTAGCCAAGCGCACACGCGCAGCGGATAGTCGAAGGCGGCCATGAGGTGATCGTCGGGGGTATTCTCCCGCCTCGGCATGGTCTTGCGACCCATCGACTTGGGCTGCATCATCAGCTCCTGGGTCGTAAAACTGAGAAGTGCCCGCATGCTCAAGGCGGGGAGCGACTTGCCGCACTCGACCAGCCACGACAAGGTGTAGTGGAGCGCATGGTGCAAACTGATGGGTTCCTCTTCCACGACGAACTTGACCACGTCGTACCTGCTCGACTCGCCGTCAAACTCGAAGTCTCCCAGTGTCTTGAACCGGACTTCGTCCTTGATCTCGGACGGCTTGAAGCGAAGACGCTCGGCACCGATGGAATTGAGAATGACGGCCTTGGCGGTCAGCCGTATGGCTCGGGCGACAAAATGGCTTTCACTTTCGGGAACGTTCTTGAACGATTCGGCGAGCTGTCTTGCGAGCCTGTTGATTTCGCGCGTGACAATGGAGGCGGTTATCCAGCTGTCCGTCTCGTACTCCACGTGCTCGCCTACAGCGCGCGTGTTGGGGCCGATGCCCTGGTGCAGCTTGACGAGATCGAGGAACTGCATCAGGTAGCGCTCCTCGCATCGCAACTTGTCCTGGACGTGGGGGGAACCGAACAGGTATTTCAGGTGCAAGTAGAGGTGGAACATTCGCCTGTTGGTCACCGAGCCGGAGTCGAAGGCCAGAAAGGCGTTGGACGAGACGTCCCAGGGATAGCCGACTTGCCTGGTGGTCAAGAAGGTGTAGAGAACGGCGAGTAAGGTCGTCAGAAAGTTACCACGCTCCACGATCTCGGCGGTGATGGAGGGCGTCGTCAACATCTGGAGTGACAGATTGATAATGGAATGGTCGGGTTCTCGATCCCCGATCAAGTACAGTTGGGCCAGGGTAGTGTACAGGCCGGCGAAGCGCAGACCAAGAATGCGTTTGAACTCGGGAATGGATACGACAGTTGATATGTAGAGAGACCGCAGGTCGTTCCTCATCTTCTTCCACATGCGCAGGTCAAACAAGATGAGCCAATCGAGGCGGACTCTCTGGAAAACGTCCTCGGCAGGAGGGACGTTACCGCGATCCATGTACCCTGGTGGCGTCTCCAGCCAGTAGCGACCCGGCTTCGGCGGCGGTGACTTGTCGGTTTGGCCTAGGATTCTAGGAATCTCCAAGTTGGCTTTGGCGTAGATGGCGGGCGCGATCAACGGTTCGGCCGTGTCGGAATCGGATGGTGTGACGTCCCTCTCCCTCCCAGCCCTCCGCGGGACGGCAGCCGGGGCTGGCGGCGGCGGAGGAGGAGGCGGCGGAGGAGGAGGCGGCGGCGGATAGCCGGCCATAGTGGCCTCGTCTTCCTCCAGGGCCTGATCCGGGCCACGCCAGTCTACGGCGGTGCCAAGGTCTCCTCCTCCCGCTGCTTCAACCCTCACGTCGACCATCATGACATCGTCGTCGTCGTCGTCTTCGTCATCCTCGTCGCCATCTCCACCGGCATCGGTAAATGGCGTTATACCACCCTCGACCCTACCCATATCGATATCCTCTTCGTCGGAGACGTCGCCGTCATCATCTGCCGGCTGTACCGGCAGGTCCTGCATCTGAAGTATCTGCATAACAAAGCGATGGGCAACGGTGGCTTGCATGTCTTCCCCCCGAGCCAGTCCTTCTTCGTCGTATATGCCGTCTTTCCCCACCTTGGCGTGGACTCCAGAGCTGCCTTTGCGCCAGGGCCTCATCATTTCCTGGCAAACAAGGATCCGCAGGATGTTGTGATCGCTGCCGACGCTGCAGCCGGAAATATCGCTCAGCCACTCGACCATGGTGCCGCACATTTGCTCTCGGAAGGTATCACGAGCCGAACGTATTGTCACGGTCACCTTGATCTCTTCGATTTTCTTAGCCATCTCGAGAAGGCGATCGAGATTGTCCAGATGCTTGAGAATGCTCCGGCCGATGGCATCCGTCTCGGTGGCATGGGCCAAGCCCACGGCCTCGGTGGTGGAACAGGCACGGGCGACCTGCTTTTGGACGTCTTCGACGCTGTGCTTCTCGTCGTTCCAGAGCACGAGGGAGAACTCGGACGAGCCTTCCGGTCCCTTCCCGTAGGCCTCGGGGGAAAGCTGGGACATCTGTTCGTCCTGGCGAATGGAGTCGGCGGTCTTGGTCTGGCGGAGCTGCTCGGGGGAGCACGAGATGACATCGCAGATGTAATCGAAGACGCGGCCGATGGTCATACGCATGCTCTGAACTAGCTCGTCGGGGAGGCCGGCACCCGGGCCGGCACCGGCGGCCTGCTTGCCCTTGCCACCGTTGCGCAAGCCGGAGGGATCTTCGGAATGGATGGTGCAGAACATGGGCACCCTCCAGGCCTCATCGTCGCCACAGTCGCAGCAACCGCTATTGCCGACCGAGATGGATATGCGAACCATATGGCCCTCGTGGTCGGTGGCATCGAAGCATCGACTGCAGAGGACGCAGGTCTCGTCGGTGCTGCAGGTGCGGCAGGAGTAAGAGGCCTCGCCGGCTTTGAAAATGTGACCACATCGCTTGCCGCGGGCGGCTTCAGTATATTCAGCGCCTTCAACAGCACCCTGGGCGTCGTGAAGCTTCATGTTGTGGGAAGGGCGACCCTGGGGGAAGAACAGGCCCATGTAGCGTTCACCCCCCGCAAGAGACCAGAAGAGACTCTCTAGGAGGTCATGGGCGGCAGACGGCGAATAGCGGTAGTTGTATTGAGCAGGCATGTCTCTGAGAAACTCGCAGAGCTGCCGCTCCTGCGTAGACATGGGAGACTCCATCATGGGGTTGAGTGGTGCATATGCACCATAGCCTTCCTGGTAGTCCTATCCGGAGGGTAAATGTACGGTGCTTTCTCAGTTCGGATTCAGGGCTCGTCGGGGGGTAGCGTGTGGATGTAAGGTAAAGCTTCGAGATGAGCGTAACTTGCGGGGGGAGGTCGGGTCGGGTCAAGACTGGGAGCTTGTGTGACGACTCGGCACGAGTACGATGTCGTGGGTATATTTATGTGCATGTAAATCGCAGCGCTGGTAACACCGACAGTTATCGAGCTGCAGGATACTTCGTACTGATGCCAAAGAAGGTGTCAGTGAGGAGATATTACAGCACAACGGCGGCGGCGGCGGCACGTAAATCTTGGTGGAAGCTGTTGCAGGCAAGGTAGTAAAGTAAGGCAAGGCAAGAAGATGGTAACATGATCTTGATGGGGAGTCATGGTCATGTCATGGTCAAAAAATCCACAACGTGGAGGAACAGGCGGGCAGTTAGAGGGAAAAGGAGTCATGAGTGGTTGTAGCCAGTTGCTGCATCACTTATCACTTACCAGAGCAATAGGAAGACTGGGAAACACTGCTTCGTCCTTGGCTGTCGTCTGGGTTAGGGAGTACAGAAGTAGTCGTCGTAAACGGAAACGTGGTAAAAGGGAAGATGTGAATGTGAATGAAGCCTAGGCGGGCGAGCGTCATGGACGTTGGGAACCTGGAGGAAATCCACATCTACCTTCGTACGCTAATTTAGTACTACCTCTTATCTGTACTGTACCTGTATCTGCCCCGAGGTGGGTAGACGAATTTACGGTGTAACGACGATGTTCCGTGCTACTCCGTACCTACCTACCTTAAGGCAGTGGCGGTGTCGGACGAAGAGGGTAATTACGATGTACGAAGGAAACTAGCAAGTAGACGTACCTTACTGCCCTATAGAATCTGAGCCTATAAAAGGTACTGATACTTGATTTCCTCGGCAAGTGCATCGCTCCTAAGGTACCTTAAGGTACTGAGCATTCCGTATAACTAAGGTAGCGCACCTCTTCCCGCCAGACCCCGCTGTCCTATCACCCCACCACACTGACTGGCAGGCAGGCAGTCAACGTCTAAACTTCTATGAAAATTCCGAAATAAGTAAATGTACCTAATACCACATGGCTCCTGTTTGGTGGTTAACGTGGTGTGTACTAGCTACCTTACTCCTCATGACGGTTGAAACGGTTGAAGAGAGAAGCCCGTGTCCTATCTGCCACTGCCCTTCCTTATAACCGATCACGTCAAGTCGACCGAATAATTCCACGTCTGTATTCTCAACAAGCGTTGTCTTTACACACTAAACAACCGCATACCATAACTCGCCTAATGAGGCGACAGAGACCTCAGGACTTCCCCGGCAGTATCGCCATTTCCCCCATTCCTCACCCTCAATGGCCCTGGTCGGGACCCAAAGCCAAAACGTCAATCTCTCTCCGTCCATCAAAATCTCCCAGCCAAGCACACAGGTTCTTCCCCGCCGTCAAGACTCGATTCACATCCAGCTGCTCATTCTCAGCCTCCCGCTCACGGAGCCGCGAGTCCGCCCCAACCTCGGCGTCTCCCAAGACGATCGTCTCGGCCCACTCGAGCAGATGCGTCATGTTTTCCACCGCCACCCGCTCCGTGTTAGGCACATGAAGCCGATCCCGCTGCGACTGGCTCCAGAGTCCCGAGCAGACCATGCTGATGTTGGCCAAAAGCGAGTCCGTAGGGACCGCCGCCGTTGAGCCCGTCCTGCGGTGATGATGACTCGGCCCGTCCGCCTTCCTGCGGCCGCCGTGTTGGTGGTCCCGCGAATACGGAGACCATCGGTGCTGGTTGCGAGAGGGAGCCGAACAGCTGGGGTGTTCGTCGTCGTCTTCGGAACCCTCGTGCTGCTCGCACAGGCTGTGGAAGGCGTTGCTGTCGCGGAGGCGGGAGTTGACGAGGCGCTCCCCCAGGTAGGCACGGCTTGCTTCCAGGCATATCTTATGGACCTGGCGGATCGTCGAGACGTACTGGCTCGACGCTGCGCTGGTTCCCGAGACCACACTAGGACGGGATCCCACTTCCGTATTGCTGTCGCTGGATGGATAAACAGTTTCCGAGACGCTGTCGGTGCTCATAGGCACGGGCGAGTACCCGAAACCCTTGCTTCTGTCGGAGTACCCGGAGCTCTGGTCCAGGGTTATCTACCAGATCGCTACGCTAGGCTTGGGGATTTTGGCCACTTCACCTACCAGGTATATGCAATCCTCGTCCATGTGACCAGGAACCGCCGAGCCTGGCTCGGGCAAGTCGAAACAACCAGAAAATCCGATTCCGCCGTTGTGGAACAAGGTGAAGTTGGAATTAGCCTGTCCCATGAGTGGAGCCGAATGGTAGCCATGATTGCTTAAATTTCCCTGCTCCGCTCCTGTTGGGATCACCTGGGCGGGATGGTTGCCAGAAGGTGTAGATGTGCCATAAAGCCCGTGCCGCGTCTCCGCGTCCTCGTTCATGGCGTTAACAGATGATCGTGGGGCGTATATAAAGCTGCTGGGGGAATCCCTGCGCTTAATTGGGTCGGTGTCCATAGTTTGGATGGTCAGGGACTAGATATCTGGAGTTATTCTGGTAAAACTTTGTTATATCAACAAGACGGTATGCCGGTATATAAGTATAAGATCAGCAAGAAAAGATGGCCACAGACCAGAGCAGTCTATTATAGACTCCAGCCATAATGGGGAATGCTCGAGAATGCACGCAGGCGAAACAACGATGTAACACTGGCAGACAAGATGTGAGATACAGAAAAGTCCAGGCTACCAAATCCTGAGACAGGAATCCTGGGAAGGCTTTCATTGTACTATAAAAAAAGGTCTAGGTGGCCCAAATGACAAGTCTTCCATCGACACCGGTGGCTGAAAGGTTGAGGTTAGCAACAATGGTGGGCATAACAAAGGGCCCATGTTGAAAGCACTTACAGGTGAACTTTGTGACGCGGTCGCCAGAGGTTTCAAACGGCCGGATGGTAGTAATGGTGTTCTGGTGGACTGTCTTGAGCTGCGTGTCGTCTTTGGCCTTGCCTCTGAGGTCCATCTGCCTGAACATGTTCAGCGCGGATTCTTCGCGCGCCTCCCCGAGGCCAGGGCGACCCTTCGCCTCGAGGCTTCCAGCAAGTTGCCACCCTCCCTCTCCACCTTTGAAACGGAAGGCTTCACAGTCATAGCCGGCAGCGATGATCTCGTCTTCAGCGCTCCACAAAAGGCTCATGAAGGGCAGAAGTTGGGCCGTGATAGTGAGCACCGCTCGCGGCGGCTGCTCGGGGCCGCCGGGATAGACCACCGTGACGCTGCTGTCGTGCGCTGCGAAGGCCAGGGCGTCTCCGCTAGGGGAGAAGGCGACCGAATGCACCCATCCAGCCGAGTTGTTCAAGTACTCCCCGCATACGGTGTTGAAGGGGAGCCTCTCACCCCAGAGCGTGGGCTCGGGGCGGGCATCGGTGCCCTTGATGAAGCTGGAGAAGACCCTGGCGTGTGCGTCGGTCGAGCCTGCAGCGAGGAGCACCGAGTTGGGGTGCCAGGCCACCGAGGTGATCGTGCTCCGGATCGGCTTCTTAAGATGCTTCGAGACCCACCAGTCGTTCTCCTCCTCAAAGTAGCAGATGGCAATCAGCCGGTCTCCCGAACCGACGGCGAACTTGGTCTCGTTGGGCGACCAGCGGACGAAGGTCGCCGCTCGGGTGATTCGAAGCAGTACGAGGGTCGGCTTGTACCCGGTAGGCGATGGCTCCCACACGAGGGCATTACGGTCTGTGTAGTAGCGATATTATATTAGCTGGGTTCTGACGGTGGTGGAGCTGCTGTTTTTGAAATGGGGCGACAAGCTCTTACCCTGAGAGCAGGTGACAATCCGTCCGCTGTTCGGAGCAATATCCACGCTGGTGACCAGCTTGTCGTGGCCCTTCAATTCATCCTTGAGTTTGAAGGCGTTGCCGACCTTCCCATACAACTCAATGGTCGAGTCGCGAGCGACTGCAACGGTCGTGCGATCGGCTGAAAACGAATGATCGGCGATGGGATTGTGGAAGAGGTGGTGGATTTCTGGGGATGCCATTGTGACGAAGCCGTTTTCTGTGATAGGAGTAGCTCTCTACTATCACTCTGGTTGTCACAGGAGATGTGCGAAGGCTGGGAAGTGTAGCTTTGGTGCAGGTGTGCCGACGTGACTGACAAGGAGGGGTTATGTAGGCGGTCGGACACTAAGGTACGTAAAGTAATGGTACCTTGATAGAACTTGTACACTACGGAGAGCCACCGAACATAAGGTACATGATATCAGGTGTACATATGGCAGCAGTACGAAGTATCTAGGTACGTAATAAGTATTTCTAGTGCAAATGCGCAAGGTACCTTAGGTACGGGTACCTAGGTAGGTAGCCTCGCTGTGGAGTCAGCCGACTCGGTGAACAAGTGATTTCCACCCAGCATCTCCACCACAGCAGATTTCCAGCATCCTACTCATTATCACAACTATTACCAACGTGACGGAATACGAAACGCATCCATTATTCCACCGATATTCGGGCGCCATTGTATCAACGCCATTCAGAACCAATTGAGACATCATCAAAAAGAGGCTTTTCTCAGCCTTCCCGTCGCCCTCAAAGGGTAGCTGCGATTATGACCACCGCTGCACCATCTCGCGGCCTTCAGCCCAATGCTTCTCTCCCTGCGAAGGTCACCCCGATACCTCCCAACCAAACGTGAGTTATCCAAGGATCTTTATCTTGATTCTCCGCCTCTCTTCTCGCGCTAACATTGGCATCCAGTCTCTATGTCACCAACCTCCCATCAGCCAAGATCCAGAAAAGCGACCTAAGGACAGCGCTGTACATGCTGTTTTCCGCCCATGGGCCGGTTCTCGACATTGTGGCGATGAAGACCATGAAGATGCGCGGCCAGGCGCACGTTACATTCCGGGACGTGCAAACAGCCACGCAAGCAATGAGGACACTGGAGGGCTTCGAATTCCTCGGTCGTCCGTTGGTGAGTTGCCATCCGTCACCGCCTCGCCGGCTTCTCGCCGCATGCCACTAGTAACAGAACTAATGACAACGCGGTATACCTACAGAAAATCCAGTACGCCAAGTCCAAGTCCGATTACATCGCGAAGCTAGACGGATCGTACAAGATGCCGAACACCGGTGCGACCAGCGTTGAAGTCACACAACTCCAACAGAGTATCTTCAACGTACCCGCGCCTGGGACCGCGAAACCAGCGGCGGGTGCGGACCTTGAAATGAAAGATGCCAATTCGCCGGAGGGTCGTGGCCAAAAGAGGCCGAGAGACGAAGAGGAGGAGGACAGCGACGTGGCGATGGAGGAGGACAGCGACGAAGATTGATCGTCCAGGTTATAGGGACCCGGCCAAACTTTTCAACTCCTAACCCAGGGCCATCTCCTTGGGCACCCAGAGGCCCACGCACCCGCCTACCAAGCCCAGCCAGCCCATCAGGTAATTCTCCTTGGTGCAGTCGAAACCGGCCATCGCATCACCGAGGAGGCAAGGATGGATGAAGAACGAGGGGACTCCCGTGATGGGATGATGCTATCGCTTTACGTTAGTATAGACCTACAGACGGTCGCCAGAGAGTCGTTTTCTAATTTGACCAAAGATCACAGCGCCGCCGCTTCCCCGCGTGACTTACATCTCCGGAAATGCCGCCGATTGGCCCTCCGCTGCGGAGGGCATCCTTGTACTGGTCAGGGACGAGTCTTCGAAAGACGGTGTCGATGTTGAACGCCGGCTCATCAGCTGGCAAGCCGTGCAACGTGAACCACAGGCACGGTATCTGATACGTGGGATGATGGTGGATCTCATAGACAACCTGCCCGATATCTGATGTAGCCTCTCTGCGGAGGGCAGCCTGCCAGAAGCGGGATCAGTCTACGGATTTCCCATTTATTTGAAAATCTAAAGATTGGTGTTTCACCTCGTCATCTTCCTCGGCGTTTATCATGGCCTGGTCTTTGGCACCAGGCTCTCCCTCTGCCTCCCCGTCGGGGCGGTTACATAATGAGAATCGGTCTAGATGTGATGAAAGATCTCCGTGGTCCAAGGATGCTTCGAGGGGCCGAACAATCTGTATAAAAGTGGCGTACTCGGCGCCCACAGCAAATGAGGCGCCCAGAGACGTGCATACTCGCATCCTCCATCGTTGCCGGACGGGGCCCAATGTGGCCTGACGATATCGCCGGTCAAAATGATGACAGACTTCTGAGAACTCTTCTTGAGTCAAGTGGGGAAAGCTGTAGAAGTTTGCAGATCGAGTCATGGTCTAATAAGCTCGGGCGTCGCAAAAGAAAAGAAGAAAAACAAAAAGAAGGAAAGGAAGGAAAAGGAACGTGACTACGAAAGCATTTACCGAATTAAAAGAGAGGCCTAATCTGGGGTCAAGTCGCGAGTTACGGTTTACCCCCTCTTGCATTGCTGACGGAGAACGGTGTAGTAATAATAATTCTCCGTAATAGTTCGCCTTGGATGTTACCTGCGTACGTGTACTTTTGGCAGCGGGTTGGTGGTGACTACTCCGGACGGCGCAGATATACATTGAACGCCGTGCTCTCGTATGTTTGATTTCTTGACCTGTTATGAGTGGTTCGATAACCCGTGTTGATGCCAGGATGAATTAAACGCTCTATTAATACTCTGTAAAAGGTAAGGTAGCAAAAGACTTTTAGATTTCAAGTTGGGCCCACGGATGTACGCCGGAGGCCGGGGACTAATGCTGCCGTATGCAGGTGCCAGGTCCAGTACACATCGAGGTCATTAATTGGAATTAAATTCATAATATCTCTTCTAACAAACAGTATTAGTGGGAGAGGCAGCAGGAGAAACAGCAAAATACCAGTGACAGCAATGGCAGGAGCAATTACAGCGAGTGCGGGTGATAATACCCAACATTTACTCGTAAGATAAGGTCGCGAAAGATGCCCCCGGGGTCCCGGAATATTCTCCATCTCATGTGTTACTGCTAGGTACTTACGAAGTACACGTGTATTATCGCCCTACCCGCATCTGATTACGTACCTACTACTTACCTTACCTAAGGTAAGGTAAGGTAGCTTGCATCGACCTGCAAAAGGTACTTCCTAAACCCGTCAATGTGCTGACTTTCTTCAGGTAAGGTATTCTTTAGCTGTCCTTTTGCTACTCCGTACATACCTAAGGTACACATACATCTTCTTCATCTGCTTTGCTACGCTTCTCACTTAATTCAATATGTGTCAATGACATTTGGATGACATTGAGAAGCTCAAGATATTCTTTTTGCTGAGTCTTTACTGGCTAACCCAGCAGAAAGTTGAGTAGCACTCTGCGGACCATGCTTTGACATGCGATAAACGTTCGAGATCACTGCATCACCGGAATACAAACCTGAACATCCTCGAGGCCGCTCCCTCCAACACCGCATCTTCTCAGACTGCCCACCACATTCGAAACAAGGCAGTCTAAGTAGGGACCAGCCCCCTAAACGACATGTCTTCCTTCACGGTCCCGCGCAACGTCCCGTCTTTCGGAAACCCGCAGCGACTCGCCGAGGACCGTCTTTGGGCTTCCTCTGGAACGGCCTCGCGCAACTCGCGAGGCCCTGGGCGAGTCTTAGACAACGTTCAGCACAGTGTCGACAGCTTCCTACGACCAAAGGGCCAGCTACCCATGTACAAAGACAAGCCATACACATACGCCGGGTCGAGAAGGATCCAGCCACACTGGAGGAGGAAACGGTCCTTGCTGGGCCTTTTGCTTCTCTCCACATGCGGTCTGTGGTTCTTCGGCTTCTTTTCGGGTGACTCGAGCACCCGTCTCGGCGCTTCGCAATGGAACTGGCTGGGGACTTCGGAACCGCCCGGCAAGAAGGTGGACTGGTTGAAGAGGAGAGAACGAGTGGTTGAAGCTTTCGAGCTCAGTTGGGACGCTTACGAACGCTATGCTTGGGGTATGTCCTATGTTCTATGTCCTATGTCCTATGCCCTATGCCCCATACGATAAGTTGAGACACAGACGCAGGGCTTTTGTCTCCTGTCTTGAATGAACAGATCGCTGACGTGTGTGTATGCCGATCTGCACTGAACAGGCTACGACGAATACCACCCTATCGCGAAAACGGGCAAGCAGATGGCACCCGAGGGCCTAGGATGGATCATAATCGACGCTCTCGACACTATGATGCTGATGAACCTCACTTCGCGGCTGTCTCATGCCAGGCAATGGCTATCAGAATCCTTAACATGGGATCAGGACCAGGACGTCAACACGTTCGAGACTACCATCCGGATGCTCGGCGGGCTGCTGTCGGCACACTATCTTTCGACCGAGTTCCCCGATCTAGCTCCACTGGCGGACGATGACGAGGGGGCGCCGGGGGAGGACTTATATCTGGAAAAGGCCAAGGACCTAGCGGACCGCCTGGTCAGCGCCTTCGACTCCACATCCGGCGTCCCCTTCGCGAGCGTGATCCTATCCAAGTACGAGGGCAAGCTGTCCCACGGGGACGACGGTGCCTCATCGACGGCCGAGGCGACGACAGTCCAGCTCGAGTTCAAATATCTGGCCAAGCTCACGGGCGAGAAGTTCTACTGGGACAAGGTCGAGAAGGCCATGCAGGTGGTGGATGACAACGGTGCGCAGGACGGTCTCGTCCCCATCTTTATTTACCCGACGAGTGGGAAGTTCAGGGGCAAGAACATCCGGCTGGGGTCTCGCGGCGACTCGTACTACGAGTACCTCATCAAGCAGTACCTGCAGACGAACAAGGAAGAGGAGGTGTACCGGGAGATGTGGGAAGAGTCCCTTGCCGGCGTCCGCAAGCATCTGATCACGTACAGCACGCCGTCGCGGTTCACCGTCCTGGGCGAGCGCCCGTCAGGCTTGGATGGGGCCCTGTCTCCCAAGATGGACCACCTCGTCTGTTTCTACCCGGGCACCATCGCGCTCGCCGCCACGGGCGGACTGACGGAGGCCGAGGCGAGGAAGCTCCCGAGCTGGAACCGGCAAAAGGAGGACGACATGCGGCTGGCGCGCGAGCTGACGCAGACGTGCTGGGGCATGTACAAGTGGATGGCCACGGGCCTTGCGGCAGAGATTACGTATTTCAACGTCGACAACCCGCCGCTGCCGGAATCGGCGCCGCACAACCCGCCGGAGGGCTTCGACCCGGACCCGGAGGCGGAATGGAGGCAGGACTTCGACGTGCACGGCAACGACGTGCACAACCTTCAGCGTCCGGAGACGGTGGAGAGCCTGTTCTACATGTGGCGGATCACGGAGGATCCGAAATACCGGGAGTGGGGGTGGGAGATGTTCAAGTCGTTCGTCAATCACACGGCGGTGGACGAGGGCGGTGGTTTCACGAGCCTGAGTAACGCGAACCGTATTCCCCCGGTACCACGCGACAACCTGGAGAGTTTTTGGCTGGTGAGTGCAGA